ATTTAAAATATTTACACAAGTGGATACCACAAAATCTTATGTTATAGTTGATGAAAGTATTAACAAACTCCAAGTGTTAGGGAATCTATCATTTTGATGGGATAGGCATTGTACGAAACTAATTTCAACGATCCAACCGTCAAACTTGTTTGTATATACTTCGAGATCGCATACGCCAAAAATCGCAAAAAACAAACATTCAGATATCAAGTAACGGGACAAACCTTTTTTACGGTTATAAACGAAAAATCACAATTTAACAGTTATTTGAACTTCGATTTTAATGATTTTTTACAACTACCCTCCTTGACCCTATATGAATACAACAAACTAATTCGATCGTCAATTTAAAATATTTACACAATTGGATACCACAAAATCTTATGTTATAGTCGATAAAAGTATTAATAAACTCAAGTGTTAGGGAATCTATCGTTTTCATGGGATATGAATTGTATGAAACTAATTTCAACGATCCAACCGTCAAACTTGTTTGTATATACTTCGAGATCACATACGCCAAAAATCTCAAAAAAAAACAAACATTCATATATCAAGTAACGGGACAAACCTTTTCGACGGCTAGAAACGAAAAATCACGATTTAACGATTGTTTGAACTCTGATTTTGATGATTTTGTACAGGTACACGCCTTAACCCTATATGAATACAATGAACTAATTCGATCGTCAATTTAAAATTTTACACAAATGGATACCACAAAAGAAAAAGGCCATGCAAGAACCCAAAAGAAAAGCAAAAGGCCAAAAAAAAAATGACTTTGCACGACGTAGGTGAAACTGCGTCGCGCAATAAATAAATTAAAATCTACTTAGTAAATACATATACCATTGAATTTGATGGGAAATGCTTTGTACGCAATTAGTTTCAACGATCAAACCATCAAACTTGTTTGTATATACTTCGAGATCGCATATGCCAAAAATCGCAAAAAAATAAACATTCAAATATCAAGTAACGGGACAAACCTTTTCGACGGTTATAAATGAAAAATCACAATTTAACGGTTATTTGAACTCCGATTTTGATGATTTTTTACAACTACCATCCTTGACCCTATATGAATACAACGAACTAATTCGATCATCAATTTAAAATATTTACATAAGTGGATACCATAAAATCTTATGTTATACTTAATGAGAAAATCTTGAATATGCTTCGAGATCACATACGCCAAAAATCTTTAAAAAAAACATGCAAAGATCAAGTAATGGAATAAAACGTTTCGACGATTATAAACGACAAAGCACGATTTAACGGTTATTTTAACTCTGATTTTGATGATTTTTTTACAGTTACACTCCTTCATCCTATATGAATACAATAACCTCATTCGATCGTCAATTTAAAATATTTACACAAGTGGCTACCACAAAATCTTATGTTATATTTAATGAAAGTATAAATAAACTCCAAGTGTTAGTGAATCTAACGTTTTTAAGGGATACACATTGTACGAAACTAGTTTCAAATATCCAACCGTCAAACTTGTTTGTATATGCTTCGAGATCGCATACGCCAAAAATCGCAAAAAACAAACATGCAGAGATCAAGTAACGGGACAAACCTTTTCGACTGCTATAAACAAAAAATCACGATTTAACGGTTATTTTAACTCCGATTTTGATGATTTTTTACAACTACACTCCTTGACCCTATATGAATACAACGAACTGATTCGATCATCAATTTAAAATATTTACACAAGTGGATACCACAAAATCTTATGTTATACTTAATGAAAGTATAAATAAACTCCAAGTGTTAGTGAATCTAATGTTTTGATGGGATACGCAATGTACGAAACTAGTTTCAATGATCCAACCGTCATACTTGTTTGTATATGCTTCGAGATCTCATAAGCCAAAAATTGCAAAAAACAAACGTCCAGAGATCAAGTAACGGGACAAACCTTTTCGACGGCTATAAACGAAAAATCACGATTTAACAGTTATTTTAACTCCGATTTTGATGATTTTTTACAGCTACAATCTTTAACTATATATGAATACAATGAACCAATTCGATTGTCAATCTAAAACACTTACAATAGTGGATACCACGAAAGAAAAATGCAATGCAAGAACCCCAAAACAGCTTTGCACGACACAGCAGTACCTACGTCGCGCAAAGTCCCTTTTTTTTTCTTTTTGCCCTTTTGCTTACGAGTACAAAATAAATAAATTAAAATCTACTTAGTAAATACATATACCATTGAATTTGATGGGAAATGCATTGTACAAAATTAGTTTCAATGATCAAACCGTCAAACTTGTTTGTATATATTTCGAGATCGCATATGCCAAAAATAGCAAAAAACAAACATTCAGAGATCAAGTAACGGGACAAAACTTTTCGACGGTTATAAACAAAAAATCATAATTTAACGGTTATATTAACTTCGATTTTGATGATTTTTTATAGCAACACTCCTTGACTCTATATGAATACAACGAACTAATTCAATCGTCAATTTAAAATATTTACCCAAGTTGATACCATAAAATCTTATGTTATACTTGATGAAAGTATAAATAAACTCCAGGTGTTAGTGAATATAATGTTTTGATGGGATACACATTGTACGAAACTAGTTTCAATGATCCAACCGTCAAACTTGTTTGTATATGTTTCAAGATCACATACGCCAAAAATCTTTAAAAAAAATATGCAGAGATGAAGTAACGGAATAAAACGTTTCGACGATTATAAACGACCAAGCACGATTTAACGGTTATTTTAACTCTGATTTTGATGATTTTTTACAGTTACACTCCTTGATCCTATATGAATACAATAACTTCATTCGATCGTCAATTTAACATATTTACACAAGTGGCTACCACAAAATCTTATGTTATATTTAATGAAAGTATAAATAAACTCCAAGTGTTAGTGAATCTAACGTTTTTATGGGATACGCATTGTACGAAACTAGTTTCAAATATCCAACCGTCAAACTTGTTTGTATATACTTCGAGATCGCATACGCCAAAAATTGCAAAAAACATACATGTAGAGATCAAGTAACGGGACAAACTTTTTCGACTGCTATAAACAAAAAATCACGATTTAACGGTTATTTTAACTCCGATTTTCATGATTTTTTTACAGCTACACTCTTTAACCCTATATGAATACAATGGACCAATTCGATCGTCAATTTAAAACATTTACACAAGTGGATACCATAAAAGAAAAAGGCAATGCAAGAACCCCAAAAGAAAAGCAAAAGGACTTTGCGATTTTTGACGGTTGGAACGTTGAAACTAATTTCGTACAATGCGTTTCCCATCAAATTCAATGGTATATGTATTTACTAAGTAGATTTTAATTAATTTATTTTGTACCCATAAACAAAAGGCCAAAAACAAAAAAAAGGGACTTTGCGCGACGTAGGTGCAACTGCGTCGCGCAAAGTTGGCAACAAATTGTTTGTTTGGCGCCAAGATCTTGCGCGACGCATAAAACGTTGTGCAAACGGCCTTTGCACAACGGCACTTTGCGCGACGCAGTCTGGCGTCGCGCAAAACAACTTTGACGCTGAAGTTTCTGTGTCGCGCAAAGTTGTTTTGCGCGACGCCAGACTGCATCACGCAAAGGCCGTTTGCGCACCGTTTTGTGTTATGGGTCGCGCAAACATACTTTGCGCGACGAAATGTGCTCCGTCGCGCAAACATGTTTTTATACTAGTAGGAGGTCCATGAGTATGGCTACACAAAAGACATTATGGATCAAAGATTTTGTCACTCTTATGGGAATTGTAGACAACATCTCAAGGCCTATAGTGATTTATTGTGATAACAAGACTGTTGTGTTCATCTCCACAAACAACAAGCAATCTTCTGCCAATCATTTGATGGACATCAAGTATCGTGATGTAAGAGAATATGTAAAGAAAGGGCTGGTGGTGATTGAACATGTGATACCAATTCCATGATTGCAGACCCACTTACAAAGTCATTGCCAGTTGCAGATGGGAGTTCTAGAATAATCTGATTCAGCATAGTTGTGGCCCTTGTGGGAGTAACGTTTAATTTATTCTTCGTTTACTTTATGCTATTTTATGCAATCCATGTATTGATTTAACGTGAATTGTTGGTATTGACCGGTGATTTTGGCTGTTAGGGTTTTATACATTGTATTTCCCTGTTGCGTTTTTCACTTGTTTAAAAACTTCAGGAGTTTGGATGTTCAGCTTGCAATGCAGCTGATGATGCTTCATCAAGTATGCAGCAACGATAAGGTAAGGGCTCTCCATTGGGAATATAGAGTGAATCTCCCATTTGGCTGACATGTCTTACGCATCATGCATAAATAGCCTTTGGTATTGTGATTCCAGAGTGATTGCACATTTTGTGCAGTTTTTTTTTTTTGGAGTTGTATCCGGGTCCGGGGTTAGTTATAGTAGATGCGTGAGGAAATGAATATTCATTGTTGACTCATGCGGTCACTAAGGAATTGATTTTGGCTAAGACGTCGCTCATACAAGGACAATCAGTTTTAAGTCCAAGTGAGAAAATGTTGGAACCTAGTTGCACTTTAACTTTATCATCTTAAGGTCAAGTGACGTTTAAACTTGAAACAAGTTAGAGTAAGTGACTACACGATATCCCTTGAAAGTTGGACGATAAGAATGACATGCCAGTGAAGTGGATGGCCCACACGTTGGTACCCTATTCTAGTGTGAACATAAGATCCCCATTGAGTAGAAGTTTCTTCCTTTCTCATCTTACCATGGCTTCATCAGATTTGGTTTTCATTCCGAGTAAAACACATCAAGTTGTAATCTATGTGTGCTGCTAACCCGAAAGTTGCAACAGATTTGGTTTTTTTGGGCTCATCCAAACTCAAAGATCAACAAACGGAAATTTGGAATGTGCGAAGGCGAAACTTAGCAACAGAGGATGAGTGGGGGAGCTGTAATGAGCAGCTTATTCCCCAACCCCAACGTAACTTGTCAAGGCTCTGCAACGAGTTTGAATTATATATTACATAGCTTGATTTTGGACAGAGACTAGAGAGAGAATGAGCCGAAAAAACCAATACTTGGCTGTTTTAGACCATCAAACATACAGCAAAAGTTGTTAAGCTTGATAATAACGAAGCTTTTCAAATTGAAGCATCTGTATAGTTCATAGATGATCACCAGAATCCAACATACTAGTAGAATTCGTAACTTGAATAACACTCCAACATAACAAATTCATTAAGTCAAACGTAATATAAGTGCATCCAGTTTATTACTCTGCCATTTCGTGATTGAGCCATTCAAGCTTGGCCCGATCATCTTCCAAACCAGAAAATCTCTCTCTCTTCTCATGCGATGTAAATAGCCCTCTGGCAAACCACCACAAGTTGCTCAAGGGCTTTGCCTCAGGTAAAGATTCAAGTGCCTCCATCACTTTAGGAACTTCTGATGCATGAAACCTACTCGGAAGTACCTTAGAAAGTTTGGAGGGATCAACTTCTTCTTTCTTAGCTTCCTTAGATCTGCGTCGTCTTATCCTTTTCTTCATCCCAGATGGACTTGACAAACATTTAGAGGCAATTACACCAGATGGGCAATTCAACAAGAGAGTCAGTTTAGAAACATGTTATGTGCTTCACCCCATATACCAGAAAGATAGAAAGAAAAAAAAAAAAATCAGATTTGGAGAAAACTTGGAACAGTTACAAATGAAAAAAGGAAAACTAATGAAAAAAGCTTGAAAACTTTGAATTTTAATGATAAGGACAAAATAAAGGGTAAAGTGAATAGTACCAGGTTTGACTTTTTAGTGTAAAAATGTGGTTTTTCGTTAAAGTGAACAGTACCGTGGGCTTTTCGTTAAAACTCCCATGAACAAAAACATACAGGCAAACTTAGAGTAACAAGCATTTCGATCCAAGTCCAAAAAACTCAGCTGTTTTCAGATCAAGTCCAGTTTTATTTAATTTGTTATTGTACTTGTATTACCCCTCAGAGTAAAAATAAAAAATAGATTTAATTTTTTTAATTTTTAAATTTTAAATGCCTTTACCTACCCACCTTCCAATCAAAACATTTTATAAATTCATATACAACAAATACGATAAGTTTATCAAAACTTTATAAATTCATATACACCAAATACGATAAGTTTATCAAAAATTAAAAACTGTGGGAAGTAAGAAATCTGTGATATTAATACAAGTAAGCTATAACATAGGTATATTATAAAGAAGAAAAACATGTAAGGTAGAGCACAAACGAAGACCTATAATATAGGTAGATAAACAAAAGTATTGTCTACCTCCATATATACCTGTTATATAGGAAGAGAAATACTTTATATCGAGAAAGCAGATATTCTCTACAAACTATGAGCAAAAAACTATGATACAAGTGTTAGGAATGTCGGTACTACAAGATAGAGAATGCACAAGGTAAAGTAGAAAATGGACGCCAAGAATTTATGTGGTTCGGCAATTTATGCCTACGTCCACCAAACAAGGAATCTTCACTATATAAAAAAAAAAAAATGAATACAACAAGAGTAGTCACCAAGCCAAAGACAAGGCTTGATGGATACAAGAAAGTATAACACACACTTTCTATCACTCTAAACTTCACTCACACAATGTGTAGTGGAACACTCTCACTCTCACTCTTGGAGTGGAACTCTAGCTTTGGACTTGATCCTTTGCTACTCACTCTTGGTTCTCAATTGGTTACATCACACCCATATTTATAGGTGAGGGCTTGGCATTCTACTAGTTTCTAGTTCCTTCTTCAAACCTCTAGTATAGAAAAATCTAGACTAGCCACATACTTGTAGCTTCTAGATCTTTCCATTTGCAACCAAGGAAGCTAGTACTCTCTAACTTCTTCCATCAACTTAATAACATGCTAGAATTGTCTAGCAAGCTCCAGCCTCATCTCTTGCTTACTAGAATAATCTAGAACATTGATCATGGGCTGGACCATATACCAACAATCTCCCCCTCCAGTCCATGAGGGAGGAATTCCGATCATGACTCCAAGTTACCTGGAGTTCATCCCAGCAGCCTTAATGCAGAATTCCAACTTTGATTTTGTGACTACCTTTGTCAACATGTCTGAAGAATTATTATCGGTATGAATCTTCTTCAGCTGTAGCAACTTGTTCTCGATAGCGTCTCTAATCCAGTGATAACGAATATCAATGTGCTTAGTGCGTGAATGATGTGTAGTGTTCTTGCTCAAATCCAGAGCACTCTGACTATTACAATAAACGCCATAATCACTTTGCTTCAAACCCAACTCTTGGAGAAACCGCTTCAGCCACAACAACTCCTTGCATGCTTCTGTAGCGGCTATGTATTCAGCCTCAGTTGTGGACAAAGCAATGCACTTTTGTAACTTGGATTGCCAAGACACGGCTCCCCCTGCAAAAGTAAACAAGTACCCAGACGTAGATTTTCTACCATCCAGGTCACCTCCCATGTCAGCATCTGTAAATCCTTCCAAGATTGGTTTGGAACCGCCAAAGCACAAGCACATCTTAGAAGTCCCCTTCAAATATCTGAGAATCCACTTAACAGCTTCCCAGTGGTCCTTCCCTGGATTAGAGAGAAACCTGCTCACCACACCTACTGCATGAGCAATATCTGGCCGTGTGCACACCATTGCATACATGATACTTCCTACTGCTGAAGAGTAGGGAACAACTGCCATTTTCTCCTTTTCTTCATATGTTTTTGGACACGACTCTTTGCTCAACTTGATATGATTGGCTAAAGGTGAGTTTACCGATTTGGCTGCTTTCATGTTGAACCTTTCAAGCACCCGTTCAACATACTTTTCTTGTGACAGCCACAACTTTTTGGATTTTCTATCACGAATTATATCCATGCCCAAAATCTGCTTGGCTGGCCCTAAGTCCTTCATGTCAAAGGACTTAGATAACTCTTCTTTGAGCTTTTTAATCATAGAAGCATCTTGTCCGACAATCAACATGTCATCAACATAAAGCAATAAGATGATGAATGTACCTCCAGAAAATTGTTTGATATAGACACAAGAGTCAGCATGAGTTCTCTTGTACCCATTACTCACCATGAATGAGTTGAACTTCTTATTCCACTGTCTCGGAGCCTGCTTAAGACCATATAAACTTTTCTTGAGCTTGCACACCAAATTTTCTTTACCTTTGACTTCAAAGCCTTTGGGTTGCTCCATGTATATCTCCTCTTCTAAATTGCCGTGGAGAAATGCAGTTTTAACATCTAACTGCTCGAGCTCAAGATCCATACTTGCTGCCATACCAAGGATAACTCGAATGGAAGTCATCTTCACCACCGGTGAGAAAATCTCATCAAAGTCAACTCCTTTCTTTTGACCAAAACCTTTGACAACCAAACGAGCCTTGTACCTTGTCATGTTGTCGTCTCTTTTCAATTTGAACACCCACTTGTTTTTCAATGCTTTCCTGCCCTTTGGAAGCTCCACCAGCTCATAGGTATCATTCTTTGATAAGGAATCCATCTCCGACTCCATTGCCTTCATCCATTTGTCACTGTCGTTATGAGCTCTGGCCTCCTCATATGTTTCGGGCTCTCCATAATTAGTCAACATGATATACTCTGATGAAGAATACTTGGTAGACGGTCTTCGACTTCTGATGGATCTTCTGACCTGATCTTCATTCTCTTGTAGGGCTGGAGGCTCCCCCTGATTGGGTTCTCCTTGAATCTGCTCTTCTTGACTAGGCTCCCCTGATCAGCAATCTCATGGTCTGGCACATCTTGATCAGGCTCCTCTTGATTAGCATTATCTGATTCTGCAGGCACTTCATTGGCAGTTGCTTCAGGGATGTCATCGTGACTTTCTTCATCTGAAGCTAATGGATCAACTCCTCTGACTGCGCCATCTGGTTGTGCTCTTTTATCCGAATCCCCAATTGTTTGTTCTTCATAAAAGACCACGTCTCTACTTCGGATAAACTTCTTCTGGTATGGGTCCCATAATCTGTAACCAAAATCTTCACCGCCATAACCAAGAAAGATGCACGGTGTAGCTTTGTAGTCTAACTTCGATCTCTGCTCTTTGGGCACATGCACAAAAGCTTTGCAACCAAACACCTTCAGATGAGAGTAAGACACATCATTACCAGTCCATACTCTCTCTGGAACATCAAGACCTAATGGTACTGATGGAGATCGGTTGATCAAAATAGCAGGCTGTCCTTACAGCTTCACCCCAAAACTGCTTAGATAACTTTGCAGTCCTCAACATACACCTGACTTTCTCCATGATGGTTCGGTTCATTCTTTTCAGCAACACCGTTATGTTGTGGAGTTCCAGGAACTGTCTTCTCATGACGTATGCCATGTTTTACACAATACTCTCTAAACTGGTGAGATGTGTACTCGCCGCCGTTGTCGCTACGAAGGCACTTGAGAGGTTTCCCAGTTTCCCTCTCCACCATGGCATGGAACTCCTGGAATGTCTGAAAACACCTGGTCTTTGGATTTCAACAAATACACCCACACCCTTCGTGAAGCATCATCAATATAAGTAACAAAATATTTATTTCTTCCAAGTGACTCGACTTCCATGGGACCACACAAATCTGAATAAACAAGATCTAACAAGTTTCCTTTCTTTGTAGATGGAACAGAAAAACTAACTCTTCTTTGTTTTTCCGAATAAACAATGCTCACAAGAGTTTAACGACGTACCTTCGGTAAAGGGAATGTGAGACTTCTTTGCCAAAACTTGTAGGCCTTTCTCGCTTATGTGGCCCAGCCTCTTATGCCATAAGTCTAGAGATGAGTCCTCCACAGCATTCAACTCACCTTTCAAAACCTGTGCATTTGACCGGTACAACGTACAACAAAGTCGTGCTTTTGCTACCACCATTAAGCCTTTAGTAAGCTTCAATTTTCCTTCGCCAATATGGTGATAATATCCTTGTCGATCAAGGGTACCGATGGATATCAGATTGAGACGTATATCAGGAATATGTCTCACATCTTTCAACATTAATTGGCAGCCGAGATTAGTTCTTAAGCAGATATCACCAATTCCAAGAATTTTGGAATAGCTTTCATTCCCCATCTTCACTATGCCAAAGTCACCTTCTTTGTATGTACTGAAGAACTCCCGTTTGGACGTAGCATGGAAGGAAGCTCCATTATCAAAGATCCATTCAATGTCTCTGTCAGAGTTGCCCATATGCAGACATTCACCAACAGACAATATTTCTGGTACATCACCACAGATGACAGCGGTGGTATTGCCAGTATCATCTTTCTTCTGATTGTTTCCTTCCTTTTGCTCTCTCTTCCAAACTCGACAATTTTTCTTCATATGGCCTTCTTTGCCACAGTGGTGGCATGCACCCCTGAACTTTGACTTGGATCGGCTAGGACTCCTGCCATGACCTCTAGGCCCTCTACTCTTGCTTCTTCCGCGGTTCTCTGTGACAAATACTTGGCTGCTATCTGTGCCAGAAGTCTTTCTCCTTGTTTCTTCATTGAGCATGCTATTTTTAACATTATCAAGAGTAAGAACACCATTAGAAGCAGAGTTACTTATACTCACCACAAAGGTCTCCCAACTGTCTGGCAAGGATCCAAGTAACAAGAGCGCTTGTAGCTCGTCCTCGATCGTCATTTTCATAGTAGCCAACTGGTTGATGATATTCTGGAAAATTGTTCAAGTGTTCTGCTACACTTAAACCATCCTTGTACTTCACATTGATGAGCTCTTTGATCAAGAAGGCTTTCTTGGCTGGGGTCTTCTTCTCGAACAAGGACTCAAGCTTCGTCCAAAACTCGCGAGCATTGGTTTCATTAGACACATGGTGAAAAACACTATCATCCACCCATTGTCTAATTGTGCCAATAGCCTTGCGATTCATCTTCTTCCACTCGGCATCGGACATGCTCTCGGGCTTAGCGGCATCTCCTTCAATTGGCTCATGCAAATCCTTGCAATAGAGAATGTCCTCCATCCTTGGCTTCCATGTTACCCAATTGGAGTTGGTGAGTTTGATCATAGTGCCACTTCCTTCCATCTCGTAGTACGAGCCAACCGGGCTCTGATACCACTTGTTAGGAATGTCGGTACTACAAGATAGAGAATGCACAAGGTAAAGTAGAAAATGGACGCCAAGAATTTATGTGGTTCGGCAATTTATGCCTACGTCCACCAAACAAGGAATCTTCACTATATAAAAAAAAAAAATGAATACAACAAGAGTAGTCTTACCAAGCCAAAGACAAGGCTTGATGGATACAAGAAAGTATAACACACACTTTCTATCACTCTAAACTTCACTCACACAATGTGTAGTGGAACACTCTCACTCTCACTCTTGGAGTGGAACTCTAGCTTTGGACTTGATCCTTTGCTACTCACTCTTGGTTCTCAATTGGTTACATCACACCCATATTTATAGGTGAGGGCTTGGCATTCTACTAGTTTCTAGTTCCTTCTTCAAACCTCTAGTATAGAAAAATCTAGACTAGCCACATACTTGTAGCTTCTAGATCTTTCCATTTGCAACCAAGGAAGCTAGTACTCTCTAACTTCTTCCATCAACTTAATAACATGCTAGAATTGTCTAGCAAGCTCCAGCCTCATCTCTTGCTTACTAGAATAATCTAGAACATTGATCATGGGCTGGACCATATACCAACAATAAGTTGATAAACATTTAATTTGAGATAAATTATCAAAAACATGTGATATAGGCAGATAAAATACTATTAATCTATAATATAGATAATGAATGTACAAGGTAGATTGATATTCATGTGATATAGCAGCGAGTACTATAATAGTATGATTGAGTTTCCATCAGAAAAGTCGTAGCGCAACAACCTGTAACTCACGTTGGAGCAACTGTACTGTAGCATTCCATGCTGCAATAGCTTTAGCATAAAAGGGGAGGATACTCCCTCTTGATGCCCAACAGCAGAAGCAATAAACATCCCCTTCTCATCCCTCATAATCACCCCAAAATCACCCAACCTATAATTCTTACGAGAGAGTTCTAAGTTATTAATGGATTAGTTCAAATCCTATAATTAAGGAAGCTGTTCAACTATTAATCCTAAAATTAAGGGATTATGTGCATTTACATATTTATAATAACTTAAAATCATAGGGGTATATTGGTATGAAAATGTAAATATGCTGATGTGTAATCCTAGCCATTGGACCTATTTCACATAAGTGGACTATTTCCAATTGTGGCTCACAAAATTGGATCCATATCAAGTTTCCCCAAGAAAATAATTACCTGTAGACATTTTCTAAAGTCTTAAAAACGCGTCCCATGGATCCAGTGGAAAGCTCTTTCACCTTTTCCCCATGGAGATAGAATTGGAACGTTGGCTGCAGCAAAATGAACAACAGATTGACACCAAGCAGAAACCCGTTTTCAAATTAAATAACATAAATCAAAATCTTAAGTAGTTCGGAGAACAATGGCTTAACAACACACACACAAAAGAAATAACATAAATCAACTAATAAATAGACATTTGCATTCAAACAAAATACAAAGGATTGAGTTATTTACCGACTTGAGACCCAGCATATGCATTGAGAATAGTCCAGTCTATAAAGATGGAATAACCGTCAGGTCTAATGATGTCGAGGCATAACAAGAAAATATAGCATCATTCTTCTATTCTATGCATGATGATGGATGATGAATAAGACCATAAATCTTAAATAATAAAAAAAATGCTTAGGATGATCAAATTTAACAGAGGATTCATACCTTTGGCAGGGGAAGAACATACACTGTCATATGTTTACACTTGTTGCATAAATCCAGAAATAATGGATGTATCGCTTTAGAGCCTGCACTGCCCAAGAAGAAAATTCATTACTTGAAAGAAAATAAGAACAAAATGATAATTCGGGATGATGAAAGTACATTCATAAATTAGTTAAAAAACCAAAGTTAATTCATGGATCACGAGACTTGGGACTTACTTGTCCGGCAATGGTCTTCAGTGAAGAAGAGAACCGATGAAAGGCCCTCATCTGTCCCAATAAAGAAAACGAATTAGAAGTTTTTTTTTTGTTTATTCAGAACAAAATATAAGAAATTACGAGTGAAAAAATATTAAATAATACCACAGTATTCAAGGTATGGTGCAGAATGAAACTCAAAAATTAATACCTTGAATTTCTTTTAGTGCCTTGTGATAACCAATAGGGGAACTACATAGGTCAGCGTTTCGTGGATATGGAGGTGGAGGTAGTGTACCAGGTGGCCAATACCAATACCTAAATGGAGGTAGAGGAGGAGGTGGTGCTGGATGCAAAACATCGGGCAACGGACCCCAATCGCCGTCCGAATCCGTCCAGGAACAGAGGAATCTTCGGTGTTGGAGAGTATGAAGAGAATAAGATGGAATAATCGATGAGCAGGGTAGGGTTAGGGTTAGGGTTTGGGTAGAACTGGAAACAAAATGCCTACGGTGGTGGAAGGGAAAACCAACACCGGCACCAGGGTTGTTGCTACTGACCAGCAACTGCCGCATCAAAAACCCCAGATTTCTCTTCGCCATTCTCCTCCTCTCTCTTGGCTTCTGTTGGTTTTGGTTTGTTCTTTCTTTTGGGTGTTTTCTATCTCCTGGTCCTGTTTTTCACTTTTAAAGGGGCACATTTATTGCGGATGATACTGAGGGCTAGTATGGAAGAAAAACACCCCAAAATTGGAGATTGAGAGACTACTAGAAGGCGAGTTCAAGAAGGGCCGGTGGAAAGAAAAGAAAAAAACAGAAGGAATCCAGATCGGAGAAACATGGCGAGGAATAGTATCAGTGGCCTTTTGATGCGTCAGGCTTTGCTTGGAAGTGGAAACGGCCTAGGCAATGGCTCCTTCCAAATCCAAGGTCTCGGTCGTCTCGACAATCCCAAGTTTTTTCTAAACTGTATCCAAACCCTAAAAACCCTAAATTGGATCTCAACCGCACCGTCTTTATCCCCATCTATTCATATTACTTCCACTCCCAAATCACCCGTCTTTCTCGACTCCCTGCATTTTCTGCAACACCGACGACGGCTGTCCTCAGCCCCCGCCCCGGCCCAGTTCCAGTCCCCGTCCCCGTTTCTATCTCCCCGAGGTAACCCCTTTCTCTTTCTCTTCCGATGATTCTGTTGTTTGCCTCTGAGACTGCTGTGCTATTTTTATCTCTACTAATAGAATGCCAGAAGTCTGTTTTGATGTCTTAAGGCTTCACCAAAAAAAACTGGACACAAAAGCCCTTGAAACAAAAAAAATTAAAACTGAAGTAAATTATGAAACTAAATGTTTCATGGGCATTTGTGTAAATAAAACAGAAAAAAAATTGACAAAAAAAAAGGAAGAATTTCAAACGTGGGGAAAGGCTGGAGAATAATTAGAGAATTTCAAACTCACTGATTACCAGCGGAAACCAACCCACCCACCCACGTCTCTCCTCTATTCCCCATTTTCTGATGAAACTTCTTCCTCACACAGACTCTGTAACCTCCCACGATTCCACGGACAACTCTTTTCTTTCTGTTTTCTCTCTCTGCCTTTCGCCGTTTGTGAAGCAGAAACCACATACAAAGCTCAAAAGCAGCAAAGGGTTAAAAACTGGCGTATTGTATCCGATGGGAAGATCCCTCTGAAACCAAGGCAATCCAATCTGGGATCCTTAAACCATTGCCATCCAAGAGCATTCCCGCGTGCAGATGACATGCCTGAATGATCAACACCAGCACCCCACCCAACACTAGCAGCCTTTGGTGTTTCCACAGAGGAGGATTTTTCAGAGACGTTTCCCGCATAACGCTGCCAGCATTGTAACTCTCTTCCAAATCCAGGTTTTTTTTTTCTCTATAGCTTTTATCCATCTTTCTCATTTTTCCTGGTAATTTTTACTTTTTAAGATTAATTTGGTGTCTGGAATCTTGCATATTAGGTGTTTGTGAAAATTCCCCAGAGACTAATCGATAGTTTGAATGTGTAAGTCGAGTGAATTAAGGTTGTTGTAATCTATTTGTGTGTTTAATCAGTAATCCAGTGAATTAAGGTTGCTGTAAAGAGACCATCCACAAATTAGTACGAACCAGAGAGAGACAGAGATACCGAGAGCACTACGACTGCGAGGTCGCCGCCACCGCCGGAGCGATCACTCCAATTACAATACCCGAGACATCACCTTATCCCAGGTAGGCATTCGGCCGGCAACCAAACGCCGTCGTTTTGCTGTGATTGCTGCGAATTTGAATTTTGCAATTGGGTTTTGTTTTTTGAACCTTTTGGATGTTCCAAGATTTGATTTTTGCAAAAGGGTCTGTCTAATTACATTGGGTTATGTGTTTTCCAGGTTGATCTTCCTATTAATCCTTTTATTTTTGAAAAATTAGGATAGCTGCGTGTTTTCCTTTCCCAAATTATGGTTGCTTTCTTAATAGATGTGGGGGATTTGTATCTAAAAATATCTCTTTGGTGTGACTTCATAATCTTAAGTACCTTCTGAAATTTTCTATGTTTCCTTATTTTTCAAGCCATGGTATTATATAGCTGCATTTGGTTTAGGTGCTACCATCTTTCGCAGGAAACATGATAGAATGAACGATTGTATTGGACTACTAGGTGTTTGTGAAAATTCCCCAGAGAGCTAGAAACAAGGATATGATGCAAATCTGAAAGTAGGCTGTTTTGGTATGTGTGTGTACGTATAGGGGTGTTGTATTGCGATGACATACTGCCTTATTTATCTATTTTTCGATTGTTAGATGAAAGAAGGAAGTTCAATTTATCAAGGATCAAGGTTTGGACTACTAGACAGCACGCCGCCTTCGATTTGAGGTATGGAAGTCTCCAACTAGCTCAGATACTTCCGTTTTACACCATCAATCCAGTTTTTATTTTTCACTCTTTTCATTTTCTTTGTTCCTTGCTGCCTTCTTAATTCTCATTCTCCTATTGTATACAATGCAGTTGATCTTTTGTGTTATTTGATACTTTTATTAGTGGTTCTTGACAGCTTGCATGATGCTTATTGTTGAATGGTTTCTTATTCTCATGCGATTTTTTTCCTCTCTTCGTCCAGCATTCACCAATAAGCGAAAGTTTCTTTTAGTTGCACGGAGATATAGGCATGGCTCTCACACCGAGTATATAAATAGATTATAATATCACTTGATGCTGATGACATATCCCAACGAACCAATGCTTATGTGGGAAAATTAAGGTAAGGTTTTTTTATGAAAGAAAGTAAAGTTAAGGGTGGTTTTCTTTTTTATTCCAGGAGTTGTGGTTCTTCATTTTTTGGGGCCTTTTTCTCTGCTATTGTAACATTTTGGTAATAGAGGTAAGTAATTTAGAGTTATTCTTTTCAGGCTTTTCTGTAAGAAAGTAATAATTCTTTTGCGCAAATTCTGAGGTTTCAGTTTTGTATGATCTCAACGTTAAATGTGTTTCATGTTGTTTTATGAATGTATTGGACTACTAGAAAGAACTGCTGTGAAATTCTTCCAGTTTTGGCAAGACACTGCAATCCTACTTCTGCTTTTCCATTGCCTTCCAGGTATTTTCTCTTCCAGTTAAAGTGGGACAACCGTATCACACGCTTGCCTTTCTCGGAGCCGTCTACTTTTGAATTTGGAATTTGGGTTTTATCGGAAGATTGCTTCTTTCTTCCGGATTAATTTCGTGAATAATTGGTAAGTTTTCCTCTCACAATTCATATGTACATTAGAGTCAATATCATTCATTCTATATTCCTTATTTAATAATAACTTGATTTATGCAACCCTCAAGTTTATTTAGCCATGTAAATTGAACTTTTTCCTGCTTTAATGTAGGGGCAGTTCGATCCGCTGACGGGTCAGCATTAGCAAAGGTTGGTTCAATTGTAATATAAAATTCTGTTTATGTGCAGTTTTTAAGTTACTTATATTCTGAACGTAAATTTTTTTCATTTAGTCTGCAATTTCTGTATTTTTCATTGGCTTAGGTATTGCAGCGACTACTGTTAAACTGCTTCCCTGTGGAACTGCTTCTTAGTCTAGGGAGTTTTTGTGTGACAGGAGACGTATTCACTTTTAAGATTCCCAAAGGACTTCAACATATCAAGTATGGAGGGAAATGATAGAACCAATATGTCAGAGGTTCTTACCTTTTCTGCATTATTCTTCTTATGTAGAGATGATTTATTTTTTCTTTTTCAAAAATAAAATAAAATTCATTCTTTTTGGCAATTTCTCAATGTAGGTCGGCAATGAAGAAGTTCACTTCGGACAAACAAATGTCACAATTCTCAACAGTCAAACCAAAGGTATCGTAGGAGCAATCAACAAAGGCAAAGACGACAATCTATGAATTCATCACAGCGGGCTCGAATTTCACTGCGACGACTTGCCAATTATCAAACACGATTGAACTCAGTAAATATAGTACAAAATCAAACGGAAGTAAACCAAGATGACATAGGACCAACATCGGTGGGTAACTATGATTTCTTATTTTTTTTGTCTCTATTAATTATATATTTGTAAATTCATACGTTGTATGAATATTTTTGTACAAATTATTAAGACACATCTATTAAGATTGAACGAATGGTTATCTTACATTGTCATTGCCTTTCGTACTACCAATGGAAACATCCACTTAATAATTCTGTTATGTCTATAACAATTTCAACATTCGGATTGCATATATTTACCACAGTGACCAACATTTTAACAAGTACCCCAACAAAAAAAAAACAAAAAAAAAAAAAAAAGGAAAGAAATATGTCTGCAACGGTAAGTGATAAATTTTTTATGTAAACTTGGAATAACAATTCAACTATAATAGTCAAGGGAAAAATATAAAAACAATTACAATTATGTGCAGCCATCTTCTAGATTAAAATATTAAAATAACAGTTAAACTTGGTAAGTGATAAAATTTTTACGTAAACAGCTTCAAATTTATTGCTTCCAATCATGTGCAGCCATCTTCTAGATTTCACCCTTCACCTCCATACTTGGTACTATACTTTCTAAAGCATATACATTAACAATTACAATGGAAAAAAACTAACACAATACACATTTAGGGGCGCGTAGCGCCCGTGATGCAAAAATGCCTCTCGCACGCACGTTAGTGCGTGCAGAGAGGCTAGTAGAAATTAAATTTCCAAGTCCCGCGGCCATGGTCATCTTGCGGGAAGAGGACGAATATCGGAGAGCAATTCGAAAAGTTAAAGGTATTCCTCATTTTTCCACTGCATCGTCATCTTATTTATTAGGCATTTTTTAGCTTCGGCTTCGTAGCAAAAGGAAGAATATCCACCACAACTACTGGTTAGGTCAAACTAAAAATTCACTGGCAATACGCAGATTCCAGCTCCACAGTTCACTCAACCGGTTCCGGTTCACACATAGTCCTAAACTTTGCTTGTATTCATTTCCAAACTGCTGTATTTTTTCCCCTTACATGTAATATTATACATGCAGTTTTAAATAATCATTATTATTAATTTTTGAATTTTGATAGATGAACAACTGCCAGCAGTTTTCTACTTTGTTAGGCACGATGCTCAAAGTTGTAAGTTCTAATGAACAATTTTATGAATCAATTTATTTGTTCTAAACTGCTCCTTTGCAACTTATATATGGACTCTTCTTTTTCAGGCTTTCTTTTTGGATCTCCAACCACTCGAAAGATGAGGGAACAATTCCCACATGTAACAGTGTATAAGTTTGTGTCTGATATACAGGTATGGTGTTGTAATCCGGCCTTCTGTTGCCTTGGATCCTTTGATAACTAGTTAAGTCATATTCCCATTTTAAGGTTAAGAAGAAAACAAAGTGTTGTCTTTTTCAAATTCTAGTTATGGATCTTAAGATTAATGAATTTCTATGTTGTAGTCGTAACATTTTATAACTCTATTTGCAGAACTGGCACCCACTGGCAGGACTGATGGGTGTTAGCTCTCTGGTAAATGATTGTATCCCCCTCCTTTTTATTTTTAAAAAAAAAAATGTGCATGCTTACTTCATTAATATGATTGTTCATCTTGTTTTTCTTAATAAATGCTTTGGTGTTTATTTGTCCATTCTGCTGCAGCCAACATTCCATTTCTATCAAAATGGGAAAAAGGTGGGTGAGATTTTTCCCAGCCGCTATCTACATAGGACGCCAGATGAGATTCCCAACCTAGTATGGATACTTGTGAAAAACTCTACAGGTAGTTATTTTCTAAATAACTTCACCGTTGCATGCTTCTGCTGCATAATTGCGAGTGCAGTCTGAAATTGGTGGCTGCCGGCTGAGGTTTTTGTTTTTCCTTTTCTTTTTTTTATGGTTCAAGTGAAGTTCCCTCTGAATGTGATCTCCCTATGTTGACACTGGAAGGTACGTCATCCAGGTTGAAAAACCTCACCCTACGGGCTCATCTGGGAAAGGGAAGGGCAAAAGGAAGAGTACTTATCAACAACTTGTCGTGCAAGCTAAGACTGATGCAAACGAAAATGACAAAGTAGTTGCTTTAGGAGGGGGGAGAGCGGGTGATGCATCGACATCATCAGAACAGAGTGATGGCCGTGTTGAAGCAGTATATAGTAGTGGCAGTGCACCTTCACTTGATAAAGCGATGAGGGCTGTATCAGCTAACCCCTATTGTTATGAACATAGCGATCTGTGGTGGTATGCAAAAGGGGTATTGAAAGCTAACCCTCAGAAGAGAGCAACGCTACTGAAGGTGGGGACACGTGAGGTTAGTTGGCTACGAAGTCACATGTCTGAGGATTAAGTTGGCCTTGGATTGGACCGGATAGGATGCGCTTAAAATTTGATACTCATTATATTTATGCTGTTCGCGTTGTGGTTCATGACAGTGACTATTATGCTTGTTTAAATTTGGTCTTATGTTGTGCTCATATTCAGATAATCGTCATACTACGATGGTCTATTGTTGGATATTTGTCATCACAACTATGCTGAATCGAATGATTCTAGAACTCCCATCCGCAACTAGTAATGGCTTTGTAAAAGGGTCTGCAATCTTGGAATTGGTATCAACATGTTCAATCACCAGCAGCCCTTTCTTTACATCTTCTCTGACAAAATGATAGTTGATGTCCATCAAACAATTGGCAGAAGATTGCTTCTTGTTTGTGGAGATGACACAGCAGTCTTGCTGTCTACAATTCCAATTTTAAACTCTCTAGAAGAGATTGAGAAGTGGAAGTTTGACTCTCCAGTTCATGTCTGATAATTTTTTTAACATACAATTTTCTAATCAAAAGAGTGACCAGGCTGTTTTATTGTTTACTGAGAGGTTGAAGTGTTTCACTCAAAGATTTTTTAGGTCAATTTTTGAACAGATTTGAACTGCAGAAAAATCCTTAACAACTTGAACTGATGTCTCAGTAAAATCCTTAAAAACTTGAACTGAAATCATTATGACTGCATATAATTCTTATGTTTTTTTTTTGTAGGTTTTGACTGCAAGCAAAATTAATATATTTAGTTTCTCTCCTTCACCGTTGGAATACTTGCTGGATAATCATCACTCTCAAATGAGATCTGAATCAAGGATAAGTTATAGGACTTATGTTGTTCGCAATATACCGGAAGGCTCAGTAATTTTTCTCCCACTCCCTTACGTTCCACCTAATAATGTCTTCCATGGCTAGGACACTCTTGACAAGTTGGTTTTATTTGTCAAACTTACTGAGTCTTCCAGTATGTTGCAAACAACATAAGTCCTATAATTTATCATTGATTCATATCTCATTTGAGTGATGATTATCTAGCAAGTATTCAAACGGTCTAAAAAACAGAAACTAAATATATTAATTTCATGTGCAGTTAAAGCGTACAAAACAGTTCAAGTTGTTTCAAGAGTTCCCTAAGACAAATTGGGAGAGTTCCATCAAACATTTCATTTAAAGTTTGCTTATGAGCAGTTGTGGCACCATCAACAATTGTATCATAAACATTACATTAACAACCTTCCTACCAGTACAATATAAATGTTTAAAGTGAAAACTTCTAAAACCTTCTCTACCATATCTGTATTTTCTGAAGCACTCCAGAACCCCCTTCACAATATGGGGTATTTGGATTCCTAAATTCAGTTTTTTTATTAAATCGACCTAAAATAATCTTTAAGCGAACACTCCACATTTTCAGTAAAAAATAAAGCGCCTGGCTCACTATTCTGAATAGAAAATTGTTTACTAAAAATGGACATTGGCTTGCCCTGAAGTCTTCCATTGATGTGTAACTCATTGTGTGCACGTGCTTCAATGGAATAGTAAAATAGCTTACTGGTGATACATCAAACTGCATGTAGAGAGGCTATTCATAAAAAAATATAAAATCTACAGAATATAAAAGTTTCACATAATACAGATAAAAAATATAAGGTCCACTAGGAAACTTAAAAGTAATACCTTGTTGCTGAGCTAGGGTAGGTTTGGGGTTTTGAATGCAAAATGCCTACGAGGACTAGCACACATCATCTGCTACAACATCAAGAATCTAAATTCAATATTTCTCTTCATTTTATTCCTTCTCTTTTTCTCCTTTACTAGGGAGAGAGTTTGTGTGTGTAGCTAGGGGAGGTAGAAGGTCAACTGAGCTTTATTTCAATTGGGTAGCCTGTTTTGAACTGGGTAGCCTGTTTTGAACTGCTCATAATGAATGTTGAATGATGAATGGATGAAAATGGAAATGAAGTTTCAACTTCTTTTTTTATGGCAGAAAAAGAAATTGAAACCTACTTGGTTTAACCACATCAGATTGCAATCATCCGAATTGTGTTCATGTTCATGCAGATTTTTGTAATCTGATATAGTTAAACCATGTAGGTTTAAATTTTTTTCTTGCATAAAAAATAGTTGAAATCTCAAATCAATTTTTATCCTTCAATCATCCAATATTCATTACGTCCAAAGCAGGCTACCCAACTGAAATAAATCTAATTGACCTCTACCTCCCCTACCTACATTCACAAACTCCCTCCCGGTAAAGGAAATGACATCTCTCCAGAAAATGAATAGAGATATTGGATTTAGATTCTTAATGTTGTAGCAAAGGATGCGTGCTGCTGTTTGTGCTAGTCAATCATTTACTTAATTGATAATGGTAAAATTTTGTGCATTCAATCGTATAAAGTACATTGCTCAAGATCTTTGTCTTTCCTCCAAAATATGCATCCACGCTAAAAATGAAACTATGTGCAACTCAAGTGACAAAGTGTGAACATCCAATCATTATGACCCCTAATCATTTCTATGAAACTTTTATATTCTCAAGATTATATATTCTCTCCATGCAATTCGATGGATTACCAGTTTTATCTCCACATGTGCACACAAAACCTTGTTCGCGCGCTCTGCAACCGTCTCAGATATTATGTTTTATAAGGTGTTTCATTTATCAAATCCCTCAACTTCCATCCCAACATCATCATAATGGTTGACAAATATCCTTCACCTTGGATTTGAAATTATATTGATATATTAAATCAATTTCAGCTAGGTATAATTATGTTATTTTCTACGAGTTACTTTAATTTCAAATAATTATGTTCGTGTAGATAATTGCAATCTGATGCGATTAAACTATGTAGGTTTCAATTTCTTTTTCTGGCATAAAAAAAGATGATACATCAGCTCCATTTTCATATGGATCCATCATCCAACTTTCATTATAGGCAGTCCAAAACAGGCTATAGTAAAGCCCAATTGAAATAGAGCCCATATGACCTTCTATATCCCTAACTGCACGCACCAACCCTTTCTCCCCATTTAAGCAAATGACCTATGCAGAAAAAATAAAAGACAAGAGAAGAAAATGAAGAGAAATGTTGGATATGGATTCTTGATGTTGAAGCAGAGGATGCGTGCTACTGCTTGTGCTGAGCATTTTGCATCCAGAGTCCCAACCCTAACCTTACCACAGCAACCAGGTATCAATTTTAACTTTCCTATGAACATTAATCATTTCTGTGAAATTTTTATATTCTGAATATTTTATATTTTTTTATGTGTATTCTCCCCTTCGATGTATCATCAATTTTACATCCTAAGCTAATTTCTTATCCCACATGTGCTTCAATGGGATAAGAAATAAGCTTAGGAGATAAAGCTGATTATACATCGAACTGCAAGGAGAGAGAATACACATAAAAAAAATATAAAATCTTCAGAATATAAAAATTTCACAGAAATGATTAAGGTTTATAGGAAAGTTAAAATTGATACCTTTTTGCTGGAGTAGGGTTAGGGTTGGGACTTTGGATGCAAAATGTCCAGCACAAGCAGTAGCACACATCCTGTGCTTCAACATCAAGAATCCATATCCAACATTTATCTTCATTTCCTTCTCTCTTCTTTTATTTTTTCTGGAGAGAGGTGCTTACCTTTACTGGGAAGAGAGTGTTGGTGCGTACAGCTAGGGGATATAGAAGGTCAACTGGGCTTTATTTCAATTGGCCTTTATTATAGCCTGTTTTAAGACTGCCCATAACTAATGTCGGATGATGGAACCAGATGAAAATGGAGCTAAGGTTTCATCTTTTTTTATATGCCAAAAAAAAAAATTTGAAACCTACATGTTTTAACCGCAACAGATTGCAATCATTATGATGATGTTGGGATGGAAGTTGAGGGATTTGATATATGAAACACCTTATAAAACATAATATCTGAGACGACTGCAACGCTCACGAACAAAAGGAAAACAAGTTCAAAGGACAATCTGAAGGCTATCTATCCCCACCCAACCGAAAGCTGCTTGGGTGCTGAAGTTTCAGCACGAGCTCTTGCTTACACTCAATTCTAGGGTGGACACGTGTCCAATTTTTGATTTTTTTTAATCAAAAATTGAACTCGTGTTCACCCAGGATTGGGTGTAAGCATGGGTTCCTGCTTAAACGTTTAGCAACCAAATATTTTCTCCTTTTTATGCACATCACCCAATTACACGTTTAAGCTTCCATTTTCCTGTTATTCTGAGGGCAATTTCGGAACACAAATTAACACGTTTACTAAAATGTTTGATGGAACTCTCCTAATTTGTATTAGGGAACTCCTAAAACAACTTGAACTGTAATCATTGTGTGTATGAATATAATTCTTATGTGATTTATGTATTTTTGGTTATTTTTATAGGCTTTTATTGCAAGCAAAATTAATATATTTAGTTTCTCTTTTTTTAGACCGTCTGAATACTTGCTGAATAATTTGAACAGAATAAGGAAACAAAACTTCACCGTATTCAAAGATTAACAAACAAAATTATGCAACAAAGAAACCCCAAAAAGAAAATAAGAAGCCAAAATAATTTTATCGAAGAAGTTATTTAAATATTAATTTGATGCATTCCTGTAGCAAAATGCTTAACTCAGAAAAAAAAAAATCAAACTTTATCCATGCATTTAGAGTTGAAAATTATATCATCATTTAAGTCTAGGATAGGTTCTTCATATGTCATCAAAACGGTTCCAGTTCCCATGGTCCACATGTATATTCTCAGTTCTGATCCAGGGGATTAATTCTTTTCTTTTTTTTCTGGGAGCAAGTATGCTTAGTCCGACATCTCCCAGTTCTTATAAAATCAGTTTGAGGTTGCCATCACAGCATATCGATAATACATGATAAATGAAATGTATTCGAATCTGTAAATGTTGAGCCAAGCAAAAGCTGAAGAAAGAGCTTTACCTTCCTGATTTGCAGATGCCGAAACTTTGAAGCGTATTTTTGTACGTTTGGGACCTCTGGACCAGCAGCTTAGGGCGTTCCTTCTCTCGGCTATACACTGAACCCGAATGTCCTGCACAAAATGACAAAAAAAGAAATGCTGAGATCTGCGAAGACAGAAGATAAAGTCAACTATGTTTTGCAGATAAGTACCATAACTTGTCAAAATAAGGGTTTTATACCTTGTGTTTGCTCGGATCTGTGATCTCCGAGAAGATATCTTCTCCTTTGTTCTGTGCAGACCACAAATATGGAATTTTTTCCCCTACAACACAAACCGTCAGCCTTAAATTTAGTTTAAATCCGTGGGGTGTCCAATACATGCATTGTCAAATAGTACCGATCGTGTTCTACATTAGAAGATTAAATGAAAGCGGGGTCCATTTTTATGTACCTGAGGTGTAGATCGGCTAAGATTGCAAGTTTGGGGGCGCTGGATGACCTCTGTGCTCTCGGAGCTGGCGGCTCGTGGTAGTTTTTCTTGCTGTTTGTCAGATAACCATACGCATGTGTTAGATCTGGCTACATTTCACTAAAACAACTAACTCTGAAACGAAAATAACAAGATTTTAGGAGGGTTTTACCTTCAGCATCCCAATTTTTCATGCTTTCCCCATCACGACTGGCCCGCTGGGTACTCACGGAGGTGTGTATGTTGCTGGGTTCTTGGCTGCGAAAAGGATGCAGGGCTTAGACGGAGCTGCTGTGAAATGGATGGTTTGTATGAATGAGCGCTGCTTGAGGTTGGAGAAATGAGCGCAATTTCTGATATTAAAGAGAGAGAAGGCGCCGAGAGATGAGAGACATCTCTCATGTTCTAAACAGAAGTGGCTGGAGGCTTGAAGGAGAAGTCCTCAGATCAGAACAGAGACGCTAGGGTTTCTAAAAACAATCAGAAATGAAATGAGCGGTCGCGCAGCATGTGTTAGTCACTATATATGGGAAGAGGCTAATTTGAAATGGAGAAATAAGGAGTCGTTCGGCTCTGAGCTCGAGGAGGAAAGAGGACGAATTAGGGTTGCGAAATGGGAACCAGCAGCAACAATATTAAAATAAAAATCTTGCCAGAGGCCTTGCACTACAATCCAGCCCATTGATTTTGGTATGCTATTGGACCTAAATTTTGGGGATTGGGTTCAGCCCAAAAGGTTTCTCATCATTTCAGCATGTGATTTTTCCAAGGTCCAAGCCTTGTCACGCACATGATATTTCCAAAATAAGCCCCGGTGTGTTCATTTCCTCTAGTTATATATTTTTTTTAAGAAAACTAATGAAAAAAGTTTGAAAACTTTGAGTTTTAATAATAAGGACAAAATAAATGATGAAGTGAATAATAGCAGGATTGACTTTTTCGTGTAAAAATATGGTTTTTCGTTAAAGTGAACAATACTGGGAGCTTTTCGTTAAAGTTCTCTTTTTTGTTTTTTTAGTTTTTCATATATAGTTTGTTTAGTTCATGTTTTATTATATTTTTATTTAGTTTTCACTTCTTTTTGTTTTGTCGTTTTTTTTTTTAGAGTTAGTTAAGGGTTATGTATTATTTCTCTTTGGATTGTTTTATTTGTCTTTTGTTTATTTTTTTCACATCTTAAGGACAATGGCAATCCTCTTGAGTTTTTGTGGGGATGATTTCAAGATTTGAATGTATTCCTTTACTTATCATCGGACTTGTCTCGCCCTCAAATCTACCGTAGGGTGTCAGTTAGTTTGGTCAAGTTAGTATTTTATCTTATATTAAAGTCCCTTAAAGTTTCTTTGGATAAAAGACCTTTCGAATGTTATCTCAAATGTCATCTTTAACTATTCTTAAATTTATAATAAAACCGTTATGTTTCATGTCAAAAGAACATATTATTGGATGTCAAATTTTATAATTTCTTTTTTTTTCAACCTATCTTTAGTTTTATAATTAATAACTATGTTGTTAATATTATAGTTGGTAGAATGATAGCTTTTGCGGATATGATTTTTAAATTATAATAAAGATAATAAACATGTCTAACATGCAATAATGCATTAATTATAGATGAGAGAACAAGTAAGTTCCCTTCAAGAGGAACACAAACATTATCCATAACTTGAAACACCTACTATGGTTATTTAATCATACGGCCTAATGATATTTTTTTTCATTTGTAAGCGAGAAGTCTTAAATTTGATTCTCGTTAAAGGGCGAAGGTTAACCATATTATTATAGCAAACTTATTGTAAGACTTGTTCACTTTCCTATCAGCTTAGTTTCCATACTATTGTTTGTTAAAAAAATACACTAAAACATTGCATCCAGTTCTGTCGGTGCATTGTAAAATTTCTGATTACAAAGTGACAAATTTGAGCACAAAATGAGAGCATTAAAGTTCGAGTCTGGTAGTTAATTAGAGCAGTGAATACAAGGCTGAAAATGGTCAAAAGCATCACATGTAAATTGCCCTACATCACAACAAGTGTCGCATATTTTAGTTAATACCGTTTGTCCATCTCTCATTTTATTTAAAGAAAAAATAATGAAAAATATTTGAAAGCTTTAAGTTTTAACGATAATGATAAAATAAATGGTAAAATGAATAGTATCATGATTGACTTTTTCATGTAAAAATATATTTTTTCTTTAAAGTAAACAGTACCATAGAATCGTTTAAAGAGCCTCTCAGCTCAATGAACTTTACTGAGCCTCTCTCCTTTTATTTTAAGGAAAACTAATGAAAATGGCTTGAAAATTTTAAGTTTTAACGATAAGGACAAAATAAAGGGTAAAGTAAATAGTACCATGATTGACTTTTTAATGTAAAAATGTGATTACCAGGATTGACTTTTTAATGTAAAAATGTGATTTTTTGTTAAAGTGAACAGTACCAGAATTGACATTTTATTCACAAAAATTGTACTTTCGAATATTTACACGAGATGTGATGAGATTGATTAAAAATCTTTTTAGGACTTCAAAATAAAATTATCTTTGAGTTACTCTTATAATACAACATATCTCTCATTACATGTTTAACCCTATCATGCCTGGATCTAGAGATGACAAATCAACCTATTGGGTTGTGAATGAGTACCTGTTAAGATCCGTTTAATTTTAAATCACCATAATATAAAGGTGAGATTGGTAATGATGGTAATAATGTAAGGTGAAATCAAACTAAATGAATCTTAATATGTACACATTAACAATCTAATAAGTCGATTTGCCACATCTGCTTCCGTATCATTTGTTTCGAGGTTAAATTGGAAACACGAATTAGTTCGTGTCTGGCCTCCAATTGCAGATGACACATCTAATGAGGCATTTGATTGAGAGACAATCATCCCAAACTTTCATTTTGTTTCCATTTTTACCCTCCCACTCCAAGCACTAAATATCGTATTTATTAGTATTAAATCTGTTATTCATTCTCTATTTTCTTTTAAAAAAAATATATTATTCTTTATTCGTGAGCGAACTAAGTAATGAATTTATTGTTATCCATAACTCACGTCAACTACATTTTATTAAAATGACTTATATTTAAAATATGTACTCGTTAGAATTAGTATTGCTTGTTGTCAAAGAATGTCTTTGTAATCATTATATTCAAAGCTATGTGCTTAGATGTTTTCATCAAGAATGAAATTTCTTTGGCTTTGGCGTACCATGTCAATCCTCTTGAGTTTTGTGGGGATGATTTCAAGATTTGAATGTGTTCCTTTACTTATCATCGGACGTGTCTTGTCCTCAAATCCACCGTAAGGTGTCAGTTAATTTGGTTAAGTTAGTATTTTATTTTATATTAAAGTTTCTTTGGATAAAGGACCTCTCGAATGTCTTCTTTAACAGTTCTTAAATTTATAATAAAACCCCTATGTTTCATCTCAAAAGAACCAATTATTGGACGTGAAAGTTTGTCAAATTTGGTGTTATATTAGATAAACCGTAATATTCTTCAGTGTAATTAGGATTGATTAATAAATTGACTAGCATGGGCACAAGTTTTTTTTTTTAAATAATTAGATATATGTTAGAATTACATGTAGAAGAGGTTTTGAAAAGAAAAAAAAGAGCAAATTTTAGTTATGTAAAATTACATTTCTACCATATATTTCTTATTCATGTTATGTTTTAATTAGAGGGTTAAACTGATAGTTTCATAGAATTTTGGTTAATAATAAATGTTTTATTAATTACTAGAGATAGTAGAAATAAGTTATAAATAAAAAAAAAGAGGGTATTTTCGACAGCACCGCTACAGTACCAGCCTAATTTGCTATTCTCCACAGACCCAAAATAGGAATATCAGCAAACCTCCGAAACGCCGCGTTTAGTACGTTCCAGGGGGACCGAGCGCAGCGCACTTCACTGGGCGTTTCAGGTTCTGGCGGGCACGAACGAAACGGCGATTGACGTCGTACCTTCCTTGGCGCCCAAACGGTAAATCAATCGTCGTTTTCGGCAATTTGGGGCTTGGGGTTTTTTAGAGGGAGTGAAATGAAATTGAATAACTTGCAGACGATTTCAGATTTTGATCCCAAAATTCGAAGCTGCATTGGGCTCTGGCGCCTTCTTCTTCTCCTTCCCAATTACAGTCGTCGTAGCTTTCGCATTCAGAAATCGAATTATTGGCGCCGCAAAAACTTCCATCTGATTGTTTCTTCTTCCTTTCAAAGGTGAGCACTTTGCTTTGCATCCACATATTTGAGTTTGCTTGTTTTCTTTGAATTTTGAGTTTTTTCTTCTTCTAAATGTTGAAGAATTCATATGAGTGACTGTAGCATTGAGCTGAGTGATCTGTTTGGAGAGTCAATGAATGTAAAATTGTGATTTTTTTAATTTAATTTCTAATACTCGTGTTTTTGGTCAGTGTGAAATTCGAACACTTTCCGCTATCTGGCATGGTGGTGGCAAAGGTGTTTGATTGTCGTCACGGAGATTGTCAGGAACTTGAAGGGTCAGCTGCATTGGGTATTGTTTGTCCAAAATGTCTTCATCTCCTGGCAAAAAACCAGAGGCTATATGTATATATCTACTCTTGTGTAAATGATTATTCTGTTAATACAATTGAAAACTTACAGAGGACGTTTTCTGTTTCTATATGGACCTCTTTGCATTTGAAGATTTCTTGCTTGAGCAGAAGCGTAAAGAACAAGAGACACTTGTGAAGGAGCAAGCTGAGAGAGAAAGGCAAGCAGAAGAGCAGAGGCGAATTGAAGCGGTGAAGGCAGCAAGTGACGCTGACAGAGCACATGCAAAGGCAGAGATCTTAAAGAGACGACAAATGGTGCAAGAGTTGATAAAAAAAGGCTGCAAGATCTGTTCAAGACGTTTGGCACATAGAGTCTGGAGAGTTTAAAGGCGAGGACTTGGTGAAGTTATGCTATAACCAAAGCTCAGGTCCTCTTGCTAATGCTAAGGAACTATGGATTCATGGGCGGCGTATTGGTTGGAATGATGGATTGTCAATTGTAGAAAGGCTCCGTAGCTCTGAGAGAAAGGATGGTGACTGGTGGTATGCCAATGGTACGTATGTGCATTTTTGTATTCCTGTCCTGTCTTCCTCGAACATGCATAAAATGTTACAATTTGCGGGAGATGGCTATTCCTTATCGTTTGTTTTCATTCCTTTACCAATCTGAGAATTATGAGATAATTTTCTGTTTGTTGCCGGCATAGCATGTTGTAAAATCATCCTTATTGTCAACTTTATTTCTTGTAGTTATTGTACCTGATCAAGCTGTTGTCTTGGAGGAGTCACCAATCAACATGGTGCATATTTCTGTTGAAATGGCCCCCATTGCAAGGGCAAGCTTGTGAGCATACACATTGTCAGTGTGTACTTGCTTGCACGTATAGACCCTACTGGTATTGTTCATTCCTTTTTCCCCCTCCATTATTCATAACATTTATTCTAGGTTGGCGGTCTTGGTGATGTGCTTACGAGTCTCTCACGTGACGTGCAAGACTTAAATCACCACGTCGACATCATTCTTCCAAAGTATGACTGTTTGAACCTTAGCAGTATAAGTTTTTCTGCTGTTGCTTTATTCCATATATCTTATATGCTCTTTTACCCTCTTTTTCATTATGCCATTGAGAATTGGTCTTTTGTTCCTTCTTTTTTTATATTCTGTAATTTTAGTAAAAAAGTGTGCTCATTCTAGGTCTTATATCTGGCATTTGCCTGCCTATTTTGGAGATGATTATTGGATGTTTTTTTTTGAAACACAGATTTTTTTCTCTTTCTTGTTTTTTACATTATATTCTTTCTGATTCATGCATTTAGTTGTTCTTATTCAACATGAGCTTCATAATAATTTGGTTTCTAAATTGCTAAATGTCTGTGTTCCGATACAGGCGATCTAGTTTCAGTGTGACAGAGCATGAGTTTCAGTGGATGTAATTTAGCACTTTTTGCATTATGTGTGTGTGTGTGTGTGATTTTCGAAATTGCACATTTTTATGTGGATTTCAATATGTTGTGTTGCCGTTTTCTTATATATTTTCTAAATTAGTGCCGTCAGTTCTAAATCTCTTTAATGGCATAACAGATGCAAACAGAATGCACTCGTATTTTCTCATTTGTGGGTTGCCAGAGTCTTGACCTATGGTTTTAAGTACGAGTGTTTAGAAATTGTTTGAAACCTGGGTCGGATGCGTGAGTCCTGTAAGCTGATTGATATTGTTGGTTTCTTCTGCAGGATTACGTTCCAAAAGAAGCGTTTCTGGTTTTGAACCTCTCGTCGCCAGACTTCAAGCTATACAATCAATTTACAAACTAGACAAAAAATGCCTCACATGTATCCAGCTTAAGCTTTTGGACAAATATATAAGATCCCCTTAATTAAGCGGCAATAATGGGTTGGGGTTGGGCAGCTTGGCTTCAATCCTGATGTCCTCCATTCTTCTTCTCCTTGCTGCATTTCTTCATGGTTCTCTGTATATAATAGAGAACCATTTTGTTGTTTTTCTAGATCTTGCAGTTGAAGTCGACGTTGGTTCTTCTTCTCCTCCATCAGCCACACAAGTGATGTCATCCTGGCCAAGAGACGACCCATTCTCAGATAAGGTAGAATTAACAGATGATGATGAGACTTTCCACCAAGGTCGGACATAAGCTCTTCGGATTCATCATTACCAGTGTAACTGCAACTGCAAGAAATAATCGAAGTTTTTGCAAGAAAAGCAAGGATTCCATTACAAATAAGAAACATTAGGTTGTTGGGCTACTTGCAAATTTGCAAGTGGAACTGGTTCCTCAGCTTGAAAATGTGGCTCCATCTTCATCTCGTCAACAACCACCCAAAAATTCACTGGCTGCTACTGTTGTTGAAAGTACCACGAAGCAATCACTTGCTCTAGTTCCAAAGGATGTATCAAAGCTAGCACAGAGGTTTTTTCATTTGTTCAATCCAGCATTATTTCCTTATAGACCACCCACAGGACCAGTCGCGAACCAGATTCTTTTCACTGATGCAGAAGACGAGTGAGTTGCACGCTTTCTCCTTCATTCTTGAGTTGGTGGCTTATCCTGATTTGTTTTTGTAGTCAGACTTTGGAAATTGTGATTAATATCAATCTATATTATTCGTTTATTATAGTTTTTGGGTTCAAGTGTTTTATATTGGAACTGCAACACAGATTATTAGCATCGGAGATGATGGAATATAATACAGATTCGAAGGCAATTCAACAACGTTTTCTTCCTTGCAAAACTAAGCACCAGGTAATTTTTTCTAGACTATGTACCAGGTAAAACATTGTGTTGGCTGCCGAACTGCTCATATTAGAGAAAAGGGTGTGGCTAGACTTCAAGTCAGATTCCGTTCTAGACTTAAATCATTGCTACTTATATCCTTTGCTTCCTAAATATTGATGAATGTATTGAGGCTTAGGAATTTTCTGAGCTTTTGGAATAAAAAGTAATTGCAGTGTAAGAAACACAAGGTTTTGGGTTCGGGCTGTGATTGTAAAAGAAATAGGAGGTTCGGAAGATTTGTTTCTAAAAGTTACATCAAAGTGGATCATAGTCTTTTAAGTTTGTCGGTTTAGCTGAGCCTGGACTACAAAATTATTAAAGATGGGGATTTTTATTTTAAGTTCGGTATTTGATGCAGGACTGCCAAGCTGAAAAGTCTGGTCGAGAGAAGAGCGCAGGTGGTTTGACCGACAATAATGCAGGTGGAACTTATGTTCATGAGGCCTGGCCTTTTTAGCAGATTGGATACGGGGTATTTCCTGTGTGGTGCTATCCATGAATGGGTACATGTTTTTGGGGTTAAGGATGCTACTCGATGGTCAATCTTAAAGCACCTGGTGTTAGACATTTTGCATCCAGTACCACACAAGCGAATCATTCTGTTTCTCAACTCTGTTATCAGCCGTATCGAGCCCGTATAACTAATGGTGCGCTAGCTTAACTCTGTTATCGGCCGTATCGAGCCCGTAGAACTAATGGTGCACTAGTTAAGCTAGCGCCGGAATTGCCTGCTATGAAACTTCCACCAGTTGTTGGTGTAGTCTCACAATCTGCCTCCAGAGGCTTTTTACGTGGGACATCAACATCATCCACAGTTTCAACTTCCGGAGGTGGTAGTGGTGCTTGCTGCAACACACGATCTATTTTCTCAACTTTCTAAAGTTGGAAGGTCCAGAAGATTCTAGAATTATCAAGGATAAATGTGCAGGAGAAGGAATAGATGTTGATTGTGATCTTCAGATGAATGGGAAGCTAAAGACCTGTACAATGGCATAGGCGCATCGCTCACATCGTCTTGAATTCGTAAAATAATGTTCAGCTCTTGCATGATCAGTTTTCGAATGCCATACGATTGTAGTTTGTTTTTCAAGTTTACTCTCGGTTTTTCACACTTGTGCAACTACTAGTTATTTGAGTACCAATGGATCTTTGGGAACTAAATCCTACTTGCTATTCAATCGTACAGTACATCGCTCAAGATCTTTGTTTTTTTCTCCAATATATGTATCCACACTAAGAATGAAACCATGCGCAACTTAAGTGACAAATTAAAAAAGCATCCAATCGTTTTAAATCATAATATATAAATTGTTGTGCTTGAATTGAAAATCAGACTTTCAAACCACCATAATAACAAAATCTGTTCTATTCCATAAACCAGACATATAACAAATCTATTCAAACTACCATAATAACAAAATCTGTTCCATAAATCAGACATAATAAATCTATCTACTCAGCCATCCAAATCTATTCTAGTCAATCATCCAAGCTTGGTCGACCATCTTCCAACTCGAAATCTCTCTCCTCGTGGCAAATCAGCTACCTCCATCACTTTAAGCCCTTCAACTTGACAAAATTCAACTGAGGATGTACACAAGAATTGCATCCGCAGTTGAATTTTGTCAAGTTGAGTGTACTCTCAAATAGTATTTAGGTCGTTTTATAATCATATTCGAATTGCAGAATCCAACTGCAATTATACCAGAGATTCGCCATGTTTTGAAGAGGGTTCTAGATATGTTTTTGAAATACCATTCTGATAACAAATTTAGACAAATCCACCTAGAAAATTTGTATTGGACGGGTAGGAAGGTGGTTGGTATTATGTTTAGGAAGGAGCCAAGGAGAGTGATTTGGATGCTCTAAAAGTGACGGTAACTAAAATGTTCGATGGAACTCTCCCCACTTGTCTTAAGGAACTGTTGACTCAAATTGATGAGAATTCATTGTGAGTATACGTATAATTCTTATGTAGGCTTTGACTAATTTAGTTTCTCGTTTTTTTAGGCCGTTGCAATACCTGAGATCTCAAGAAAGGATAAGCTACCGGACCTATGTTGTTCGCAACATATTGGAATGCTCAGTAACGTCGGTAAATATAGGCAAATTGGATAACTATTGGAAGAATGATCCAATATGTCAGCTTGTTCAACCTGTCGCATGGAAAAACTTGTTAGGTGGAACCTATGAGAGTAATGCTAACTGTTGGAACAGGCAGTCGGAGGATCATATCCCGTATCTTATAATGGCGAGGAATATTGGGGAGCATCATTTGTCTGCAAGTAATATTGATGAAAATTGTGCTCCCCAATATTCCTCGCCATTATAAGATACTGCCATTATAAGATACTGGATAGGATACTCCAACTGCCTATTCCAACCGTTAGCATTACTCCCATAGGTTCCACCTAACAAGTTTTTCCATGCGACAGGTTGAACAAGCTGACAAATTGGATTATTCTTCCAATAGTTATCCAATTTGCCTATATTTACCGACGTTACTGAGCCTTCCAATATGTTGAGAACAACATAGGTCCGGTAGCTTATACTTTCTTGAGATCACCGGTATTGGGACGGCCTAAAAAAACGAGAAACTAAATCAATCAAAGCCTACAAAAATAGATAAATCACATAAGAATTATATGTATACTCACAATGAATTCTCATCAATTTGAGTCAGCACTTCCTTAAGACAAGTGGGGAGAGTTCCATCGAACATTTTAATTACTGTTGCTTTTAGAGCATCCAAATCACTCTCCTTGGCACTTGGCTCCTTCCTAAACATAACACCAACCATCTTCCTACCAGTCCAATACAAATTTTCTAGGCGGATTTGTCTAAATTTGTTATCAGAATGGTATTTCAAAAAAATATTCAGAACCCCCTTCAAAACATGGCGAATCTCTGGTATAATTGCAGTTGGATTCTGCAATTCGAATTTGATTGGAAAACGACCTAAATACTATTTGAGAGTACACTCTGCCCTAAAAAATAAAGTTGACCCATGCTCCCTACTGTGAACAGGAAATTGGATTCTAAGACAATTCTCAGATAGAAAATGTACAGAATCAGACTTCCAGTGGATAACATCTAATATGTTAGAGACGTTAAAGATTGACATTGGTTTGCCATGAAGTCATTCCATTGAAGACGGTGTGACTCGAGGTTGAGTGCTTGTTCAATGGAATAGGAGAAGAAAAATCGCTCGGTGGAGGCAAAATTGGTAATACACCGAACTGCAGGGGGAATGTACATAAAAAATATAAAATTTTCAAAATATAAAAGTTTCACATAAATGATTGATTAGGGTTCATAGAAAAGTTAAAATTGATACCTTGGGGTAGGGCTGGGAGTTGCGGTAGGGTTGGGGTTGGGACTCCGGATGCAAAATGGCCAGGACAAGCAACAGCAACAAGCATCCTCTGCTTCAACATCAAGAATCCATTTCCAACATAGCCTGTTTTGAACTGCCATGATGGATCCGAACGAAAATGGAGCTGAGGTTTCATCTTTTTTTTATGCCAGAAAAAGAAATTGAAACCTAAATGGTTTAACCGCATCAGATTGCAATCATCTGCACGAACACGAACATAATTAATTATTTATAATTCGAAAAAAAGAAATTAAAGTAACTCATAAAACAGAAAGACAAGAGAAGAAAAGAGTATATTTGTACCTAGCCGAAATTGATTTAATAAATCAATATAATTTCGAATCCAATCGATCCAAGGTGAAGGATATTCGTCAACCATTATGATGATGTTGGGGATGAAAGTTGAGGGATTTGATAAGTGGAACACCTTATAAAACATTAGGAAGGTTTCAGGGAAGAAATCAGAGAGTTCCAAGTTTGGGTTTGGCTTTTTGGGGGTTGGTCTGGATTTAACTAGGAGGAGAGGGCATAAGCGAAAGAAACGGTTCGCAAGGGAAGAAATCAGAGAGTTTCAAACTACGAAGAGAGGGCATAAGCGAAAGAACGGCTGCAGAGCTTGCAAACAAGAGCACCTTTGTATAATCTGAGTTTCAGAAGGCTATATATCCCCACCCAACCCTAGGCCCTTTGTATATAGCTTTAGTGGAAGACAGCACATCACCCAATTACACGTTTAACCTTCTATTTACCCGTTATTCCGAGGGCAATATGGGAACACAAATTAACACGTTTAAAAAGGCATTTAATTGAGAGATCGTCATCTCCACCTATACTTCAAAGTTCACAAAAGTCACTCATTTCTTTTTAGAATAAAATAATATTGTTAGAAAAGAATAAAATAAAATAAATCATTTGGGTTTTCTCAACTACGTCACATCCTACTATTGCCAGAGCAATACCAATTACTTAACATTTTAAATCATTTGGTTTTGGGTCCCACGTGACCACTACTCTTGCCCGTTTATTTTCACTCCTCCCCTCAGCTGACACTCATCAGCTATCTCACCCTCATTCTCTAGGATATCGTTCGGTATGCAGACGAAACGAAACAGAAAAGGAGTAAAGATATCATCGAATAGAAACAAGGAGAAAGAAGAAGGAGATGAAGATGTTATAATTTTATGTTCTACGGATGTGGAATGAGTCGTTCCAGAAGATAAGGCAGAAGCACTCCGTTATGTCGCGTCCCACGTATCAAATGGTAGGGTGCGTTTGGTACGCAGACGGGACGGAACGGGACGGGACGGGACGGGACGGAACAGAACGAAGGTGTAATTTTTTAAAAAGGCATGGGGTATATTTGTCTTAAAATGGTAAAACATTGTGTTCCACAGACGTGGAACAAACCCGTTCCAGGGGGTGGAGGTGGGACGCAAAAACACCCAAAATCTGTCCCGTGGAACAGCCCGTTCCATCCATTTTTGGCGCACCAAACGCGGGACGGAACGCCTTGTCCCGTTCCGTCCCGTCCTGTCCCACGTACCAAACGCACCCTAGAAGCACTCCGTCTCTTCCCCCAACAAAACACACACACACACACACACTCTCTCTCTTTTCTTTCCCTCTCCGTACGTGCCCTTAATTTTAATTTGAAGTTGACAAATCTATCCATTAATTTCGTGTTTACCCTTAATTTTACAAATGGGGTGTGATATCCACACACCCATTTTTACTTCTCACACACCCTTTTAATTTTCGGCCGTCGGATCAGATGAAATGAAGAAGATCTAACGGATAGAAATTAACAAGGGTGTGTGAGAAGTGAAAATGGGTGTGTGGATAGCACACCCCTTACAAATTGGCCATTAATTTCGTAATTATCCTTAAGTTTACAAATCGACCATTAATTTCGCCCTCATCATTTGTTGATTTCCTTCCTCAATTCTCTCTGATCAACCCCCTGTTCTTGGCAGGTCCCCTCCCTCACCCCCCCCCCCCCCCCCCATTTTTCTACAGAGAGACGTCGTGTGAGAGGAAGAGAGTAGTGGTAATGACGGCACCAGATTGAAATGATGAATCTGTTAGGTTAGATGAATATGTGGGGTTTTTTAAAAGGAAAACTAACGAAAATTTCATAAAAACTTCATTTTTAACAAAAAATTCTTTTTAAAGGTATAGTAAATAATGATGGTTAAAAGTAAAAATGTGGTTTTTCGTTAAAAGTGAACAGTATCATGAGTGTTTTGTTAAAACTCTCTTTTTCAAATCACAAATAATATTATTTTAATGACTATATGCCCACAGTCCATCTTATGTTCAAAATTTCTAGACACATGCATGGAATTGGTCTGCACGAAGACCATCAGACGGCAAAAGTTGAATTGAGTCAGCTGTCACCAATTTTCAAGGTGCAAAGTTATCATTTTTGCCCTCAATTTTGAAACATGCATAGTTCGTTACAAATCGGAAATGAGTTTCGTCTGCTGTCACGTATTTATAAAAATAAGTACCATTCGAAAATAATAAAATAAAACTGAAAAAGTGAAAGGAAAATTGAGGTTCACGTAGAAGACTTACGTGGCATCACAGGAGTATTTTGATAATTTCATTATTACTGAGAATAAAATACAATAAATCTCGGTACAGGATGTCACATATCAAAATTTAAATATTTTTTTTAAATTAAAATGTTCATTGAAAACAAATTAAGATAATCTACATAAATTTTATTTTCAAAAAAGTTACCCAAAAAAAATTTAGGTTAAAATTATTATTTAATAATTTTGGTCTAAAATTTTAAGCCATAAGAGTTGGAGGAGAAAAATAATTTCTGAGTTATGATTTAAAATATTTTGGCTTAAATTTTAAACTTTATCCCCAAAGGTTGGAGATAGTCTTGGGACTTTTACAGTCAGCCAAACAATTGCAAAACTTCACCAATCTTCCAATCTATGCACAAGTTCACGTAATGCAAATTCAAAATCTACCATTTAGCTACTTAGTACTACAGTATAATGATATTTATTTTCAATAGCCTATTTATTTTGAAGTCTCTCTCCTAAAAAGCTATCTCTCTCCCAGCAAACCCTAGACGTCAACCCGTTCGCCGCCGGCCTCTGGCTATGGCTGGGGGCCGGTGGCAACCTCTCATCTCCCTTTCCTAGCTCATCATCCCTTTCTCCTTCCCCTATTCCCCATCTCAGCCATCATCCACCCCTCGCCATTCTCGTTTTTCTTCCCACCTCCTCGCCGACCCATCATTCCCGACCTTTCCCTTTCTCCTCTCCCCTTCCTTGCTTCTCTCCCACCATTTTGGGTGCAGATTTCCATGGATCTATGCCCTATACCATGACCTGGGCCATGCCCTTTCAAGATTCTCTTCGATTTGGCGCTTGTTTTCCTTGTGTGGGGTTTAGATATATGCTGCAGGTGGCTTGGACCCCCTCGTCAACTCGGTTTCATGGTGGTGGCTCCCTCCTCGACGGCTTCGGTGCTCTCAGCTCTGGAGGATCGGCTTGGTATGGGAGCTTTGTAATACCCTGAAAATTTTAAATATATGAAAATGTGGAGAAAATCGAAAATAAATCGATTTATGATTATGAAGAATTAAATCGAGAATATTATTGAACTTTTATATGATTTTTCAAGAAATTATAATAATTCGTGTAAGTTTAGTTTTAAATTAAACTAGTTACGAGGTTTAAAGTTTGGACCTTAATTATTTAAAATACGTAGACCTTTTAAGGTCAAAAATTATATTTTTGAATAGAGCTCGACCTCACGAACGCGTAGGCGCAAACCGTTCGTGAAACGGAGTTAGAACGAAGAAGTTATTAACGTTTAAAGTTAGGGGCATTTTAGTAAAATGGTTAAGTTCAAGATAATTCCAGATTTTTGAAGAAAAATCTGGAAGGCCACGTGTGTGGCCGAGATTTAAAGACATAAATGATGGGCGGTGTAGAGGGGAAATAAAGGAGAGAAATGAGGGAGAGAGGAACCAATCAGAAAAAAAAGGGATGAGAGGTGACCAATGAGGGAGGAGAGAAATGAGGAGAAATGAGAGAAGAGAGACACGGGGGATCGGGACCCGGGTCTTGGTGACCCGACCTGGTCGGCATCATACACTTTTCCGGTGGATTTTCACCCCTTTTTCCGGTGAAATGCATCAAACCACCCTTTGGAAACCCCTCAACGATCTTCCCTCTTCCTATTGCATCCCAAAAATCATAAAATTTGGTCTTGAAATTTAAAGAAAGAACACTCGGTGCCGCGACTTTCCTTGTTCGAAATCCATCAAAATCTGAAATGTTTTGGTTCAATTACAACCACCATTAGACTCCCCTTAAGAGCTGGAACAAAGCCCATTCATTGGTTGGGGCGTCGGAGTTGCTATGGAGTCGAATTGAGGACACCCAAATCTTAGGGTCCCGACGGGTTTTGACGAAATTGGAGCCTTTCCAGGGCAAATTGGCCTTGGTTGCAGGTATGAAAGTTTCTCTACTCATTGAGATCTTCATTTCTGTAATTTTTGAGAATTTTTAAAAATAATTAAATTTTTCGGCGAACCGGGGCAGCCGACCGCCACCGCGGCGATGGGTGCGGTGGCTCACAGCCAGGGAGCCTACAAGTGTGTTTTATGCGAATTTTGTTATTCTAATTATGTTTTTTTGATTTAATTGATGTGGTTTGAACATTACTACGTTTTTGGTATATGTTGGATTAAAGGAATATTTTCGGGTTTGGTTAAAATTTTGAAGTTTTGAACTATGAAAGGCTTGATCCCTGTTGAGGGTACGTAGGCAGTCTAACGAGACGTTAGATGCAGCCATAAAATAAAAGGAAAACTAATGAAAATGACTTGAAAACTTTGAGTTTTAATGATAAAGACAAAATAAAGGGTAAAGTGAATAGTACCAGGATTGACTTTTTAGTGTAAAAATGTGGTTTTTCGTTAAAGTGAACAGTACCGGGTGCTTTTCGTTAAAGTTCCCTAAAATAAATGTGTTTAAATATTCGAGAATTAGTATATAGATGGAAATTGATCCAAGAGAAGAAAATAAATTAGCTATGTTTTTAGGTTGGGCCTACCATACTTATTTTCCCGAAATATACAAATATATCGGGGCAGGGGCGTTACAAGCTTGGTGTGTTTGTCTCGGTACGGCTCGGCTCGACTTAAGCGTGGACGCCGGCGTCCCACTGTCCATATTTTGGAGGAGGCCTAGGCCTGGGTGCCTCGTTCCCCCTGTTTTTTAGTTGTACATTGGATCCTTCTAGGTGTAGTTTAGTTCCTCTCGCCCTTGTGCACCGCGGTGACGCTGATTTTTGGCTAATTTGGTCTTTGCCTTTGTGCGTTGTGTATTGTGAGTCTCGTCTGCTAACGGTGACTTTTAAGTGATCTCGCACTTTCGCAATGACTTTTTGTAGCCTCGCTATTCAACGATAACCGTTGTGTCTGCTGATATCTCTCTGGTGCATCTATCGTTTAGTGACAGATATGTACTGGTAGATTTGTGCGCTTGGCGACTGTGTGGTTGAGCTTGTGGGTGTCTACTAGGGGTTTAATGTTATTTGTTTGTTTTTGTGCAAATTCATTACAGATCAATTTATTGGTCACTGGAATTATGTACCCAATGACACTTTGTAATTGTTTGGTGTTGATTAATGAAATACTATGCTATCGTTTATTGTAAAAAAAAAAAAAAACCCCTAACCCTAGCCCTATCCTCTTTTGAGCTGGTGGTCTGTGTCAATCCGTATGCGGACATGGGTAAGTGGTGACCAAAACAATGATGCCCTGAGATCCGTTTGCTACTCGAACGATACATATGTATGTATGTATGGAACATTCGTGATAACTAACATATGGTCCTATCCTAAAGCTAAAAGTATCCGCTAATCAAGGGTTAATATAAATTATTGAGGCAAAACTTCCTTTTACGACACATGATAACAATCTCGCTCATTGATGAATTCATGCTTCCAACACTGGGGTCTCAATATAAAAAGATAAAAAGACAAAATTAGACAAAATTAACATTGAAATATTCGGTATCTTTGTAAGACCATGATTTTCATCTATAATATTGTTCCATACTTTAATGAAACCAAGAAATATCAATTAACAAAGAAGGGAAATATATACAAATTAAAAGAAGGGAAATATATACAAATTAACAACCAACAAATGGTTTATTTATAGGGAACTTTAACGAAAAGCACCCGGTACTGTTCACTTTAACGAAAAACCACATTTTTACACTAAAAAGTCAATCCTGGTACTATTCACTTTACCCTTTATTTTGTCCTTATCATTAAAACTCAAAGTTTTCAAGCCCTTTTCATTAGTTTTCCTTTATTTATAATATACCCTACTCATCTTTCTTAATGACAGAAAGAGTACAAAATTGTCACGCATTCCAAATTTAATCATATTTTATTTTTTAATATTAGAAAGTTACAAAAGTACTTTTGACGGACTAAGTGGAAATCTTATGTTAATGTCCTAATGTGAACATTTGAGTCCTTGTTACACTTTGCTCTCTTTCTCGTCGTTCTAGACGGTATGTATGTGTTCTCATGAATATAAGAGCACGAACGATGCATAAATCAAATAATTTTGACAACAACAAATACAAAATCACTGATTGACCTCTCCGTTTATCCCCCACCCCCCTCTCTCTCTCATTCGACAAAAATATCCATCATCCTCTTTTCAAAATTGCAATTATATAACTAAAAATAATATATAAATAAAAACAGAAAATATGAACCAAAGATTGACAAGGGAAACTAAAATTTAAAATAATATATAACTAAAAATAATATCTGTCTCGTTCTAAGAGGACCCTACCCCTTCAACTTGTGCAACGGCAAGGTATGAATTCTGTTAATCTCTTTCTGAATCAAACCAACCCGATTTTACGTTTTCTCTTGGTCTAGCTCACCTATGATTTTGCTGCATTCGGTCATTTTGTTGGATCATTTCTTAGTTCACTGAATAGCCCATGTTTTGGTTTGATCAGTTTTTGTGATTAGTTATTGTTTCTGATTCATATTTTCTCAGAACAACTGTGATTCTTTGTTGTTATGCTTGCTGGGTGTTAATCAATTTGTTTGATTTTCAATTGATTAATCTGTTGTTGATATCCATTTTTGAGCTTAATCGATGTTTTCTAATTGATTATGGTTTCTCACTGCCTTCCAGTCTTCTTGGCCAATGTAAGTGAATCGAATGGTAAACGCCACTTATTTTATCGTAAGATGTCGGCATTTTACTAAGAGTCATATAGTGTTTCGACGGAGCACTTCGAGGTAAAAAAGTTTCTGCGTTCAACCTCTCTAACAATGCAGATATAGAAAATTGGATAAGTGACAATCAGCAACGATTCTAAACAGATAGTGGCATACGAGTTGATATGATTGGTTAAAAATCATATCGAAAATCTATCCACAAAATTCTTATAGAATCATGATACGTGTCGCTACGGCATTTGTTAAAAATCTACCCATAAAAATTGTACTTTCGATTATCTTTGAGTTGCTCTTATAAATTATAATACATCATATCTCCTATTACACGTTTGAGCCTATCATGCCTGCATCTAGAGGTGGCAAATCAACTCATTGAGTTGTTAATGTGTACTAATTAAGATCCGTTTAATTTGATATCACAATAATATAGATGTGAAATTGATTGTAGTGGTTAATGGGCACTCATTAACAACTTAATAGGTCGATTTACTACCTCTACCTGCATTTATATCATTTGTTTCGAGGTTAAATTGGAAACACGAATTAGTTCATCTCTAGCCTCCAATTGCAAGATGACATGTTTAAGGAGGCATTTAATTGAGAGACCGTCATCCCAAACTTTCATGTTGTTCCCATTTTAACCCTCCCACTCCAAGCACTAAATATCATATTTATTAGTATTAAATATGTTATTTATTCTCTATTTTATTTTTTAAGAAGATATTATTCATTATTCGTGAGTGAACTAAGTAATGAATATATCAACCACATTTTATTACAATGACTTATATTTGAAAGTTATATGTACTCGTCAGAGTTGGCGTTATTTGTTGTCAAAGAATGTCCTCGTGATCATTATATTCAAGGCTGTGTGCATAGATGTTTTCATTAAGAATGAAGTTTCTCTTGCTTTGAAATACTATGTCAATCATCTTGAGTTTTTGTGAAGATGATTTCAAGACTTATGTGTTCCTTTACTTATCATTGGACTTGTCTCGTCCTCAAATCCACCTTAGGTGTTAGTTCGTTTGGCCAAGTTAGTATTTTACTTTATATTAAAGTTTTTTTGGATAAAAAATATCTTGAATGTTATCTCAAATATCTTCTTTAACAATTTTAATTTATAATAAAACCGTTATGTCTCGTCTCAAAAGAACAAATTATTGAACGTCTAAAATTGTCCAATTTGGTGTTGTATTAGATAAACCGTAATATTCTTCGGTGTAATTAGGATTGATTAATGAATTTGATAAGTAAAAAAAAAGGGTATTTTCGACAGCACAACTACAGTGCCCGCCTAATTTGCCAATCTCCCCAGACCCAAAATTGGAAAATCCGCATAGCGCCGAAACGCCGCGTTTAGTACGTTCCATGGGGGCCGGGCGCAACACACCGCACTGGCCGTTTCAGGTTCTGGCGGGCACCACGAAACGGCAATTGACGTCGTACCTTCCTTGGCGCCCAAACGGTAAATCAATCGTCGTTTTCGGCATTTGGGGCTTAGGGTTTTTTAGAGGGAGTGAAATGAAATTGAATAAAGTGCAGTCGATTTCAGATTTTGATCCAAAAATTCGAAGCTGCATTGGGCTCTGGCGCCTTCTTCTTCTCCTTCCCAATTACAATCTTCGTAGCTCTCGCATTCAGAATCGAATTATTGGCGCCGCAACACTTCCCATCTGTTTGTTTCTTCTTCCCTTCAAAGGTGAGCGCTTTGCTTTGCGTCCACATGGTATCGTATTTGAGTTTGCTTGTTTTCTTTGAATTTTGAGTTTTTTTTTTTTAATGTTGAAGAATTCGTATGAGTGACTGTAGCATTGAGCTGAGTGATCTGTTTGGAGAGTCAATGAATGTAACATTGTGATTTTTCAATTTAATTTCTAATATTCGTATTTTTGGTCGGTGTGAAATTCGAACAGTTTCCGCTATCTGGCATGGTTATATGGTGGCAAAGGTGTTTGATTGTCGTCACGGAGATTTGCAGGCCTGTTACGACTTCTAGATTTGAATAGAACTTGAAGGGTCAGCTGCATTGGGTATTAGTTGTCCAAAATGTCTTCATCTCCTGGTGAAAAGCCTTCTCCTGCTACCGATAGCTTGAGTAAGCGGCATGAGAGTGTATTGAGACTTGAGGAGGATGAGGGTGAAGATGAGGATGAAGAAGAAGATATTGATTTCAATCCTTTTTTAAAAGGAACTCTTTCGCCCGAAGCTTCTTCAAGCCTGAGCTCTGATGTAGAAGGTTTAGACGGTGGAGTTGTTGACAGCAGCAGAACCACTATTGAACCTGCCAGGATTAATTCTTTGAGAGTGGCTTGTGAGGTGCAAAAGTGTTCTGTTGGGGATTCTGAGCATGGGGAGGAAGAAACCTTGATGCAAACTAATGTTTCTCCTGACGGCACATCTGCAAATGAGTTTGAAAAAACAGTTTCCGGAAATGCTAACAGTGAAGCTGTTCAAGAAGAGGATCATGTCTCAAGCAGTGAAACTGATGTTAATGTTGCTATAGTAGGAGAGTTGACTAACACAGAAGACATTCCAAAGCCCACTATGGATTTAGATGATGAGGATGAGGATGCTATTTGTAAACGCACCAGGGCCCGCTACTCATTAGCAAGTTTCACACTTGATGAACTCGAGAATTTTCTTCAAGAAACAGATGATGAGGACGACCTCCAAAATGTTGATGACGAAGAAGAATACAGGAAATTCCTCACTGCTGTTTTACAGGGTGAAGGTGATGACCAGTCAACTAAAGAAAATGAAAATGCTGATGATGAAGATGAGGATAATGATGCAGACTTTGAGATAGAACTTGAAGAGTTACTTGAGAGTGACGGGGATGAAAATTCTAGGGACAACAAAAGTATAGATGAGAATGGGGGAGCTGGAAGACGACCAAAGACTAGGCAGAATGAGTGTCAAAAAGCACCTGCCCAATGCAAGAAGAAGAATTTAGGACAGACAAAATGGCCGTTGCGCCCCCTTCTACCAGTTATGCCAAAAGGGACCACTGTCTTGTTTCTCTAATCATGCCAGCAGAAATTTAATGCTCGGAACAGCTTCAAGCTGTTTGTCTTCCACAGTAGAAGAGCGTTCTATAAATGGTTTCACTGCCCACCAGATAGGCCAGTTGCACTGCTTGATCCATGAACATGTGCAGCTACTTATTCAAGTATTTTCTCTGTGTGCCCTTGATTACTCTCGGCAACATATTGCCTCCCAGGTTCAGAAATTGATCTCTGAGATGCTCCAGAAGCGCGACGAAGTACTGACATGGAAAAATGTACCTTATCCTACTGTTTGCTTTTTCCAATCAGTACCAACTGAATTCCCTAATTCCTATAGGACACAAAGCACCTTGGCATCATCCCTCACATTCGATGCACGTAAAGAGTGTTCTTCAACTAATCAGATGGCAGTTTCCTCAAATACTTCTCCTTCCAATGGTAGATGTGAATGTGTTCCTAATGGGCAGGTGGGCATTTCCCAGAATGTTGGGGGTTCTTTCTGGGTGCCTTCTATAAGTGGTCCTGTGCTATCTGTCTTGGATGTAGCTCCACTTAGTTTAGTTGGCCGTTACATGGATGAAGTCAATACAGGTATACCATGAAGAAAGTCTCAAGTTTTTTTTTCATGCTTTTGCTTTCATATTTGTGTCAATAATTTTTCTCTTTATTTATCTGCCAATGAGTTGCGATTATTTTCACAGCTGTTCAGAAAAATCGACGGTGTTACGTGGAAACTAGTTCCGATACTCGCCTTGAAAAAGAGCCTTTGTTTCCCTTTCCAAACTTTCCATTAGGTTCTCAGGCCACTTGCGAATTTGTAAGTGAAACTGGTTCCTCATCTTCCAATGTGGCTTCATCTTCATCTAGTCAACGACCACCCAAAAAGTCACTGGCTGCTACCATTGTTGAAAGTACCAAGAAGCAATCACTTGCTCTAGTTCCAAAGGACATATCAAACTTAGCCCAGAGGTTTTTTCCTTTGTTCAATCCAGCATTATTTCCCTATAAACCACCCACAGGAGCAGTTGCAAACCGGATTCTTTCCACTGATGCAGAAGACGAGTGAGTTTCACTCATTCTCCTTTATTATTGAGTTGGTGCCTTATCCTGATTTGTTTTTGTTGTCAGAATTTGGAGATTGTGATTGATATGAGTCGATAGTATTCGTTTATTATTGTTTATTGGTTCATATGTTTTATATTGGAACTGCAATACAGATTATTGGCATTGGGGATGATGGAGTATGTTAGGCAGAAAAATCGCTGCTCATCAAAAGCACCAGAAAATCCCATAAAGGTATGGAGAAACTAATGGCTGAATTTTTTTATTTATTAGTATTACTTTGGTACATGTGTATTGTTGGTGGAATGAGATGACAAGATAAATTAGTAGAAAATGATTTCCTGTGACTATAGTCATTTATTAGAATTCAATTAATTGGTAGGCATGACAAGTCAAATGCTCGATCAAACATCTAATCATGTTTTAATGGTTGAAAAGAAGTTATGGTTTGGGGGTTTAATTGTTGACTTTTAGATCATAATGCTGTTGTATACTTGTGACCCTGTCTTTTGTCAGTAATTCATGTAGTTGTCTATTTCTTCATGCAGGCAGTGCGGAGGATGAAAAACTCACCTTTGACTGCAGAGGAGATAGCATATATTCAGGAGGTAATGCTTGATTCGTACATATATGTGTGTATAAAAGCTTTGAGAGCATTACTCTCATGTGTGCAGTGTATGTATATGTATATACTAAATACATATGTTGACTTGTTTCAAATACGGTTCCAATTGGCATTCAGTTTTATCTATCAGATTCTCGTTTAGCTATATGGTTTAATGTGACTCCATACTCAGGGACTTAAGGCTTATAAATATGATTGGTTGTCCATATGGAAAGTCATTGTCCCACATAGAGATCCATCCTTGTTGCCTCGGCAGTGGCGTATTGCTATTGGGACTCAGAAGTCATATAAGGTTGATGAATCGAAAAAGGAGAAGCGGCGATTATATGAATCAAAAAGAAGGAAGGACAAAAATGCAGATTTGTCAAGTTGGCAAAATTCATCCAAGAAAGAGGTATGATTTCCTTTGAACTTAGAACATTGTGTTGGCAATTCTTTTTGCATTGATTTTGGAGTTTTGAGTAATTCTTTTATGATGGATATAAGAATGAAACATTGTGTTGGCTGTCGAACTGCTCATATTAGAGAAAAGGGCATGGCTAGAGTTATTGCTAAGTATATCCTTTGCTTCTTAAATATTGATGAATGTATTGAGGCTTAGGAATTGTAGGGTATTTTGACATTTTTGAACTTTCAGAATAAAAAGTAATTACAAAATGTAAGAATTAGAACGTTTGGTACAATTTGCTTCTTAAAGTTACAATAAAGTGCATCATAGAGTCTTTAAGTTTGTCAGTTTCGCATAGATGCATGGTAAATGTGCGCCAAGTCCAATTTTACTCATTTTTCAGAAATGTATAAAAGATTCATTTGGAACTTTTCTGCACACACCTATAGTTTAGCTGAGCTTGGATTATAGATGATTGAAAGCCCATTAAATGGATGGTGATTTTATTTAAAGTTTGGTACCGATGCAGGACTGTCAAGCTGAAAAGTCTGGTGGAGAGAACAGTGCAGATGGTTTGACCGACAATAATGCAGGTGAAACTTATGTTCATGAGGCCTTTTTAGCAGATTGGAGACCAGGTATTTCCTGTGTAGAAAGAAACCCTAATAGTGGTACCCTATCCCGACGTGCTATCAATGAATGGGTAGATGTTTTTGGGCGTAATGAAGCTCTTCAAACCCAGACCGCGTCACAGTGTCCGCATGGTCAATCTCAAACAACTGGTGTTAGACATTTTGCATCCAATACCACACAAGCGAATCATTCTGTTTCTCAACTCTATTATCGGCCGTATCGAGCTCGTAGAACTAATGGCACACAACTAGTTAAGCTAGCACCGGAATTGCCTCCTGTGAATCTTCCACCATCTGTTCGTGTAGTCTCACAATCTGCCTTCAGAGGCCCTTTACATGGGGCATCTTCCACAGTTTCTGCTTCTGGAGGTGGTAGTGGTGCTGCTGCAACACACAATCCATTTTCTCAACTTTCTAAAGTTGGAAGGTTCGGGACCTCTGATGCCATAACAGCTACACAGAATAAAAGTAGTTCTGTGAAAGACACTGTTTCGACGTTGCATCCAGAAGATTCTAGAATCATGAAGGATAAATGTATAGAGGAAGGAAGAGATGTTGATTCTGATCTTCAGATACATCCTCTGCTGTTCCAGGCCCCGGAAGATGGACGTCTGTCCTATTTCCCGTTGAACTGCAGCAACAGCAATTCTAGTCCTTTCAGTTTTCTTTCAGCAAATCAGCCTCAGCTACATTTAAGCCTTTTTCATAATCCTCAACAAGGAAACCATGTTGATGGTTTTGACAAATCACTGAAGGCACCCAACTCAACATCTCGTGCCAGTGTCATTGATTTCCATCCACTGATGCAAAGAACTGATTATGTAAGTAGTGCCACAGTAAGAACATGCTCAACTGTACCCCTTTCTGCTGGTTCAGGGGGAAACCGTTCTCAAGACCAATATCCTTCTGATACTGGTCGGACTCATTTGTCGGTCAATGCTGATCCACAGGCTATGGGCACTAATGAGAGAGCTAATGAACTGGACTTGGAGATCCACCTAAGTTCTACATCTAAAAAGGAAAAAGCTTCAAAAAGGAGAGATGTCACCGTTGATAATTCAGTTAAATCAAGAATAACGGAGCCAGAAAAGACAACTCAATGTCCTAATAGTTCATTGCTTCGGCAGGCTGAAAGTTCTTCAGCAAGTGGTAGCGAGCTTGTTGTACCAAGTAATAATATTAGCAGGTACAGTGTAGATGATACAGGTGACCAGTCCCAACCTGCTATTCAGATGGAACAGGAAGAGTTGATCGACTCTGATGAAGAAAATGAAGAAAATGTTGAGTTTGAGTGTGAGGAGATGACTGATTCTGAAGGAGAGGGGGGTTCGGCGTGTGAAGAAATTGCCGAGATGCAGAATAAGGTGACTTTTCTCGTCTTTTTTTCCCATTCAGTTTTAAGATTCTATTGGCTTAAGGGAACCACGTATTTTTACTTATGGCCTAAGTTATTAATGCTACCATTCTAGTAATTTTGCTCGTGGGCCTCCATCTCTTATTGTTACGGGTACCCGCCAATCTTGTTCGGTAAGGGAGTCCTCATTTGTTCCTTTTTCTGACTTTCCATTTTCTTGTTTATAGGATGTTCCATCGTTTGCAATGAAAAGACCTGCAACAGCAGATCTTGATGGCAAGGAGTGTGAGCCAAAACCCACTTATCGTCCTCAGGACAATATTCACAGAATTCCTTACTTGGACGATGCCAGTAATTCTTCATGGGTAAGTTTGGATTCATGCGCGCCAGATCACCCTTCGCACATTATGTCCAAGTATGATGAAGGTACAATGGACAGCAGTTTTGCTGCCAATGACTCGCAGTCGTCTTGGCCTGTTCGCTCTTGTAAGAAGGCAAAACTGAGCACAAGGGGAGGTGCAACGCAGAAACAAGCGGTGGACATGACGCACCAACTGAGCCTGGGTCCTCCATCAAATCCGACGGTGAGCAAACCCAGGAAGCGTGTATCGGGATCGAGTACATGTTTGAACATAGGATTGACTGTAGAAAACTCCGGCAGTGATGGCTAACATAAAAGATTTTCAAATGACTCTGCACCCTTACTAACCCTAGTTTCTAGTTCTATTACAAGTAGAAATAGAATTACAACTCGAAAGGGAAAAGCTATTAAAATTACAAGTAGAAAAGGGAAAAACTATTAAAACTAGAAAAGCTATTAAAATCACAACTAGAAAAGGAATTAAAAGTAGAAATAGAATTATATTGGGTAATATATTAAGGTGACTAATTTTATAGATAAAATTTTACAAAATAAATGATATGAAAATTGATAATTGAATCATTACTTAAGCACTAATTAACGTGCTTATTCCTATTGATGATACATCATTTAGTTTGTAAATTTTGTTTTACAAATTTACAACTCACTATAATTCTTCACTACTCATACAGGAAGGTAAGAAAAACTTGCTTTTTTGGAGGGAATCAAAATGACGTAAATCCCCAATTTTATGACATAGGAACAGATTTTTGCTATTACAAGTAGAAATAAGATTACAACTCGAAAGGGGAAAAGCTATTAAAATTACAAGTAGAAAAGGAAAAGCTATTAAAACTAGAAAAGCTATTAAAATTACAACTAGAAAAGGAATTAAAAGTAGAAATAGAATTATATTGGGTAATATTAAGGTGACTAATTTTATAGATAAAATTTTAAAAAATAAATGATATGAAAATTGATAATTGAATTATTACTTAAGCACTAATTAACGTGCTCATTCCTATTGATGATACATTATTTAGTTTGTAAATTTTGTTTACAAATTTAATGCACATACCATTATACGTGATTCAATTTGGAGGGGCACGTTTATGTCCCTTGGATTTATTAGAAGAAAAAAATGCCACGTTGCTTGATTATAATTTAATTTAGAGGGGCACATTTATTGCGGATGATACTGAGGGGTTGTATGGAAGAAAAACACCCCAAAATTGGAGATTGAGAGACTACTAGAAGGCGAGTTCAAGAAAAAAAAAATGGAAAACTAATGAAAAGAACTTAAAAATTTTTAGTTTTAATGATAAGGACAAAATAAAAGGTAAAGTGAATAATACCAAGATTGATTTTTTAGTGTAAAAATGTGATTTTTCGTTAAAGTAAACAGTACCGAATACTTTTTATTAAAGTTCCTTGAAAAAAAAACAGCAGGAATCGAGATCGAGAGAGAAACATGGCGAGGAATAGTGTCAGTGGCCTTTGGATGCGACAGACTTTGCTTGGAAGTGGAAACGGCATAGGCAATGGCTCCTTCCAAACCCAAGGTCTCGGTCGTCTTGACAATCCCAAGTTTTTTCCAAATTGTATCCAAACCCTAAAAGCCCTAAATTGGATCTCAACCGCACCGCCTCTATCCCCCTCGATTCATATTATTTCCACTCCCAAATCACCCGTCTTTCTCGATTCCCTGCATTTTCTGCAACACCGACGACGGCTGTCCTCAGCCCCGGCCCCGGCCCAGGCCCAGTTCCAGTCCCCGTCCCCGTTTCCAGCTCCCCGAGGTAACCCCTTTCTCTTTCTCTTCCGATGATGTTGTTGTTGCCACTGAGACTGCTGTGCTATTTTTATAGAAATTAAATTTCCAAGTCCCGCGGCCATGGTCATCTTGCGGGAAGAGGACGAATATCGGAGAGCAATTCGAAAAGTTAAAGGTATTCCTCATTTTTCCACTGCATCGTCATCTTATTTATTAGGCCTTTTTTTGCTTCGGCTGCGTAGCAAAAGGAAGAATATCCACCAAAACTACTGGTTAGGTCAAACTAAAAATTCACTGGCAATACGCAGATTCCAGCTCCACAGTTCACTCAACCGATTCCGGTTTACACAGTCCTAACTTTTGCTTGTATTCATTTTCAAACTGCTGTATTTTTTCCCCTTACATGTAATATTATACATGCAGTTTTAAATAATCATTATTATTAATTTTTGAATTTTGATAGATGAACAACTGCCAGCAGTTTTCTACTTTGTTAGGCACGATGCTCAAAGTTGTAAGTTCTAATGAACAATTTTATGAATCAATTTATTTGTTCTAAACTGCTCCTTTGCAACTTATATATGGACTCTTCTTTTTCAGGCTTTCTTTTTGGATCTCCAACCACTCGAAAGATGAGGGAACAATTCCCACATGTAACAGTGTATAAGTTTGTGTCTGATATACAGGTATGGTGTTGTAATCCGGCCTTCTGTTGCCTTGGATCCTTTGATAACTAGTTAAGTCATATTCCCATTTTAAGGTTAAGAAGAAAACAAAGTGTTGTCTTTTTTCAAATTCTAGTTATGGATCTTAAGATTAATGAATTTCTATGTTGTAGTCGTAACATTTTATAACTCTGCAGAACTGGCACCCACTGGCAGGACTGATGGGTGTTAGCTCTCTGGTAAATGATTGTATCCCCCTCCTTTTTATTTTTCTTAAAAAAAATGTGCATGCTTACTTCGTTAATATGATTGTTCATCTTGTTTTTCTTAATAAATACTTTGGTGTTTATGTGTCCATTCTGCTGCAGCCAACATTCCATTTCTATCAAAATGGGAAAAAGGTGGATGAGATTTTTCCCAGTCCCTATCTAAATAGGCGGTCAGATGAATCTGAGATTCCCAGCCTCGTGCTAGATACTTGTGAAAAACTCTACAGGTAGTTCTTTTCTAAATAACTTCACCGTTGCATGCTTCTGCTGCATAATTGCGAGTGCAGTCTGATATTGGTGGCTGCCGGCTGAGGTTTTTGTTTTTCCTTTTCTTTTTTTTATGGTTCAAGTGAAGTTCCCTCTGAATGTGCTCCCTATGTTGATTTTTTTTTTTCACTGGAAGGTACGTCATCCAGGTTGAAAAACCTCACCCTATGGGCTCATCTGGGAAAGGGAAGGGCAAAAGGAAGAGTACTTATCAACAACTTGTCGTGCAAGCTAAGACTGATGCAAACGAAAATGACAAAGTAGTTGCTTTAGGAGGGGGGAGAGCGGGTGATGCATCGACATCATCAGAACAGAGATGGCCGTGTTGAAGCAGTATATAGTAGTGGCAGTGCACCTTCACTTGATAAAGCGATGAGGGCTGTATCAGCTAACCCCTATTGTTATGAACATAGCGATCTGTGGTGGTATGCAAAAGGGTTATTGAAAGCTAACCCTCAGAAGAGAGCAACGCTACTGAAGGTGGGGACACGTGAGGTTAGTTGGCTACGAAGTCACATGTCCGAGGATTAAGTTGGCCTTGGATTGGACCGGATAGGATGCGCTTAAAATTTGATACTCATTATATCTAAATAGGCCGTCAGATGAATCTGAGATTCCCAACCTCGTGCTAGATACTTTTGAAAAACTCTACAGGTAGTTATTTTCTAAATAACTTCACAGTTGCATGCTTCTGCTGCATAATTGCGAGTGCAGTCCGATACTGGTGGCTGCCGGCTGAGGTTTTTGTTTTTTTTTTTTAATGGTTCAAGTGAAGTTTCCTCTGAATGCGATCTGCCTTTGTTGATTTTTTTTTTTTTTTTTTTTTTTTCATCACTGGAAGGCACGTCATCCACCCTATGGGCTCATCTGGGAAAGGGAAGGGAAAAAGGAAGAGCACTTATCAGCAACTTGTCGTGCAAGCTAATACTGATGCAAACGAAAATGACAAAGTAGTTGCTTTAGGAGGGGGGAGAGTGGGTGATGCATCGACATCATCAGAACAGAGTGATGGCCCTGTTGAAGCAGTATATAGTAGTGGCAGTGCACCTTCCCTTGATGAAGCGATGAGGGCTGTATCAGCTAACCCCTATTGTTATGAACATGGCGATCTGTGGTGGTATGCAAAAGGGGTATTAAAAGCTAACCCTGGGAAGAGAGCAACGCTACTGAAGGTGGGGACACGTAAGGTTAGTTGGCTACGAAGTCAAATGTCTGAGGATTAAGTTGGCCTTGGATTGGACCGGATAGGATGCGCTTAAAATTTGATACTCATTATATTTATGCTGGTCGCGTTGTGGTTCATGACAGTGACTATTATGCTTGTTTAAATTTGGTCTTATGTTGTGCTCATATTCAGATAATCGTCGTACTACGATGGACTATTGTTGGATATTTGTCATACATATGTTTATGTTTATGTTTGCAGTTTTGTGTTTCCTATGTTTAATAAGTATTCCTATTTCAACTTCGCATGCATATTAGTACTCGTTTCATGTTATGTACTACGATGGACTACAAGACTCATTTAATTAAAATGAAAATAATATACACACATACGATGGAACAACATAAAAAGGGATGTACTAGGACTATCTACAACAACAACAAAGTTTTTTTTCAGTAAGTGGGGTCGGCTGTATGAATCTTTGAACGCTATTGCAGAAGACTCCTTAGAAAAGGAGAAGATAAGGATAGCTCTTACATGGAGCAAGAAGAGACATGTTCCAATAAGTAAGAACTAGCTATCTAGCCAAAATGGATACCAAAAAATCTACCAACAACCAAGATGAAGGGGCTATTCCCTTTGGGATACCTTGGGCCTAAGAAGCCTTTAGGATATTGACTAGAGAGGGAGGGGGCACACAGTCCCATTCGAAGAGCACGACCCTCTGTATCGCCAGCAATGTCGCTGCTTGAGCTGCTTTGTTTGCTGACCTAGGAATCCATTTCCAATGACGAGAAGAGAACGAGCAAGCATGTCTCCTTGTTTCTTCCACGATTGGAATGATTTTCCACATACCTTCCAAGTTTCTTTTCTAAATTATTTCCATAACATTTTTGCAATCATCTTCCAAAACCACTAGCTGCTGATAAGAATTCCAATTCCATAACATTTTTACTAATTTTAGCAACAGACAAACGGTGTTTGTGGTTGACTTGGACATGATTCAGAATAGAATAATTTGTTGTTGTTTGAGAAACTCGTTTTACATCGGTGTGTAATCAACAGTCCAGATTTGACACCCGAAAAACTCCAAAACCAACACAAATCAACAGTCCAGATTTGACACCCGTACTAATTAATTAATCAACACTAGCATTACACACGTGATTGAATTCAGCTAAAAGCACATCATAATAACACGAACATTTTTTAATGATTACTTCGACACAAGTCATATTTCACATGTTATAATAAGAACGGATTATATCGCTAATATGCCTTGTATCTTGGTCTATTAATAAAATAAAACTAAATGCTCTAAGCTCTTTAAATGGAATAATAATAATAATGTTGGTGCCATGTCCTAGATACACCACAAAATTTTCCTTGTTATTTTATGAAACATATCAATCAAGATCTTTGATATTTAATTAATTAATTAACGGATAGGCTCAGTCTTCGAGATGGGTTGCTGATCAGTGGGGATTATAATTTTTGTGCGTGTGCTCGAAGGAGCAAGAAGGAAGCAGCAGAACAAACATTCTTCTGCCACGGAGGTTTCTATTCATGCACGGAGGCCGCTCAGTTGCAGAGGACTTTTCCAACCGGGAAGAAGCATCTTAAAGCTCCAACCTTCCACTGGTTCTCACCCCATGGAAGGGTTAGACATTTCTTATATAAATTTGTATACATATATGCGTCTGTATGTGTGAATTTTCTACTTATTGTTCTAATATTTCTCTCATTGGGTATTTTTTTTTAAATTTTTTCTACGCCCACCCCGTGCATCGAACCTAGGACCTATACTACCCCACCCCTTTACCCACTTTTGGTGGGGCATTGGTTGGAGATTTTGTAAAAGTGGAAGCTTTTTGGGTGAAACTCATGTTCTTATTCTTAGTGGGTACTCCCTAATCTTACTGTAGATAGGATTTCTGCATAACAGTGGAAGGTGGAATGGACCTCTTTGCATTTGAAGATTTCTTGCTTGAGCAGAAGCGTAAAGAACAAGAGACAATTGTGAAGGAGCAAGCTGAGAGAGAAGGGCAAGCAGAAGAGCAGAGGCGAATTGAAGCGGAGAAGGCAGCAAGTGAAGCTGACAGAGCACATGCAGAGGCAGATATCTTAAAGAGACGACAAATGGTGCAAGAGTGCTCATTCTAGGTCTTATATCTGGCATTTGCCTGCCTATTTTGGAGATGATTACTGGATGTTTTTTAAAAACACAGATTTTTTCTCTTTCTTGTTTTTTTTTTTTTTTTTCCATTCTGTTGTCCATGATTCATGCATTTAGTTGTTCTTATTCAACATGAGCTTCATAATAATTTGGTTCTAAATTGCTAAATGTCTGTGTTCTTCTGATATATGCGAAGGAGTTTCACTGTAACAGAAGCTTCTCTTGGGGAGGAACGGAAATAAAAGTTTGGTTTGGGAAAGTGGAAGGTGTTTCGATCTACTTTTGGAGCCTCAAAACGGGTAATTTCCTCTTTCACGTCCTTCAAAATCACGTGTTTCTAATGTACTTATCAGGTTTACTACCTTTTGTTTTCTTTTTAATGGTTGATATATATTTACACTTTTTATATCTGGCAATTGATTCTACTGTAATTTGTAAACAAGAATGCCATTGTGCCAGATGCAGCAATTTGTTGTTTACAACAAATGTTTTCTATTTCTTTTTCTCTTTGCAGATTCTTTTATGCAGGTTGCATATATGGCTGTAAAAATGATGCAGAGAGATTTGGTTTCTTTTGCCATGCTGCGCTACAAGTACTACTCCAAAGTGGATTTCATCCTGTGAGTACTCGTGATACAATTGCTTATTTTAGAATTTATTAATTTCACAGGAAAAAGTGGCACAACATCAGATGTCTTCAAATTAGTGGTCCTCCTTATTCGGTGGAAGAAAGGAGGAAGCATAGCAAAAATGAATACGCAGTTTATATGCCACCTTGTACTACAAATGAATTAAGTCATAAAAGTATGGCAGTGATGTTGCTGCCTACTCTTACACATGCATGTGTATTTTTACGGACATGGGTAAGTGAAAACTACCTACGGGAAGCAAGTTGAGTAAGGTCAATTGCACAAAAAATAGAGCTATGCATATTATTTCGTATGCATCGGTGCGTTTGTTGGGCCAAATCAGCTTTTCTCTGTCTTCTCTAAACACTTGTATGTGCAGAAGATTTTGATTGTTCGTTTCAGACTGAAGTTTTTTGAAATTCATTAATCGGATTTTTAGGATATCTATTTGAAATTGGTGCTTTATGATGACAGGATGTCATTCATTGCCATGTCTCTGTTGCCTGGTTATGGTCTTAGTAAAGCTGGGGTTTTTTCACAATTCACAACCTTGAGTTTGGAGCGCACTTCATTGGTAAAGCTGTGGCGTATTCAAACAAGTACACAAATTCCTGAGACTGAACTAAAGTTTTCAGTTTTCGATCTCCTAAAGCATAATTTGCTTTGTGAATACTAGTAGCAGACTTTTCAACTGTAATTACCAACTGTATCTTATCAACTGTTTCACCCATATCTCTATCTTCAGGTATCCAACACTAACGCTAAGGAGGTAACTGGAAATCCTGCAGTCGCTCCACATCTTTACAAGTTTCATGGTTTAATAAATGGAATTGACCATGATATATGAGATCCATACAATGATAAGTTCATTCCTGTAAGTAAACAATATTTCTCTGTGCTCCTCGCTTTAGTCATTCTAAACTTCTATTGAGTTTTTTTTTTCATATATGTTTCTTGAAAAGTATTAAGCTGTTTGCCAAATTCTCTTAACTACTCTCAATACAGCTGTGTCGGACTCATATGATGTTATATCGTTCCAGATATCATATACTTCTGAAAATGTTTTTGAAGGCAAACAAGCTGCCAAGCAAGCCTTCCAACAGAGGCTTGGTCTGAAAACATCTCTATAAACTCTTATCCCCTCCTATTTTGTGCGATCACGGTTAAACCACGTCAATATTTTATATTAATATTGTTTTTATCTTATTATCTCTATAAAAAAATCAATATAAAATGTTGACGTGGCTTAACCGTAACCGCACACAATAAGAGAGGATGGAAGTGTATGGAAAGTGGGAGGGCAGAGAAGCCGGGTCCGGGTGAGAACCTGCCAGGAACATGGGGTTGATCAGAGAGAATCCAGTTATTTTGATCGTCAAGGATATTGACGATCTAAAAGAATAAAAACCAAAAGCTTTAGAATGCCAATTAAGCTAAGCTAACGATAAATTTGGAATTTGGAAGGAAATCAGCTGCTTAATGTTTGTACAAGACGAAATTTGATGCAAGCCATGAGAGTTAATACGTGTTCTAATTTGAGTTGAGAATAAACAGATAGATCAATACGTGTTCTAATCTGAAAATTCAGCAGCCACCCCTGCTTACGCCCAATTCCGGGTGGACACGTGTTCAAGTTTTGATTTTTTTAATCAAAATTTGAACACGTGTCCACACAGGATTGGATGTAAGCAGGAGTGGCTGCTGAATTGTTCACCAATCAAGTTAATTCCAACTGCTGGCAGTTGTCCATCTATCAAAATTCAAATAATAATAATAATGATAATTTAAAACTGCATATATAATATTACATGTAAGGGTAAAAAAAACAGCAGTTTGAAAATGAATACAATCAAAATTTAGGACTGTGTGTAAACAAAGATATTGACGATCTGAAATAATAAAAACCAAAAACTAAAGAAAGCCATTTAAGCCTAAGCTAACGGTAAATTTGTAATTTGGAGGGAAATCAGCTGCTTAATATTTGTACAAGAAGAAATTTGACGTGAGCCATGAAGGAGTATGAATCTCTCCCCTCCTAATCTCTCCCCTTCCATCCTCTCATATTTAAACGGTTATGATTACGTCACGTCTACATCTTGTTTTGAAAATTTTATATAGATAATAAGACAAAAAGAAGAGTGTGAGTGGAGGGGATGGAAGGAGATAATAATAGGAGGAGAGAGAATCTTACTCCCTTTTACAGTCAGCCAAGCAATTGCAAAACTTCACCAATCTTCTATGCACAAGTTCACGTAATGCAAATTCAAAGTCTACCATTTAACCACTTAGTATTACTGTATAATGGTATTTAGCTTCAATAGCCTGTTAGGCCACCATCTAAAGAGAGTTAGGTCATCTCCAACCGAAGGGTCCATAGGGCCAAATGGCCAAAAATAGCCCGAAAACGAAACCAGGCCAAATGGCTCGTGGGCCCCAGTGTATAAAAAAGGGTCAAAGTGCCAACCTGCCGGCCCGGGCCGGGCCACTTTTTTTTTTTTTTTGTTTTTACAAAATTTGTTGTAGTTGTTTTATAGTTTGTTTAAGTTGTTGTAGTTTTTAAATTTAAATAATAATTATGTTTGACCTATGATCCTTTGTCCCTTTGTTGGAGATCCCTTTTTTTACAGGACTATGTTTGGCCTATGGCCCTCTGGCCCCTTGGTTGGAGATGATAGGAAATATGGTAATGTATTGTTCATTAAAATATTAATTTCTTGAAGAATCAGATGACTAAAACGAGCCATCTGGCCAATCTTTGTTTGGAGATGATCTTAACCCCCAACCTAGCCCTATCCTTTTTTGAGCTGGTGGTCTATGTCAATATATATTTGTCAAATCCGTATGCAGACGTGGGTAAGTGGTGACCAAAACAATGATGGCCCTGAGATCCGTTTGCCACTCGATCGATACATATATATGCATGGAACATTCATGATAACTAACATATAGTCCTATCCTAAAGCCAAAAGTATATGCTCATCTAGGGTTAAGAGAAATTATTGAGGCAAAATTTTCTTTTACGACACCAGATAACAATCTTGCTCATTGATGGATTCATGCTTCCATCATTGCAGTCCCAACATAAAAACAAAACAAAAATATTGGACAAAATTAACATTGAAATATTTGGTATCGGTGTAAGACAATGATTTTCGTCTATAATATTATTCCATACTTTAATTTCTACACATATTTATTAATGAAACTAAGACATATCAATTAACAAAGAAGGGAAATATATACAAATTAACAACCAACAAATGGTTTATTTATAATATATTTATTTTACTTTTTAAAATTCTTAAAATACCCTACTCATCTTACTTAATGACAAAAAGAGTACAAAATTGTCACGCGTTCTAAATTTAAATCATATTTTATTTTTAACACTAAAGTTACGATTGTAGTTTGTTTTTCTTGTTTTGCAAGTTTACTCTCGGTTTTTCACACTTGTGCAACTACTAGTTATTTGAGTACCGATGGATCTTTGGGAACTAAATCCTACTTGCTATTCAATCAAACATATGCCTCCTTTACTTAATTGATAAAGGTAAAAGTCTGTGCATCCAATCCTACGGTACATCGCTCAAGATCTTTGTTTTTCCTCCAATATGTATCCACACTAAGAATGAGACTATGCGCAACTTAGGTGACAATGTGAAAAAGCATCCAATCGTTTTAAACCATAATATATAAGCTGTTGAGTTTGAAAATAACAGAGACTTTCGAACTATCATAATAACAAAATCGGTTCTACTCATTAAGTTAAACATAATAAAAAATCTATTCTACTATTCTACTCAGTCACCCAAACTTGGCCAGATCATCTTCAACTCAAAATCTCTCCTCGTTGCTAATCATCAAAATCATCAAACTTTGCTCCCCAAAATTTGACCCAGGTAAAGATTCAGCTACCTCCATCACTTTAGGCACTTCCACAACTTGACAAAGTTCAAATGTGGATGCAAAGCATAGATGCACACAAGAATTGCATCCGCATGGCCAGAATAATGCACAATCACATCATTATCAATTTGACTTGCAGTCAAATAATGAGAATTTTGCTCCCCAAGATTCCTTGCCATTATAAGATATTGTATTGGGTCCTCCTGCTGCCTATTCCAGCGGCTAGTATTACTCCCACCCCCATACGTTCCACCTAATGAGGTTTTCCATGGGACAGCTTGGACACGCTGACAAATTGGATCATTATTCCAATAGTTCTCTAATTTGGTTTTATTTGCCAACCTTACCGGGCCTTCCAATATGTTGCGAACAACATAAGTCCGGTAGCTTATCCTTTCTTCAGATCCCATTTGAGAGTAATGATTATCCAGCAGGTATTTCAACGACCTAAAAAAAAAGAAACTAAATATATTAATTTTGCTTGTAGTCAAAGCCTACAAAAACAACAAAAAAAAAAAAATACATAAATCACATAAGAATTATATGCATACTCACAATGATTTTTGATCAATTTGTGTCAGGAGTTCCTCAAGACAAACTGGGAGAGTTCCAACGAACATTTCAGTTAATGTCGCTTTTAAAGCATCCAAATCACTCGAGTCCTTGGCACTTGAGTCCTTCCTAAACATAACACCGACAACCTTCCTACCAGTCCAATATAAATTTTCAAAGTGGATATGTCTAAAATCTTTTTTATCAGAACTGTATTTCGAAAAGATCTCCAGAACACCCTTCACTATATGGCGTATCTCTGGTATAATTACAGTTGGATTCTGTAATTCGAATTTGTTTGGAAAACGACCTAAATAGTCTTTGAGAGAACACTCTACCCTCTCAGTAAAAAATAAAGACTCATGCCCACTGCTCTGAACAGAAAAATGTATGCTAAGAAAATTATCAGATATAAAGTGGACAGAGTCAGACTTCCATTGCATAATATCTTTTATGTTACAGAGTTTAAAGATGGACATTGACTTGCCATGAAGTCTTCCATTGAAGACTGTGTGACTCAAGGTTGTGTGCACATGTGCTTCAATGGAATACGAAAATATGCAGGAAAAACTGGTGATACATCGAACTGCAGGAAGAGAGAATACACATAAAAAAAAAATATAAAATCTTCAGAATATAAAAGTTTCACAGAAATGATTAGGGTTCATAGGAAAGTTAAAATTGATACCTGGTTGCTGGGGTATGGTTGGGAGCTGCGGTAGGGTTAGGGTTGGGACCCTGGATGCAAAATGCCCAGCACAAGCAGCACACATCCTCTGCTTCAACGTCAAAAATCCATATCCAAGATTTCTCTTCATTTTCTTCTTCTTTCTCTTTTGTATCTCGTTTTTTTTTTCTGGAGAGAGGTCCTTCCCTTTACTGGGGAGAGAGTTGGTGCGTGCAGCTAGGGGATGTAGAAGGCCAACATGGCTTTATTTCAATTGGGCTTTACTATAGCCTGTTTTGGACTGCCCATAATGAATGTTGGATGATGGATGGATGAAAATGGAGCTGAGGTTTCATCTTTTTTATGCAAAAAAAAAAAAAATGAAACTACATGGTTTAACCACATCAGATTGCAATCATCTGCACGAACACGAACACAATTAATTATTTATAATTCGAAAAAAAAGAAATTAAAGCAACTCATAAAACAGAAAGAGAAGAGAAGAAAAGAGTATATTTGTACCTAGCCGAAATTGATTAAATAAATCAATATAATTTCAAATCCAATCGATCCAAGATGAAGGATATTCGTCAACCATTTTATGACGATGTTGGGGATGAAAGTTAAGGGATTTGATAAATGGAACACCTTATAAAACCTAAGGAAGGTATGAGCGAAGAAATCAGAGAGTTCAAGTTTGGGTTTGCCTTTTTGGGGGTTGGTCTGTGGATTTTACTACGAAGAGAAAGGGAGGTGTGAGGGAAGAAATCAGAGAGTTCAAGTTTGGGTTTGCCTTTTTGGGGGCTGGTCTGAGGATTTTACTACGAAGAGAAAGGGCATAAGTGAGAAATCTGAGACGGCTGCAGAGCTTGCGAACAAGAGGAAAAGAAGTTCAAAGTACAATCTTAGTTCCCTAAAGGCTATCTATCCCCACCCAACCCTAAAGCCCCTTTTATTTTAGAGTCAATTGTAGCAATGAACTCTGAACTTTAATCAAATTTGAACAATGATCCCTCAACTAAAAATCTGTTACCATTGGTCCCTCAACTTATCAAAATGTGCAGCTATAATCCTTTTCATCAATTTCTTCAAAATTTTGTCAAAATATGTTATGTTGGAATAATCATTTATATAATTAGAGTCCCTCAACTCATCAAAGTGTGTAATTATGATCCTTTTTGTCAACTATGTAAAATTTTTTGTCAAAACGAGTTATGTTGGAATGACCATTGCTACAAATATGATTGCCATATGGAAAGTCATTGTCCCACATAGATATCCATCCTTGTTGCCTCGGCAATGGCGTATTGCTATTGGGACTCAGAAGTCATATAAGGTTGATGAATCGAAAAAGGAGAAGAGGCGATTATATGAATAAAAAAGAAGGACAAAATGCAGATTTGTCTAGTTGGCAAAATTCACCCGAGAAAGAGGTATGATTTCCCTTGAACTTAGAACATTGTGTTGGCAATTCTATTTGCTTTGATTTTGTAGTTTTGAGTTATTCTTTTATGATGGATATAAGAATAAAACATTGTGTTGGCTGTCGAACTGCTCATATTAGAGAAAAGGGTGTGGCTAGACTTATTGCTAAGTATATCCTTTGCTTCCTAAATATTGATGAATGTATTGAGGCTTAGGAATTGTAGGGTATGTAGAATTTTTTGAACTTTAAGATAAAAAGTAATTACAAAATGTAAGAATTAGAACGTTTGGTACGATTTGTTTCTAAAAGTTACAATAAAGTGCATCGTACATTTTTTAAGTTTGTCAATTTAGCATAGATGTGGGTAAATGTGCGCCAAGTCCAATTTTACTTATTTTTCAGAAATGTAGAAAAAGATTCATTTGGAACTTTTCTTTGCACACACCTATAGTTTAGCTGAGTGTGGATTATAGATGATTGAAAGCCCATTAAATGGATGGTGATTTTATTTTAAAGTTTGGTACTGATGCAGGACTGCCAAGCTGAAAAGTCTGGTGGAGAGAACAACGCAGATGGTTTGACCGAGAATAATGCAGGTGAAACTTATGTTCATGAGGCCTTTTTAGCAGACTGGAGACCGGGTATTTCCTGTGTAGAAAGAAGCCCTAATAGTGGTACCCTATCCAGAGGTGCTAACCATGAATGGGTAGATGTTTTTGGGCGTAAGGAAGTTCTTCGAGCCCAGACCGTGTCACAGTGTCCACATGGTCAATCTCAAATCACTGGTGTTAGACATTTTGCATCCAGTACCACACAAGCGAATCATTCGGTTTCTCAACTCTATCATCGGCCGTATCGAGCTCGTAGAACTAATGGCGCACAACTGGTTAAGCTAACTCCGGAATTGCTCCTGTGAATCTTCCACCATCTGTTCGTGTAGTCTCACAATCTGCCTTCAGAGGCTCTTTACGTGGGGCATCTTCCACAGTTTCTGCTTCTGGAGGTGGTAGTGGTGCTGCTGCAACTCACAATCCCTTTTCTCAATCTAAAGTTGGAAGGTTCGGGACCTCTGATGCCATAACAGCTACACAGAATAAAAGTAGTTCTCTGAAAGACAGTGTTTTGACGTTGCATCCAGAAGATTCTAGAATTATCAAGGATAAATGTGTAAAGGAAGGAAGAGATGTTGATTCTGATCTTCAGATGCATCCTCTGCTGTTCCAGGCCCCAGAAGATGGACGTCTGTCCTATTTCCCGTTGAACTGCAGCAACAGCAATTCTAGTCCTTTCAGTTTTCTTTCAGCAAATCAGCCTCAGCTACATTTAAGCCTTTTTTCATAATCCTCAACAAGGAAGCCATGTTGATGGTTTTGACAAATCACTGAAGTCACCCAACTCAACATCTCGTGCCATTGATTTCCATCCACTGATGCAAAGAACTGATTATGTAAGTAGTGCCAAAGTAACAACATGCTCAACTGCACCCCTTTCTGCTGGTTCAGGGGGAAACCGTTCTCAAGACCAATATCCTTGTGATACTGGTTCAACTCAGTTGTCGGTCAATGCTGATCCACAGGCTATGGGCACTAATGAGAGAGCTAATGAACTGGACTTGGAGATCCACCTAAGTTCTACATCTAAAAAGGAAAAAGCTTCAAAAAGGAGAGATGTCACTGTTAATAATTCAGTTAAATCAAGAATAATGGCTCCAGAAAAGACAACTCAATGTCCTAATGGTTCATTGCTTCGGCAGGCTGAAAGTTCTTCAGCTCGTGGTAGCGAGCTTGTTGTACCAAGTAATAATATTAGCAGGTACAAAGTAGATGATACAGGTGACCAGTCCCAACCTGATATTCAGATGGAACAGGAAGAGTTGAGCGACTCTGATGAAGAAAATGAAGAAAATGTTGAGTTTGAGTGTGAGGAGATGACTGATTCTGAAGGAGAGGGGGGATCGGCGTGTGAAGAAATATTTGAGATGCAGAATAAGGTGACTTTTCTGTCTTTTTTTCCCAGTCAGTTTTAAGATTCTATTGACTTTGGAAAACCAAATATTTTTACTTCTTGCCTAAGTTACTAATGCTACCATTGCTAGTAATTTACTAGTGGCCTCCATCTCTTATTGTTACCGGTACCCGCCATTCTTGTTCGGTGAGGGAGTCCTCATTTGTTCCTTTTTCTGACTTTCCATTTTCTTGTTTATAGGATGTTCCATCGTTTGCAATGAAAAGACCTGCAACAGCAGATCTTGATGGCAAGGAGTGTGAGCCAAAAGCCACTTATCGTCCTCAGGACAATATTCACAGAATTCCTTACTTGGACGATGCCAGTAATTCTTCATGGTTAAGTTTGGATTCGTGCGCGCCAGATCACCCTTTGCGCATTATGTCCAAGTATGACGAAAGTACAATGGACAGCAGTTTTGCTGCCAAAGACTTGCAGTCATCTTGGCCTGCTCGGTCTTGTAAGAAGGCAAAACTGAGCACAAGGGGAGGTGCAACGCAGAAACAAGCGGTGGACATGACGCACCAACTGAGCCTGGGTCCTCCATCAAATCCGACGGTGAGCAAACCCAGGAAGCGTGTATCGGGATCGAGTACATGTTTGAACATAGGAATGACTGTAGAAAACTCCGGCAGTGATGGCTAACATAAAAGATTTTCAAATGACTCTGCACCCTTACTAACCCTAGTTTCTAGTTTGATTAGTGTATAAATGATCTCTTACTTCTTGGACTCCAAACCGTTTAAGCCAAGTGGTGTCCAACATTTGTTCATATCAAGGTATGTAGTTATCTTTCTGATACACCAAATTTTGTTGTATGCACAAACTAGACACTCGTATCATTGGGTTGATTGATATTTTGTCTTTTATAGTGATGACATTGCGGCGGTTTTTCAAGGTAATCACACAGTACCACTTAAGAAAATTTTGAACGCTTGATAATATATGATTGATTTAAGATACCGTCACAGTAGCATCATCGCCCACTTAGCCGCATATACTCTTCGATTACCAAGATGGCAAGATATAATAGGAGTTTCTCAAGTGTGTGAAATCTATTGATCGAGCACCCACCCAGATCATGCCATGTAGGATAGGACCCACCTACGAACTAATGATAAAATGAGAATCAAATGCCTGCCCCAATTGATCACCAACGGTCAAAATCCTTATCCCAAAACCTGATCCAAACCCTCCCCTCACCCTCCACTCATTCCCCCACTCTTTGCCTCCATTCACCAGAAGTCCTACACCCAGGAAGATAAGACTTCTTCACAAACCAAGCCTCACATTTCAGAACCTCTTTCTTCTTCCCTGTTCCTCCATTTCCGAGCTCCAAAAACTCCGTTAGAACCTAGAACCACCATGTCTTGCTCAAATTTGACAATGTGGGCGTCCTCAACGCCCTCACTTTCTGACACCTCCGCCCTCTCCTGCCGCTCCTTCATCGCCCCTCTTCAGCTTCCTTCCCAAAACTCTCTCCCCGCCTCGCGATCATCCTCCGTGACACCGGTTCAATGCGGTCTTCGCGAGCTTCGTGAGCGTATTTCATCAGTGAAGAACACGCAGAAGATCACTGAGGCTATGAAGCTTGTGGCAGCCGCCAAAGTCCGCCGAGCTCAAGAGGCTGTCGTTAATGGCAGACCCTTTTCGGAAACCCTAGTCGAAGTTCTTTACAACATCAATGAGCAGCTCCAAGTGGAAGATATTGATGCTCCTCTGACCAAAGTTAGGCCTGTCAAGAAAGTTGCTCTCGTTGTCATAACCGGGGATCGCGGTCTTTGCGGAGGTTTCAACAATATGATCATCAAAAAAGCCGAGAGAAGAATTGCCGAATTGAAGGCTCTTGGTCTCGAATTCACGATCATCAGTGTCGGTAAAAAGGGTAACTCGTATTTCCTCCGCCGGCCATACATTCCGGTTGATAAGTTCCTCGAGGGAACCAACCTCCCAACTGCCAAAGAAGCACAGGCCATCGCGGACGATGTTTTCTCCCTTTTCGTAAGTGAAGAGGTCGACAAAGTCGAGCTTTTGTACACGAAATTTGTGTCGTTGGTTAAATCCGACCCTGTGATTCACACCCTGCTTCCACTCTCGCCGAAAGGAGAGATTTGTGACATCAATGGCGTTTGTGTGGACGCCGCGGATGATGAGTTCTTCAGGCTGACAACAAAAGAAGGGAAATTGACAGTGGAGAGAGATATCATCAAGACACAGACCGTGGATTTCACGCCGGTTTTGCAGTTTGAGCAGGATCCGGTTCAGATTCTCGACGCTTTGCTGCCGTTATACCTCAACAGTCAGCTTTTGAGGGCATTGCAGGAGTCTCTAGCCAGTGAGCTTGCTGCTAGGATGACTGCTATGAGCAATGCAACTGATAACGCGGTGGAGTTGAAGAAGACCTTGTCGCAGACCTACAACCGGCAGCGCCAGGCAAAAATCACCGGAGAGATTTTAGAGATTGTTTCGGGTGCCAACGCTTTAGTCTAGACGATTAAAAGAACAACATGGGACTTGGTTTCTCCTCCACATTGAGTTGGGCTGTTTTCTCCTGCACATTGACTTGCGCTGTTATAAATTTGCAGATTCGACACTTCCGTTGTAATTCTCAGCTGCATATAAACTTTGTGTGCACAAATGAGAGGGCAATTTATTTTGGAACAAAAGAGAGCATTCCACACATATCTATATATTGTATGTCATTTTTCCTCCATCATAGTTAATAACACTGCTAATCATGTAATTAAGGATCTGAATTCTCGTTATTCATATTTCGTCGAGTGTTCTTGTATTATATATTTGTGATTTGCTAGCTGTTTGGTGCTTGATGCGGATACCCTTCTGTTTTTGGTTTTCTTTCAAATCAACCAAAACCAGTGCTTTAGAAAAAATCGAGATTTCATACCCATTGCATCGTTCTTTTTTCTGGTTATATTGGAGTGAATCGGACCTTGAACCTTTCCTAATCGTAACCATCAGGGCCGTCTTGAGATTTTGGAGGTCATGTGCGAGACTCCAAGGAAGGCCTTTAAAAAGTATAGAATTTTGGTTGATATGGTTTTATTTTTTACATTTTTATTTTTATTATTATGTATAAATTGAGGTAAAAAAAAAAGACTGGTGTTGTGGTTAGGTATCCATTTGCATCCCTATGTTTTCAGGTTCAAAATTCCTTATTTTTACATACACAAAAAAAAAAAACCCCTTAGAAGGTCTAACATTTTGGTTGTTATTTTCTTTTACATTTCAATTATGATTGTATATAATTAAGATAAGAATCTGGTGGCTAGGTATCTATTTACATTCCTATATTTTTGGGTTCGAAACACCATACTTTAAATAACAAAAGAAAATTAAAATCAAACACAACTCATGCCTTTAAATACCAAAAAAATTGAAATAAAACACAAAAGAAACGCCATGCTTTAAATAACAATAAAATAAAACACAACCCATGCTTTTAAAACACAAAAGAAATGAAAATAAAACACACAAAGAAAGCTGCTAGGTATAGATGAACCCAGTTCATTATCCATGAATAAGACTCGGAAGACAACAACACCGCGAGAATAATTTGGTATATCATTGCAAAAATAAATATATATACTATCTATATAGGCAAAATAAAATCATGATCGGGGGCCTTCCAAATTGGGGCCAGCTCTGGTAACCATGTCTTTTGGTTTCCAATCAAACTTATAAACGATCTTGAAAATAATCCCGAACTCTGTCTACTACAACCATGAAGAAAACAAAAACAAAAGGTTACTTTTTTTAGAGGCCAAGATAGCTTATCGGACATGATATAATACTCTGACTACAAGCGCTCGTTAATATTCGAGAAAACTGGTTTCACTGCGATGAATTTCTTTTGCTGCAAACACCAAGGACGGTTACTGTTGGGAGAGAAAAATGAGGAACCCCATGATCACTTTGGTTTAGACATAGGTTCGATTCTGCAAAGATGACCCGAAAGAGGAGGCGGCCACAGAACTCGAAGATAGAAGAAGTTGGTAAGAGAGAGAGCTCTCAGTTTTGAGGTTGTCACAAAGATGTCTTTGAGATGTGAGGCTGACTTTGGAGTCTCTAACTTTGGCAAGTGTTCCTGGTTTTAGGTACTTCTGAAAGCCTTCGCGTCTCTCTGTCGTTGTCGTTGTCGTCGTTGTTCCTTCAAGCTTTTGCTTCATGGTTTGAGACTCAGAGAAATATGAGAGATTTGGGATTGACTGAGAGTTTGATGTGGAGGAGGATTTGTGTGTTGTTTCTGCACCTGGCGGCAGTTCCTTTAAAGAGTTTGTGGAGGGAAGCAACGGTCTTATTTTGTTCTTATGGTAAAATGAAGCAACGGTCTTTTAGCGATTAAGGAAAATGAGCTTCGAATTAGTCATTAATCATAATCTAGGTGCAATGAATCATATAAACTATTGAATCCCACATTCTTACACAATGACAATGGTTGGTATTTTTTCGGGTTAAACGGTACATCAAAGTAAAGTTAGTGGCTTCAAAAAATGCATATGTGAGAGTTCGAACTCAAATTGAAGGTCTTATACAATTTTGTATGTATGTAATTAAGTTTTTCAAAAAGTTGTTCTACCTTTACAAAAAAAAAAAAAAAAAAAGAAGCAGTTCTACCACTTACTGCATCACAAACGAAATTTTTATTGAATTTTTAAGCTAAAAAACATAAAATCAATAAGAATATAGTAAATTAGTAGTACTACCTATAAACGATCTTTGGACGTCATAACATCTCTAGAATCTCTTTGAGGAATCTTGATAAGCTTATGATGGGACGAAACAGACTTTATGATGGCCTTTATATACTAGTTCACTATTTATTTTACCTTCCAAAACTTCATAAAATCGATTGATGAAGTTAAAAGTCAAGTTTTGTGACATGAGCCAATAATTATGCAAAGAGTAAACTGTCGGTTTACCCCCTGAACTTTCACCTCACTTTCGATTTCCCCCCTGAACTTTTCCATTGGAAAATTAAGGACTCAAACTATTTTTTTTAGCCAATTTGCCCCCTACCGTTAGTTTTTCATATATTCCATCCATATTTCCGTTAAGTGAGACCATGTGCATAACATGTGAGGGTAGTTAAGTTATTTCACTCTTAAAAATGATTAAAAAACTGAAAATAATAAAAAAAGCAAAACTTTCCCTCTATTTTTTCCCGCTAATTCCTATCCTCGATTTTATTTTTCCCTCTCATTCCTATGCATGAGAAATGACATATGGTGTTATTGTCTGCCATTTTTATTTTCTCTAACAAATTAATAATTTGACAAATGCTAATGGTGCTATTGTCTCCAAAGCAGTGCATTAATATAAGAAACCCTAGTCTTTTTTATGGACATGTTTCTTATATTAATGCACTACTTTGGAGACAATAACACCATGAGCATTTGTTAAATTATTAATTTGTTAGAGAAAATAAAAATGGTAGTACATGCTTAAAAAAAAAGATTAACTTAGCTACTTATGAAGACAATAACACCATATGTTATTTCTCATGCATAGGAATGAGAGGGAAAATTAAAATTGAGGATAGGAATTAGCGGGAAAAAATAGAGGAAAAATTATTATTATTATTATTTATTTTCAGTTTTTAATCATTTTTAAATTGAAATGACTTAACTATCCTCACATGTTATGCACATGGTCTCACTTAACGGAAATATGGATGGAATATATGAAAAACTAACGGTAGGGGGCAAATTGGCTAAAAAAATTAGTTTGAGTCCTTAATTTTCCAATAGAAAAGCTCAGGGGGGAAATCGAAAGTGAGGTGAAAGTTCAGAGGTAAACCGACAGTTTACCCTTATGCAAAATATGTCTTACGGTTCAGTCAATTAGGCAAACTATGTCCCACTTGAGATTTAGACCTGATTAATTACAGCTTTTGGAAAAGCCCAATTGGAAAAAGCCACTTGTTGTAATCTTTGAATTGAAGATCAACCAAAGAAAAAGCACTTGTCCCTTCCCCATTGTACGGTTTCACTCCCTATTTAGCCATTCCTTCTTCCCCTCCATCTTTCTTTGGCTCTCTTTTCTCTTGAAAACCAGTTCATCAGAGATTTCATTTTCTCCCTGATTAATTAAGGTAATATTTATTATCTCTAATCTCATCTTGTTGTTGCACACTTTTGTTGATGAATGCATGTATAAAATAATTTATTCTGACTTGAATTTGATCTGTTTTTATGTAAATTTAATTTGATGTGCGTTTGCAAAAACACATTATTGTACGTCAAGAGAAACTCTTTTGTCTGGAACGAAGCGCCATCTTTCTTTGTCTCTCTTGCTACACACGAGGGACGTACATGTGGTTATCCTATCATGTTCTATTCTCATGTTTGGTAGGTTTATTCCTAGTTTACGCAGTCGCCTAGGATCACTATCATATGTAATCATTATGCTAACATCAATACCGAAATATAAATTTCACGTACGTTAATCATAAAAAAATTGCTTGATCGTACCTGAACAACTGATTTTAGCACACACATTTTTTCCTTTATCCTATTGTTTTAGCATCTTAAGTGGTCTTCTCCACGTAACCTTAAAAGCAATTAAGGTTGAATAAATACAATTATTAAGGAATACTCATATACTAAACCCTCCTTAAACATTTTGTCGTCACGTGACATGTTGGCATCTGATGTGGCAACTCCCTATTGGACTCCATCAATACTGTTGGGGTAGCCACTCACACGCTAACAGCCTCTCTAAAGCCTTACCCAAACTGCTGCCATCTCACACCCGAAACTCCAAAACCAACACAAACCAACGGTCCAGATTTAACACCCCTATTAATTAATTAATTAATACAAACTGGCAATACACACGTGGCTCGAATCAGCTAAAAGCACAGCATATTAACACCAATGTTTTTTTAATGATAAACTTAAACCGATATTAATTTAATTAACTAATATAAATCAAGATCTTTGATATTTAATTAATTAATTAATTAATTAACTGATAAGCTCAGTCTTCGAGATGGGTTGATCAGCAGGGATTATTATTTGTGCGTTCGGAGGAGCAAAAAGGAAGCAGCAGAAAAAACATTCTTCTGCCATGGAGGTTTCTGTACAAGCACAGAGGCCGCTCAGTTGCAGAGGACTTTTCCAACCGAGAAGGACCATCTTAAATCTCCAACCTTTTACTGGGTTCTTTCCCCATCGAAGGGTTAGTCATTTTTTATATAAATTTATATACATATGTGTGTATGTGTGATTTTTCTTTTTGTTGTTCTGATATTTCTCTCATTGGTTTTTTTTTTTTTGGTGAATTGGTATTGAGTTTGATCACACCCATGTAAGAATCTGTGTTTTCGGGAGGGATGGATTGTGGGATTCATTGATCTTTGTGGTACAATTTTGTTGAGCATTTGATTATTGGTTCACCAATACTTTTGGTAGGGTGTTGATTTTGATTGGAGATTGTGTAAAAGTGGAAGCTTTTTCGATGAAGTTCATATTCTTTTTCTTGGTGGGTACTCACTATTTGTTTAATTTTACTGTAGATAGGCTTGAAGTACAAGAACTTTTACTTTTTGGGTAGTGATGGTTTTGCTTTTCCAGTCAGTTTTTCTGAATGCAATTACTGAACTATGGTGGATTTAACTTTTGAATTAGTGTTGTATCTCAATCTAAACTTTTCTTAATAATGCATTTGATTTCAGTATTCTTCATGGTTCAAAGGAAACCTGACAAGTGGGGTTTCATACCAAATTACTGCCAGTTCCGCCGGTGAGTTAGCCGTGCTGTTCTCTTCTAGTTTGCAGTTGATTACTTGACCTTAGTTTTTGTCGTTATTGTTAACTTAATCTGACTTTGTAACTTGGTAGAGTTTTCAAGGAGGAGACAAAGAAAAGTGTCTCCCGCTTCAAAGGGATTAGTGCCAGAAACCCCGGCAGGAACTAGCGTCCAGAAGACGAATCAAAGGAATACTGGGGACGAAAAGGGTATGACATCTTTGGCATCCAGTGAGCTTGCTGGGAAAAATAAGAAAACACATCAATCGAGGGTTGACACCAGAAGAGAATGGGCAGTTGAACCTTCAGAAGAGAGCAAAGTTGACGAAAAAAGAATTGATGAAACTAGTAGTAAAGTCGAGGAATCACCTTCAGTTGGCAAGCAGACAGCAATTGATAGGGGTATTCGAGGGATAGAAAATGGGTGTGTAGGTAAGGCCCTTGATGACATCTCAGATACTGATAAAGGCATTGATACTGATAAAAAGTTAACGAATGAAGATCCTTTAAAGTTAAAGTTGGAGAGGGAAGAAAAATTGCGTAAAGAGGAAATTGCGAGGCTTGCTGAGGAAAACTTCTCAAGAGGGAACAAAATATTTTTCTATCCTCAGGTGGTGAAACCTGATCAAGACATAGAAGTGTTCCTTAATAGAAGTATATCAACCCTAAGCAATGAGCCGGATGTTCAAATAATGGGAGCCTTTAATGACTGGCGTTGGAAATCTTTTACCTTCAGGTTGAACAAAACACAACTCAAAGGGGATTGGTGGTCTTGCCAGTTTCATGTTCCTAAAGAGTCATATAAAATAGACTTTGTGTTCTTTAATGGGCAAAATGTTTATGACAATAATGATGCTAAAGATTTCTGCATAACTGTGGAAGGTGGAATGGACCTCTTTGCATTTGAAGATTTCTTGCTTGAGGAGAAGCGTAAAGAACAAGAGAAACTTGCGAAGGAGCAAGCTGAGAGGGAAAGGCAGGCAGAAGAGCAGAGGCGAATTGAAGCGGAGAAGGCAGCAAGTGAAGCTGACAGAGCACAGGCAAAGGCAGAGATCATAAAGAGACGACAAATGGTGCAAGAGTTGATAAAAAAGGCTGTAAGGTCTGTAGAAGACGTTTGGTACATAGAGCCTAAAGAGTTTAAAGGTGAGGACTTGGTGAAGTTATACTATAACCGAGGCTCAGGTCCTCTTGCTAATGCTAAGGAACTATGGATTCATGGGGGGCATAATGGTTGGAAGGATGGATTGTCAATTGTTGAAAGGCTTGTTAGCTCTGAGAGAAAGGATGGTGACTGGTGGTATGCCAATGGTATGTGCATTTTTGTATTCTTGTCCTTTCTTCCTTTAACATACATTAAATATTACAATTTGCGGGAGATGGCTATTCCTTATCGTTTGTTTTCATTCCCTTACCTATCTGAGAAAAATAATTCTCTGTTTGTTGATGGTATAGCATGTTGTAAAATCATCCTTGTTGTCAACTTTATTTCTTGTAGTTGTTGTACCTGAACAAGCTATTGTCTTGGATTGGGTTTTTGCTGATGGACCACCCCAGAATGCCGTTTTATATGATAACAATCACCGTCATGATTTCCATGCTATAGTTCCAAAATCCATTCCTGAGGAACTATATTGGGTTGAGGAAGAACACCAGATATATAAGAAGCTCCAGGAGGAGAGGAGATTAAGGGAGGAGGCAATACGTGCCAAGGTCAGTCTTACTGAAAAGTAAACAATTAGATTGAGGCGCTTGACGTGACCTTCTTAGGGTTTTGACTGGTTGGTCCTTTTAGTGCTTATAGTTTATGCAAAGTGTGGATTTTCTGGATTATCCTTAAAATGGTGTCAATGGGTACTTGAGATTTCCTATCTCTACATATGTTCATTTATCTTTATGTTGGCAAATTTGGGATTCAACTTCTCACGGTTATCTTATGACCTTATTGATCCCAGTACCATTTCCTACTCTTGTTGCAGGCTGAAAGAACAGCTCGTATGAAAGCAGAAATGAAGGAAAGAACTTTCAAAAGGTTTTTGCTGTCTCAGAAGCATATAGTATACACTGAGCCTCTTGATGTTCAAGCTGGTAACAAGGTGACAGTTTTCTACAATCCTGCCAACACAGTTCTGAATGGAAAGCCTGAGGTTTGGTTGAGAGGATCATTTAACCGTTGGACCCACCGTAAGGGTCCATTGCAACCACAGAAGATGTTACCTACAGAGAATGGTTCTCATGTCAAAACCACTGGTGAGTTTGAGTTCATATAAAACCTTTTATAAGAACGATATAAGGGGTTAAATTTTCTGGTTGACATTTGTGTGTCTCAACAGTTTCAGTTCCGCTGGATGCATACATGATGGACTTTGTTTTCTCTGAGACGGAAGATGGTGGACTTTTTGACAACAAAAATGGCATGGATTACCACATTCCAGTGTTTGGAGGATTGCTTAAGGAGTCACCAATGAACATTGTGCATATTTCTGTTGAAATGGCCCCCATTGCAAAGGCAAGCTTGTGAACATACACATTGTCAGTATTTACTTGCTTGCACATGTAGACCCTTCTGATATTGTTTATTCCTTTTTTTTGCTACATTATTCATAACATCTATTCTAGGTTGGAGGTCTTGGTGATGTGGTTACGAGTCTCTCACGAGCTGTACAAGACTTAAATCACCACGTTGACATCATTCTTCCAAAGTATGACTGTTTGAACCTTAGCAATGTAAGTTTTTCTGCTGTTGCCTTATTCCATATATCTCACATGCTCTTTTACCGTCCTTTTCTTTACGCCATGAAGAATTGGTATTTTGTTCCTTCTTTATTTATTTGTTATTTAGTTAAAAAGAATGCTCATTCTAGGTGTTATATGTGGCATTTGCCTGCCTATTTTGGAGACAATTTAGTCCTCTCAGGTTTTTGTGAGTACATGTTCTTGATTAATGGATTTTTATTTTATTTTAAAAAAACACAGATTTCTTCTCTTACCTTTTTAACATTCTATTGTTTAGGGCATTTAGTTCTAATTCAACATTAGCTTCATAATAATTTGGTTTCTAAATTGCTAAATGTCTGTGTTCCGATACAGGTGAAGGAGTTTCAGTATAAAAGAGGCTTCTCTTGGGGAGGAACTGAAATAAAAGTTTGGTTTGGGAAAGTGGAAGGTGTTTCAGTCTACTTTTTGGAGCCTCAAAATGGGTAGTTTCCTCTTTCACGTCCTTCAAAATCACGTTTTTCTAATGTACTTATCAAGTTTACTACTTTTTGTTTTCTTTTTTAATGGTTGATATCCATTACACTTTTTATATCTGGCAAGTGATTCTCCTGTGATTTGTAAACAGAATGCCATTGTGCCCGATGCAGCAATTTGTTATTTACAGCAAATCTTTCTATTTCTTTTCTCTTTGCAGATTCTTTCATGCAGGTTGCATATATGGTTGTAAAAATGATGCAGAGAGATTTGGTTTCTTTTGCCATGCTGCGCTAGAATTTCTACTCCAAAGTGGATTTCATCCTGTGAGTACACAACTCATGATCCAATTGCTTATTTTAGAATTTATTAATTTCACAGAAAAAAGTGGCACATCAGATGTCTTCAAATTACTAGTCCATATTTGGTAGAAGAAAGGAGAAAGCATAGCAAAAATGATTATGCAGGTTATATGCCACCTAGTACAAATGAATTAATTCATAGAAGTGTGGCAGAGATGTTACTGCTTACTCTTACACATGCATGTTTATTTTTACGCATATGGATAAGTGAAAACTGCCTACTGGAAACAAGTTGAGTAAGGTCAATTACAAAAAAAATAGAGCTATGTATATGATTTTGTTTGTATCAGTGCGTGTGTTGGGCTAAATCAATTTTTATCCATCTTCTCTAAACACTTGTATATGCAGAAGATTTTGATTTTCTTTTCAGACAGAAAGTTTTGAATTTTCATTAACAGATTTTAAGGATATTTATTTGAAATTGGTGCTTTATGATGACAGGATATCATTCATTGCCATGATTGGTCAAGTGCACCTGTTGCGTGGTTATTTAAAGATCATTACATGCATTATGGTCTTAGTAAAGCTCGGGTTGTTTTCACAATTCATAACCTTGAGTTTGGAGCGCCCTTCATTGGTAAAGCTGTGGCATATTCAGACAAGTCCACGACTGTAAGTACTTACAAATTCCTGAAACTAACTAAAGTTTTCAGTTTTCGATGTCCTAAAGCATACTTTGCCCTTGTGAATACTAGTAGCAGACCTTTCAACTCTAATTTCCAACTCTATCTTACCAACTGTCTCACCCATCTCTATCTTCAGGTATCCAACACTTATGCTAAGGAGGTATCTGGAAATCCTGCAGTTGCTCCGCATCTTTACAAGTTTCATGGTATAATAAATGGAATTGACCAAGATATATGGGATCCATACAATGATAAGTTCATTCCTGTAAGTAAATAATATTTCTTTGTGCTCCTCGCTTTAGTCATTCTAAACTTCTGTTGAGTTTTTCTTTTCATATATGTTTCTTGAAAAGTATTAAACTGTTTGCCAAATTCTCTTACCTGCTCTCAATACAACTGTGTCTAACACTTACAATGCATATCATTCCAGATATCATATACTTCTGAAAATGTTGTTGAAGGCAAACAAGCTGCCAAGGAAGCCTTGCAACAAAGGCTTGGTCTGAAAAAAGCTGATCTCCCTGTAGTAGGTATTATTACTCGCTTAACTCACCAGAAAGGAATCCATCTCATCAAGCATGCCATTTGGCGTACCTTGGAACGCAATGGGCAGGTTATTTTAATCTATCTCCCCCCCTTTCGCGGCTCAATTATTAACATAACCACTGTTCTTGATGGATGTCTTCTCCAAACATTAGCTTACATATCCCCCATCCTTTCTTATTATACCAAAGCCAATTCTGAATTAAATTGGAACTACTGAGTGCAGGTTGTATTGCTTGGTTCAGCTCCAGATCCTCGTATCCAAAATGATTTTGTAAATTTGGCAAATCAGTTACATTCTTCTCATGCTGATCGTGCTCGCCTCTGTTTGACTTACGATGAGCCACTGTCGCATTTGGTCTGTTCTTGTGAAATTTATATTTTGTTTTATTATTTTATGTATATTGACCTCTTACATCTGCACTGTGATAATAACAGACTATCGGATTTTCCCACAGATATACGCTGGTGCTGATTTCATCTTAGTTCCTTCAATTTTTGAGCCGTGCGGTCTCACCCAACTCATAGCAATGAGATATGGTTCAATACCTGTTGTTCGAAAAACCGGAGGTGTGTACCTACCTTATCAGTTTCGGATGAGGCAGTTTTGGATGAGGAGTGTGTTAATATTTTGTCTTGACCAATGACTACTAAGCAATTTGACATGTTTACACTGATTCTACAAACTACCTTAGACATTTTTTTTTTCTGGTAAACAAAAGTACCTTAACATACTTCGGTTGAAGATTGACTGTCCATTTCTTAATGTATCTTTTATAGGACTTTATGATACGGTATTTGATGTTGACCATGATAAAGAGAGAGCAAACGCCCAGGGTGTCGAGCCAAATGGTTTCAGCTTTGATGGAGCTGATGCTGCTGGTGTTGATTATGCTCTTAATAGGTGCGTACATTTTCTTTCATAGATGATTGGAGAACTATAGTTTTTTTCGAAATCGTGTTCCTTTTAAGAGCCTTTCCAAAGACAAGCTTGATACTCTATATAGTTTGTTCAGTTTGTTTCTCGTTGGACCACTCATGAATGGCATTTTTCAGGGCAATCTCCGCTTGGTATGATGGTCGGGATTGGTATAACTCGCTGTGCAAGACGGTGATGCAGCAAGATTGGTCTTGGAACAAGCCAGCTCTCGACTATATGGAGCTTTACCACGCAGCACGGAAGGGGTGAATATAAGACATCAGATAACTCATAGATGGATGTGTACAGATTCAGCGCTAGATCTCCGATAATTTTCTCATTCGATAGCTTTAAGTAACTGCATAAATAATGCAAGGGACTAAAAATGGTCAATCCATTTTTGTGTTCCATAGTGTCGATAGGATTATAGCATTTTGGTATTACCTTTTGTACAAGTTTGAGTTACTTCATGTAGATTCTATCAAGGCCAAAACAACAAAAATGTGATCGTTAGTTTTCGCGAATCTCACTTATGCCTTCTGGAAGTCATTTCGACCCAATTTTCTTCCTAAATTATGATTTCATGTCTCCGTCTCACTTTGGAGAGATTTTTCAATGTGACCGTATCCCGGACTAAGTGGATTAGGTGGAAAGGAATTCAGCGAGGATCCATTTCCAAATTTGATGGACCTAACCACGTGAGGTAAACGCAGACAATAAAATATGATTCAGAGATTAAAAGAGAGGAAAAAGATGATTCCAGTAGCAAAGTGGAATTTCGAACACTTTTAGGAGATGCATCAATCGAGCCTCTTTAATATAACTAATTTATAAAGAAATTTTCAAGATTTTTACTTTATTCACATCGGTATTACACGTACCAAAGTAAAAAAAAATACTTGATTAGTAACGAGATATGACTAGGACCTTAGGTTCAAATCTCGTTAATGGCAAGTCATTTAGTACTACGGTCTAATGGTATTCCTCTTCATTTGTAAGTGAGAGATCTTGAGTTCCATTCTCACGCAAAGGTGAATTTAAACCACATTGTTGCTAGCCCATTGGGAGGCTTAGCTCACCTCCTCCCCCTTAGGCTATCTCCAACTGAAGGTTGGCCAGATGGCTCATTTTAGTCATCTGGTCCTCCAAGAAATTAATATTTTAATAAACAGTGCATGACCATATTTCTTATCATCTCCAACCGAATGCCAAAGGGTCATAGGGTTCGCTTTAGCTCTGTCACAAAAAACCATCTCTAACCGAGAGTCATAGGGCCAAACATATTATTTAAATTTAAAAACTACAACAACTTAAATTAAATTCATATTTACCATCTCTAATGGGAAGCTTATATTTGGGGCACCCATTATATTTGTCTCACATCGAGAGAGAATTGAGCAAGCAAAAGCTTGCATGTGTGGCATCCATTATATTTGTCCCACATCGGCTGTGGAAGAGGTTTGAGCAATCAAACATGCTTACAAGGGCAACATCCTCACATAGAACCAATCACCTTTTTGGGTCTTGATTATTTTTTTTTTAAATTTTTGGCAAAAAAAAAAAAAAAAAAAAAAACCACTAGCTGACATCAACTAGCCGTTGAGATTCAAATTTTTGAGCCTAACCCGGGGCCGGCCGATTGGCCGTTTGGCCATTTTTTGTCCAATGGGGCCCACGAGACATTTGGCCTGACCCTCGATTGGAGACGATTTTAGGGCTATTTTTGGCCCTATGAACCCTTCGGTTGGAGATGGTCTTAGTGTAGATAATATAGTTTGTTTTAAAAAAAAAATTCACAGAAATTACGAGTGGCACTTACTAATATTCATACTTCATAGTAGATCAGGCAATTTTTTGCTTGACCCTTTAATTTGATACGAAAATAACAGGTTCCAGGTCAACTTGTTAATGAGTTGGGCGTTATCGGATCGCCCGTTAACGAGTTGGATCATTATCGGATCACTGGTTAAGAACCCAATAAGATATCGTTTGTCAGATCTAGACATTAAGCCAATTCTTGAATGACCAATTAATTCTACACAAAACGACATGACTCGTTAACGAATCGGGTCATTGTCAGATCATTTGTTAAAAACCTGTTAAGCGAACGGATATGACAAGATACGACACGATATGACACATTAAGATAACGGATATAATACGAACACGACAAACATGATCTGTTTGACAGGCCTGCTTCATAGTGCATAAAAAAAAGCCCCAAGTTGGGAAAGCAATTAAACTTTTTCTTATTGATCAACAAATTTGCTTTCATGACTTTCAAGCATTGAAGCGACCAACCTTGTGAGAATGATAAGTCTTACGACTTGACCGTATATACAAGGACTGGTGATGGACTAATATTGAGACAGAATTTAGAACGCATGCAATATTCAGTGGTTGCTTTATTACCCACTTTCACATTTTTCTTCCTCAAAAGGAACAGAGATGGAGAATAAACAGGTCAAGAATCTGAGTCTGCTTATTCTATAAGTACTTTCAAATCAAGCAGATCCCCTTTGGATGGTAGAAGTTGAGTTCTTTCTTCAATCATTAGAGAAAGCTCTGATAAGTCGATTTTCTCCACTAAATGCTTCTTACTTGGATTCCATGTATATGATTCTACTCTTGAAATTGAAATCCTAGTAGGCAAAGCAAAATATGACTTTAGCTCGTGCACCACTAGTTATATCGTCATACGTTGTACGTGATTTACTATACGAGAGATTTTGTTGTGTCATTGAATTTATACACTTATTCATCATGTGATCAAAGATAGTTAATTAGGTACATAAACTTAATGACACATTAGACTTTCATCTATTCTAGGCAATTCAGCAGATCAAGAAGCTTAATGATATTTTAATCCTTATTTTGATATATTATGTATGATCATTTGGGAACATGGAATAATAGCTTTATAATCGTACAAAAGAATCAAGAAAGACTTGAACTTTAAATTAAAGAATAACTAATTAGGACGACTATCAAGTATCACCCAATGAAAATTTAATAATTTCATCAACCGACACGTCTCATAATTAATTAATTATACTTTTATGATTGTTCATAGCTCAAAATAAATGGTCATGTTCATCCTCCATCATTTTGATTACCGTTAAATACTTCCAATATCTTACGATGGAATTAAAAATAATAATTTTGAACAAAAACAAGTTCATCATTCTCAAGAAGCTTCAGCGTAGATTTCAATACCAACGCTACAAAATATTGTACCAAAGATATAAATTTACATAAAATCCATAAAGAGTTCAATCTTTAAAAAAAATTCCTTAACATTGCTCGTACAACATACCGCATACAAATGTTGCGAGCAGTTTTCTACTAACATGGTGAGTCATATCACTCAAGGCGGGGCAGACTTTCTCATTCACTCTCCCCTAGAAGGCTAGAAGGCTTCAGTTTGAGGAGAGGATAAGGTTACATTCCCTAGAACTGCTTCTACTTCTACAAGAACCAGGAGTGAACCAATTCAGTTATGCGTATTATCAGGTTCCCAATACTGCAAAAAATCTTCTCTACTGAATTAGGCATATTATATATACGCTATGAGTTTGATTAGTACTGTAGCATATTTTTGACGTGCGTCAACATGCAGATTGAGTTCATTATTATCAAATTATCCAATGGTTGCTGGTATCCATGGGAACCAAGGATTCTGTATATGAAGAGAGAGACTTGCATGCATACTGTCACCATTAGGTAAGATGTTAGAATATTAAATCGGAATGCTATAATAACAACTTACATATTTATTTCTTACAAGTTCTTTTCGTATTTGTAGGGCGACAAAACAGGATGAGGATCCTCTCTGGATCCTCTTTGTGGGGGTCTTAATGATCCTTACATTGTGATCGTTTATCATATATCGTGTAGTCAGTATTCGTTAGGTACTATTTGTGTTTAATTTTAAATAAAAAATTCAAAATAATTTATAGCCGCATAATGTACGATAAATGGTTAGGATGTGAGGATCCCTATGATCCTTACAATTTGGATCTGGATGGAATCCAAATCCGGCAAAACAAACAAAGATTCATTCTTTGGTAAACTTGCAAGCAAACTAATGATTTGGATTAGCCAAGAAGACATGAGATCGCAATAACTTGTGAACATGATGAAAAATAACAAGAGTTTTGAAAATTCAAAAAGGAGAAGAATTTACATGCAAAGATGAACTCAAAGTGTGAGCAAAGATAAAGTCTGTTACATGAAACTTTTCTTATAAAAATAAGTTGTTACTTCTTGGATTTTACACACAAGTTTAAACTTGGGGTAGCTTGGCAAAACTACAAAGCATGAAGAGAAACAACTTGTGTTTGTTGGTTTGTGTTGTCTCCTCATCAGCAACCAAAGATTACCACTCCTAGCTAGTTAAGTGAGTATAACCGAGGGTAAAAGAGCAAAGTCAGATGTGAACATGCGGATGAAGGATGTGACTGCAAACACCGAAGCATGAGAACGTTAATTAACGCACAGCCACAGATGGCCTCCTCTTGGGTCATTGTCTAACAGATCTTACTGAGTTTGAGAAGACCCTTCACCTTGGCAGCACCTACAGTGCCTTTATTTGCTCCCTCTCTCTCTCTCTCTCTCTCTAGCTGTTTGCATTTGAAATAATCCCCAAAACCCGGGAAGCATCGAAGGAAGTAAGTAAGAAGAGTGAGAGACTTAGAAAAGTAGAAGTCACAGTCAACCAAGTGCTTTAGTGCTTGTTACGAGATGATTTTTCTTGTTAGGGCTACGTGATAAGGGCATTTTCCATTAAGTATATATAATCATCATTCAATTCTTATAGATGTCTTACGAATAACGTATTCTAACAATATTATCCAAATTTTTCTTATTTTTTAGTATTTTTTTCTATACGGTTGTTTTACTTGAACATCTCTCAGCTCTCAAGTAGGATCAGCGTGGCTAAACTAAAATACAAAAATGAATGTTATACTGTTATAAGAAGTATTTTACAAATAATTTCGTCCTGGAATTAACCCTAATCAATAACAACTTGTTAATTAAAAAAGCACCAACTACTAGACAACCTCCTTAAAAAAGTTGCTTCACACTTTCCCTCGCAGCCACTAATGAGCCAGCCTTTTTCCTTTGTTGTAACGCCGGATGATGTGCTGAGTTGTAGTGAGTGAGTGAGTGAGTGAGTGAGTTGAGAGGATAAGGCTTTTAAGGAAATCAATGACAAGTTTTCTGGTGCAGACCAATCCTTCGTGACTGGATCCTCTCATGAGCAGTCTATCTGGACCGTTGAATTTTAATCCAACAGTTTCAAACAAGATGTCCTTATAAAATTATAATAATTACAGCCGTTTGATCAAATTTGAACGGTCCGAATAGATTACTCACGAGGATCCCCATCCTGAACTTAGAAAGGATTCAGTTCCCAATCCTTCTTCTTCATCCCTTCCATCACCATAAATACATATTTAATAATCCAACTTTTTTATTTTATTTTATGTATTTGTATATATTTAATATATGTGTGTGAGAGGTAAAGTCTCTTCAGCATGCAGCACTGACTCTTTTTTCGCATAGATGTAAAAAATGCTTCTGATATTATCATGATCTGGTTTCTGGGTTTGCTAAACACACCTCCCCCGTTTTGCAATCCACCCAAAGTTCCATCTTTTATCTACTTCTGGCCACTCCTTTCTGTGGGCTTCTGGTGTTTTCTGATAAACCAACCTCCACACTGACCATTTTCAGGTAAGTTATAAAAGAACTGAGATTCTCATCATTTTCTTTTTGTTTATTTTTCCTTTCGTTTCTGAAATCACAGTAGCAGTATCTGATCAATGATAGCTAGCTAGCAACTACCTTGCCATTCTTTATTAATATTGTTAGTATATTATATTGTTTTTGTTGTCTTTTTCTTCTTCCTCTGTGTGCCAGGGTGCCAGGGTCCTTGAAATATGTAATCTTTCTTTTGGAGGTTTGTTTTTTTTTTGTTTTTTTGGTAAACTTTTGGAGGTTTGTTAGAAAAAGGCCATCAGGGGAAAAGGGTTTTCACAATCACTGCTTCTACTTTGTCCTCGTTAGGTTTTTGGTGCTATCTCTATTTGATATTTTATAATGTATGCATTTTCTTTTTAAAATAGAAAATCGTTTAATTTCTTAATTTTTACTTGAAATTATCTGAGTAAAAAATAATTTAAATCTAAAAATTGTTCAATCATCAACATGTATTAAATAAATCAAAAGAATTCATAATAAAACGTCTATTTCTCTTATATATTTTGACTTTTTGTAATCATTATCCTCAAATAAAAATTAACAAATTGAACATATATAATTATGAAATTTCTACAAGGATGATGGACATGTATTATCCTTATTTTAATTTCTGGTATTGATACGTAGATTCCTGATATTATTCTCTCTTGCACCTTTCTGATTTTTGCATCCCAAGAAATAAATAAAAATAAAGGCTTTATCTCTTACCAATGCCAAGTGCCAACCAACTGTAAATAATTCTGCGCTTACTTATACAGAAAGTAGGGGTTCATTTTAGCTCTCAGTCATTTCTCTCTCAATCTCTCTCTCTTTCTTTGGTGGGTTGTTTCTAAAAGCACTTAACTTCAACTTTTGGATCTTTTTCAGAGCAACCCACCAATGACAGATTGGAGTGGTATGATGAGCAAACCCAGTGGTTTTGGTGGGGGAAGAAGTAATGAAGATTTTGAAGAAGAAGATGTGTGGAGTTTTGTGAAGTCTCATAATAAGAACTCACCTGTTGCTGCTGCTGCTTCTTTTTCTTCTTCGCCTTCGTCCTCCTCTGCATCTGCATGGCGCCTCCCTACTGCTCTAAGAACAATCCCAAGCGCCAATAGTAATCCTCCAGCTGTCCATGAAGTCCAAAAATCTGCTCCTGTGGCAATCCCTGATTGGTCAAAAATTTATGGCAAGAGTGCGAAGATCGGTTCTTCGGTTCATCACCATGATGATGGTGATGTGTATGGTGTCAATGGTGATGGTGATGGTGATGTGTATGGTGTCAATGGTGATGGTAATGGTGATGGTGGTGATAATGATGATGGTGGCGATGATGATGGCTTGGTTCCTCCACATGAATGGGTTGCCAGAAAGCTTGCAAGAAGCCAGATTTCATCATTCTCTGTGTGCGAAGGGATTGGAAGAACACTCAAAGGAAGAGACCTCAGCAAAGTAAGGAATGCCATTTTGACTAAAACTGGTTTTTTAGAGTAATTATTTGGAACAAGTGCATTGCTAGGTGATGTTTCCGTCCAATTAATATAGTGTCAATGTTTAGAACGTCACGATGTTAGTTAACCGGCTTAGGTAAGTCGTTCTATATTTCAAGTGTTCATTTTTTTTGTATGGAAGTGGAACTAGGTGGCTAAGAGAAAATCAGAGGTGCTTCAAGTGAAAAAATGGAATTAAGAACCATTTGGCAGCTCTGAGATTTTGTATGGTGGTCACTACTAGTCAAGTAAACAAGGAATTAGAAATTTTTTATGCTTCTTAAATTTTAAATTTGCATTTATTGACCTCCTTTTGGGAGCAGCCTTTCCATAAATGGGGGTAAGGCTAGCCGACATTCACCTCTTCCAGACCCTGCGTAAAGCGGGAGCCTTGTGCACTGGGTACGACCGGCATTTATTGACCTCCTTGAGTAATTCTTTAAACTTTTTTTTATTTTTATAAAAGAAAAATAATGAATGATAGCTGTGGGCCAAAATCACGAGTTATCCTTCTTTAAAATGGTAAAAAAATTGAATAAAATTCTTAAGTATAGCTTCACAATAATTAGGAGCAATGCGATTGTTCATTAATTTGGTTAGAAATCAGCAGAAACCGATAAACTCTTCGATGTTAACTTCAATTGAGTTTTTAGCAAGAAATTTCAGCCCTTTTTTCTATGGTGCGACGAAAATGACACTAAAATTGATTTAGTAGAATATGTTCCAAATTTTCGTATTATCTTTTGCATGCGTATTAAAAATAAAATAGAAAACTTCATTTTAATCCCTAAAAAAGATGAGTTTTAGATTATAACCATATGTAAGATTAAAATCCAATTTTAGTCCCTAGCACATTTAATCATATCATTTATTAGTTGTATTTTGATGTTTTATTTTATCTTTTTATTTTTATTTTAATGTATTAATTACATTTACATTTAATTTTTATTTCATTCACCATAATATATTTTAATGTCTACATTTAGGCAACTAAATTTTTTATAATATATATTCCGATAACAATTTTGTATGTTCTTCATTTAGGTACATTAATACCTTTGAATATTTGGTATATCTATTGGTACAAACATGTAGTTACATTGATTCAATATAATGCATTTCGATCAATATAATGCATTTCATTACGTACACTTTGATACACACATTTGAGTATTGACTTTTAGGTACATTAATTCAATTATTATTTCGGTAAATACATTTAGGTACATACATTTTGGTATTGATATTTAGGTACATACATTTTTGGTATTTACATTTAGGTTCGTACATTTTGGTACATACATTTCGGTATTGACATTTAGGTACACTTGTATTGACATTTTTTTATTTAGGTACATACATTTTCGGTATTGACATTTAGGTTCGTACATTTTGGTACATACATTTCGGTATTGACTTTTAGGTACATTAATTCAATATAATACATTCCAGTACATACATTTAGGTTCATTATAATATATTTCGGTACAATCATGTAGGTACAAATATTTTGGTACAAAAAAGTCAATTTTATATATTTTGGCACAATCATTTTTGTACACTTATGTATCTATATATTTTTGTATCACAATTTTTTTAATATTTTCTCATTTACGTTCATTTCTAATTAAAACAAATTAAATATGTGCATATTAATAAAATTAAATTTTAATATGGAGAGATTAAATAAAAATACACATTAAATAAGAAAAATTGAATGTAAATTTTGATAAAAGTACACTCAAGGGATTAAATTGAATATTTAATCTAGCATCAGGCTATTTTTTAAATTTTAATCTTTTGCAAGGACTAATGTTCAAAAACCCCAAAATAAAATCATTCCGATGTGTTTATTCGAATCAGGGCCACCAAAGTATGTAAAAAAAAAAATCAAGAATCGATTCACCTTGCTCCACCCTGTCGGACTGATTCTAGTATTTTGGTATCTCTAAAAGATGATATCTGCTAAGATGATTCTCTCAAAGTCGGATTTTTTATGAACTCTCTTTCATTTCATGTTTTTTGCGCAATATTTTAAATTGTTAGCACTACAGTTACGTTAAACAGTGAAGTGATAAAAAGTTTATGGGAATCCCATTTGAGGTGGTAAAGATACCATAATTTGATTAAGAGATCCCTGGGTATATGCAGCCAGCTCCAACAAATGATTGGCTATTCCTCTACTAGAATACAAATGCAACAATGGCACCATTGAGTTTCCACCTTTCATTCGTGCATGCAGGTTTTCTAACCACTCAAATTCCCACAAAAATCTTGCAAACTTTTCGAGTTGGGTTGCCTTTTTGATCAAGGGAGGAGCATCGATTGGATCCCAAGTCCTCAATATGCACCAATGTGTCATGATCTCTTAAAAATTAATAGAGAACAATTATGAAACTAGCTCCGAGTGAGGATTGAACTAGTGACCTTTTGCTTACGAAGCAAACGCACTATATTATGGAAGCTAGTTGACTATTTTTTTATGTAATGATATTGGAGGTGCAAGTTGGGTTAAGCAGCCAAAGATTGCAATTTTAGTAGATCGTATTGTTAATCTCTCTTTAAATTTGAGGAATTAAGGAATCAAGGTCTCTGTGTCGGATAGCTGATAGATCCTGAGATTCAGACCCTCATTTCATATCCTTTGGCCCCGATTAGCCCATTCATAGGGTATGGATTTCTCTCTCCCTCTCTTGAACAGTCCAAATTTCTTGATTCATTGACTTCAGATTGCGAGATCTAAAGAGAATCTGAATTCCTAAGAACTAACTAAAATAAAAAGTGGGAAATGAATACTAAAAATAGGAGCAGGAAATCCAAATCCTATCGGTACACATACTAAGTTACCTTAAGTTACTCAAACACATACATGTGGGTTATGAATGAGGATCCTCTCTGGATGAGGATCCCAAGAATCTTCAAATCGTGTACGTTTATCGTACATCGTATGACCAGTTTTCGTCAGGTACTGCTCATGTTTAATTTTAAATAAAAATATTTAAAATGATTTCTGATCGCACGATGTACGATGAACGGATAAAATTTGAGGATTTCTAGGATCCTTACAAAGAGAATCAAGCTAGGATCCTCATTCGTGAGTTATTAAGTTACTCAAATATGAAACAGTCTTGAATCTGATGACACAAAACGGAAACTGAATGAACTGAAACCGACAACATGAATTTGCACACATACATTTGGCTGATTCATGAATAATTAAACCATAATTAACGTAATTTAAATATGTTACATAAACAACCATGTTTATTAAATAAATTACCATTTTTCTTATTCTCTGGGTTTGACGTTCCATTGAAAATAAAGTCTAAAGACTTTTTGGTCAAACAACATGAAGCTGTTTGCAGTTTATTTACATGGAGAATAAATGAGGACGTTTCAGTAATTTAGCATATTAAAGAGGGCAGTTAGTGGGTCTTTCTCACTGCACATCTCGTCTCTTACAGAGGAAAAGAGAGAGTGTGTCCACTGTCCAAGCAGGTGGCTTTCACCTTCCAAATTTCCAAAGAACTTTCCTTTTTTCAATTTTTTTTCTGGGTTTGGATTATTTTCGAATTTCCCTGAAATTTGTTGTTTGTTTTTCAATTTTTTGATTTTGTGTGTGTGTGTGTGTTTTTAGCATCGCCGGAAGGAAATGTCTGTGAAGAGCAGAGGATGGGGAGGAGAGGTAATAGTGAGGAATGTGATATCAAGGAACTGGGCTCTTTTGCTTTGCTTCTGCAGCTTCTGTGCTGGAGTTTTATTTACCAACAGGTAAATTTCTCAGATGGGTTTTTATTGTTTGCTATGAATTAGCAGTTTTTAACTAATTCCTATGCTTGTTATGAGTACATTATGCATTTTTGACGAAATGCTTGAAACCCCATGATTAGTTGGCTTTTGTGGAAGAATCTGAGGAAACTATTTTAAATTCTGTGTGTTTAACTGGTTAATGATGGCCAGTTTATGTTAATTGGGTGATTATTCTATGTTTGGAATTGGGGCTCACTGATTATATCTTTAGAAATTTGGGTTTCTTTATCTGGTTTTGTTAAAATTTTGTTCTTTGAGGCACATGTGTAGTTTGTTTCTAATAAGTTTCGTGTCATCAATGCGAAAGATGAGCAAAGACAAATGCGTGTGCTTTTCTATTTGTTGATGTTCTCTACAATTGCATTGTTTGATTTGCTTAAGGTTACATGTCGAGAAAACTTGGCACAAGTGGTTTAAGATATCCATGTCATAATGATCAAGAAATTTTTAACAGGTTATGGATGATGCCCGAGTCAAGGCCATCGAGAATTGGAGCTGAAAAGATATTCTCCGAATCTGATGCTTTTGATCATAAGCTTGTAAGTGTATTTTTCAGATGTTTTCTAGTCTGAATTTGCATGGCAAATAGTTCTTGAGAATGTGGCTATCTTTTTATAGCCCGAATTTGGTCACGGATCAAACGAACTTAAAAGAATAATGAGATTTTGTAGCTTATGAAATTTCTTACAAATATTAGTCGTACCATGTGGATATACTTCAAATCTTTTACTGAGGGTAGATTTCTTCGATAAGGGGAAAACGAACTCTGGTCTGTTGTTTCAAATGGAAGTATTTGTAGTCTCACCACGGGACACGTTTCATGAGAAATAGTTAGAAGGGATTTTGTTTCTTCAAGGACTTATCGGCTTTGAAGTATTCTTTTACATCATTTCTTAGCTGATCAATTAAGTTTCACTGTGATACTGGAGGGCAGAGTAATGTCTCAAAATATGAGGGAGGATTCTGTAGTTTCACAAAACTTTTGGGAGAGGTCTATGTAATATGTAATTTTCACTTATTTCCTTCATATAAAGCTGTAACTTTGTCAATGATGCTTCTTTTGTTGTAATTTTTCCTCAACTTTTTGCCTATCTTTGAAGGTTTTAAAGCACGCGACCAGTGACAATTCAGCGGAAGCTACTAATCAAGTGATTCAGTAAGCTCTGCTGATGCTTTATCTTACAAGAAATGTTGTTGTGTCTTGAAGTACTAAAACATGAAGCGTATTTCTATTCATGCATGCAGGCAGCTAAATAAAACGATTTCAGATTTGGAGATGAAATTAGCCGCTGCTAGGGCAACTCATGAATCTGTACATAATGGATATCCTACGTCAGGAAACTTGAAGACTGTTCAATCATCTTCCAAAAAAAAGTACTTCATGTTTATAGGGATCAATACAGCTTTTAATAGCCGAAAAAGAAGAGATTCAGTACGTGCAACTTGGATGCCTCAAGGTGCATTATACATTTAGGTTTAATTTAGTTGCGATGTTAATGTGATATTTGAGTTTCTTATTCTAGCTATGATTAATGGTTTCTCGTTGTAAAAATCTTTACCAGGTGAGGATAGAAAGAAGCTCGAAGAAGAGAAGGGCATAATTATACGGTTTGTTATAGGTCACAGGTGAGGTTTACCATGCCTTCCTTCATGCGTTGTCAAAACCTAAATTCATAGTTAATCTGGTTAATGGTTATGTACATATCTAGTCATTTCGGCACTGAGACAGATACAATGTCTTTTTTTTTTTCTCGTTCCTAATGATACATCCAGGCTATTGAATATGAACTGGTAAATTATGAATATTTATTGATTTTCCTATTTTTACTAGTTCGACAGCTGGTGGTATTCTTGATAAAGCAGTTGAAGCAGAGGAGCGCGTCCATGGAGACTTCCTGAGGCTGGTGATTTTCTTGTCCATTTTAATCAGAAATATATTATTCCTTGTAACACTCCATTTTACACAATTTCTAATTCATACTGTATTTGCAGGACCATGTTGAAGGATACCTGGAATTATCAGCCAAAACAAAGACATATTTTTCGACAGCTGTTGCCTTGTGGGATGCTGAATTTTATATCAAAGTTGATGATGACGTCCATGTAAATTTAGGTAACATAAATTAAGATTCTTTTCCACATCTGTTCATTTTCCCAAAGTTGCTCAGGCTCTGTTGAACATTATTTTTCTCAGCATTTCGATTTAACCCCTTTTCTATCTTGTTGAGTTGATTTGCCTTTCATTTACCACAGCAACGCTTGGAATGATTTTATCTAGACACCGTCTGAAACCCCGAGTCTACATTGGCTGCATGAAGTCAGGTCCAGTCCTTGCTCGAAAGTAAGCGAGTGGTCTGTTATTTTTAGCTGAATGTATGCTCTCAGGTGTTCATGAACATGGTTTTCATGGTATTTTTATTGTGTAATAGGGGAGTGAAATACCATGAGCCAGAGTTTTGGAAATTTGGTGAGATAGGAAACAAGTATTTTCGGCATGCTACGGGACAGTTATATGCTATCTCAAAAGATTTGGCAACTTACATATCAATAAACCAGTAAGTTCTCACCTTGTCTCTATTTACGGTGCTAAATAAAACTCTGCTTGGAAAGCGTTGCTTCTCAAATTGCCTTTTAACCTTTTAGTTTGATTCTTATTTCTTTCTTCTTTTTTTCCTCTTGTTGAAGGGATGTGCTGCACAAATATGCCAATGAAGATGTTTCGTTGGGATCTTGGTTTATTGGTTTAGACGTAGAACAGGTGGACGATAGAAGACTCTGCTGTGGTACCACGCCAGGTAATATGAAAATTCTATCGATTCTCTGCCTAGTAGTTATACCCTGAATGAGTTGTTTTCCTCATATGAGATGTAATTACATAACATGAAATCTAGCAGTAGAAAAACAGATAAAATGCTGCTTGCGCGCATTCTATGTAGAGTTGATGGTGTAATATGTCCTGCAGATTGTATGTGGAAGAAAATGGCAGGCAACACCTGCGCTGCTTCATTTGACTGGCGATGCAGCGGGATTTGTAAGTCTATTGAGAGGATGATGGGCATTCACGAGCACTGTGGTGAAGACAAGAATGCTGTTTGGAGTGCAAGATTTTCTCAGTAACTGGCTGATGTTCATCCAATCTCATGAGTGATGTGCGGATAGCCTGAAGAAGGCATGCAGACGTGGTTTGTTCTTCTTTCCGGCTCGTTGTTGGTGATAGATGTATGTAATACCAAATATAGAATGATTCCACTGTTGTTGGGGGTGCCATAAGCATTAGTGCTCGTGAAATTAACCCCAACGGCAGCTGGAAAGACTAAAGAGATGATGAGATAGATATTTAACACCCCATTCTTTTGATGGCGGGGACCTAGATTGTAAGTTCTCTGCCATGGACACTATGCCTCTTAACAAGTAGTAACCTTTAAAACCTACAGCATTTGCTGCATTTTGCTTTCAAAGCAATATTATAATATTTGTTGCCTTCACTCTCATTGATGACTGTTTAGTAGTACTGTTAAAACAGTAAAAAGGAAGACTCCAAGCCTTAATGGGACACATAAGGTCTAACAGGGACGATAAATGATTTCCTTCATCCAAGATGGATTTCCGGCGAATGAAATGTCTTGCATGAATCTTAAGAAATTTACACCTTTATTTACCATTTTTCATTAAAACTAAAGCTTTTTTTGAACTTTTCGTTAGTTTTCCTTTACAATAAATGACGTTTCGATAAAAATCCAAAACCCGCTTTGGTGGGTGAGACCAAATATTTTAAACCACATGATGTGGTTGTAGATGATTGAATTATTGATTAAGTGTCGATTAACATGTTTATTTCTTATTGGTGACACATCATTTAATACTCAGTACTACAATCTAGTGGTATTCCTCTTCATTTGGAAGTGATAAGTCTTAGGTTCGAATCTCGTGGATGACAACTTCGATACCAAATTTGGTTGTTCATTGTGTGAATTAGCCGAACTCCATCTCCTTTTAGTGTAAAAATATCAATGTACTAAAATTTTTTTTTAATCTTCCTAGCATTCTCTCCCTTTGATGCATTTGTCCATGACACATCTAATTCCAAAATATTTGGTAGATATCAGAACTATTTTAATAAAAATAAAATATTTAAAAATTCAAAATAAAAAATAAAACGCAACGACGTCGTTCGTAACAACAAATTGGTGACGTGACCTAGGAGAGGAGAGAGGAGAGAGTCTTGAAACACCGCGAATCGAAGGGAGAGATAGATAAAGATTGCAAGTCAACAGATTTCGTGTTGGAATCGGAAAGGAACCCTAACAATTCAAGTCTCTCTAATTTATATAATACTACTTGTATGTGTTTGTGTTTGTGTATATATTGCCTTCAATAATTCTCTCCGTCCGTCTCTGATTGATTTTGACTCTTCTGTTCTTTTCGCAGTCCTCCAATCAATTCTCCAATCCCCAGAAAACCCCAATCGTTTCCTTTCCTTGTCTGGTAAGTTTGATCCCGCAACGTTTTCTTGCTGTATTTGTGTTTAATCTTGTTATACCATTTTTGGGTAGGAGGGAATTTTCAATTTTGTTATGTCTTGTTGTTTGAAATTTGCAGAGATCAATCGCAGTGAGAATTCCGCCATGGCCAAAAGCTCGTTCAAGCTTGAACATACTCTGGGTATGCTTTTAATTTTAATTTTGTTGGGTTATTTGTATGGTTTCTGGAATGCCCATATGCCTGTTTTGGTTTCTTTTAATTGGTTGATTGTAGTTTTTGATGTCTTGTTCTTGAACACCTGAATTATGGATTGTGGCCCTTTTGGATTGAAGGATGATTTGCAGATAAAAGTTTATGTCTTTTCAATTTTATAAAACAAAAGTTTGGGTTTTTATCGATTGCTTCTGCTTGGTATTGTTTAAATTTTAGTATGAGTTTTTTGATCGAACTTGTTCTGATATCAAACTTGTTTGTTCAATGGAATTAAGTCGTGGGATTATAAATCATTGGCCTTTCTTTGACATGAGTTTTTCTATCGAATTTGTTTTTGATAGAATTAATTTGTGGGGTTGTAGATTATCAACCTTTGTGTACAATCTTGTCAGTAGCATCTGTTTGGTATTTTAAATCAGTCTCAGTTTTCTATCCGACTTGTTTGTTTGATGGAACTGAGTAGTGGTATTCTAAATCGTAGACCTTTTGTTGGCTAAAGGTTGAATTTTGTTTCGTGGAATGTCCATCATTATTATCGTCATGGGAGCATAATCTTTGTGAAAGGCTGTCTTTTATTCTTTCGGAATTATCCGTAAAGGGCTGTCTATGGAATTAGTTTTTGTCAAACTTTTCATTCACATTGTTTTGGTGATGGTCTTGGATTAACTAATTTCAGAAAGGAGGCAAGCAGAAGCTAGTCGTATCAGGGAGAAGTATCCTGACAGAATTCCGGTAAGAGTTTTACTGAATCAAATACGTGTACTTCCTATGTTTTCAGGGTTACGCTCTTTGCTAATTTGAGCTTCCATGCAGGTGATTGTGGAGAAGGCTGCAAGGAGTGACATTCCTGACATTGACAAGAAGAAGTTAGTAGCTAATTCCCTTCCGCTTTAGTTCTTGTTCATATGTATTACTACTATGCAAGAGGATTGTGCTATGTTTGTTTATACATCTGATATATTCTCTGTATAGTAAATAGTTTATAGTGTAGGTTGTGCATTTTGACTTGCACATGCGATTTATATGCACAGAGGGGGTTCTAGTCATGTCTATATCATTTAAAATTTGAACTTTATTAAAACATTTGTGGGGAAGAACGATTCCGTATCTAAAGTGATATCCTAGGAGTGGTTAAGAATGGTCTTGATCATATTACAATGGCAAACTCCAAGTTCATTCGTACTTTGCTAAAATCAAGGGGTTCTCACATGGTTGTGCTGTTATGTTTCTCTCCACAGATACCTTGTCCCTGCTGATCTCAATGTTGGGCAATTTGTTTATGTTGTTCGGAAGAGGATCAAGCTCGGTGCAGAAAAGGCTATATTTATCTTTGTCAATAACACACTCCCTCCTAATGGTCAGTTGGAATTCATTTATGCTTTAGGCATTATATATATATATATATATATATTCTTCCAAAGTTGAGGTACTAATATTTTTTCCTTTGTTACAGCTGCTCTGATGTCTACAATTTATGACGAGAACAAGGACGAGGATGGATTTCTTTACTTGACCTTCAGCGGAGAGAATGTGTTCGGTTCCTTTGAAGAGCAAGAATGGTTGTAAATAGAACCGAGCAAATGTAAATTCTTGGCATTAGAATTTCAAAGGATGTTAATGAATGGTTTTAACTCCAGCTATCTGTTTTATCTCACGATCGTATATCGTATATCAGAATTGGGTTTTAATTTTTATGAGTTGTGCATGAAGTAGATCTGCTCTTTGGCCATGGCAGTTGATATTTTGTTACAGTTGGATATGGATGTGCAGATTCTAGTTCTATACGTAAAATGCGACTCAAAGCCAGCAAGGCTCTCCACGTTGCGAGGTTTGGGGGAACTTCAATCGTATGTAGTGGTTGTTTTCAATGATTTGAACTTGTGACATTTATGTCACAAAAGTGCAACATTTCTGTTGCTCCAAGGCTCCTCTTCATATTCTAGTTCTATACTTAACACATCTAAAGTTCAAGGAATAATTTCCGTACACCTATTTATTTCCCTTGCTTCTCCATCGATCCAACGGTACAATAAGTAGAAGCGAGCGTGGGAGAGGAAAAGTTGTGGTAAGATTAATTCCCAAGGTTTAATGAGATTGGTATTTTTCCACTCACTACGGTGATGATATTCTTTTTCACTTGTAAATGAAAGATCTTAGGTTAGATTATCATTAAAAACGAATTTGAATAACATTATTACTATTCTTTTTCACTTGTAAATGAAAAATCTTAGATTAGATTATCGTTAAAAACGAATTTGAATAACATTATTAGTAACTCATTATAAAGCTAATCCCAACCCCCTCCCTCCTCACTCCCTCCTCACCTGTAGATAATATTGATTGTTCCAAGAAACAAATTACGATTGGTATTTCAACATTCTTACACACCAAACAGGCAAAAATAATCACAAATCAACACTTAGACAACAAACAATTGAACTTTCTGGATATGGAACATTTCTAGTTATCTGGTTTGGTTGTTTTTTTCTTCTGGCACTGATTTTTGATCCATTTGATGCCGTTGGATGTGCCGCTCTTGATCTTCTCAGCGCCAGCCATTGCAGCCACCTTGGCCTTGCCTAAGCCAGACTTGGTCTCTGCCTTCTTGTTGCTGCTGTCGTTTTCTCCCGTTTTGGCGCTCTCTGCATCTTCCAGTGCTCCAATGCCTCCGGCGCCCCACTGATCGGCCCACCCCGGTGCTTCGGCAGCCATCACTTCCCTCAGAAGTATCCAACTACCACCTGTTTCCATAAAACATGGCAAAATAATTTGACAAAGTATCAATTCAACAATGGTACCGCACTCAAAATTTGCAGAGATTTCTTCATATTTTCTTTGATAATCGGTAGCAGATGGAGATCTGAACAGCATGGAATATGAGATACCAAGAACATGAGAGAGAGAGTACCTGGAGAGGAGAGAGAGAGGTTAGCTAGCGTGTAGATTTAGAAAGATGGTGGAGTTAACCGAAAGAAAACAAGTGAGGCGTAGTTGTAAGTTGTATATATGGAGAGAGCACATGGGATGAAGGATGGGCTGTCTCTCTCTGTCCATCACCTTCACCTCTTTTTTATAAATTTGATGTCACTATTTTACTTTTTTCTTCAAATTTATAAAGTAAAAAAGAAAAAAGAAAAAGGAGTTTGCCAACCCATGACATCCAGAGAAGCAAGCAAAGCATCGTTTGGCATTTTCTCTTTCTTTCCTTGTGCAATCTCTAATCATCATCATCATCAGAGCATCTTTTCCTTAGCAACCAAGGTATCTCAGCTGAAATTGACGTTTCACCATAAAATCAATTGTCAATATAAGAAGTAGTCTAATATCATATAAGCACATAGCAAACCTTGTTCCTCACCGATGTGGGATAACTCTCAACACATCCCCGTACGTGTGACAGATTTTCAAGCCTACACGTGGACAACAACTGGGTGACGTGGAGCACATGTGGCCATTCGGCTTCACACGAAGACAACCTTGTTCTGATACCATGATAAAATTGAGGATCCACCATAAAACCAATTGGCAATACGAGGAGTAGCCCAAGATCATATAAGCATAGCAAACTTTGTCCCTCACCGATGTGGGACAACTCTAAACAATCTCTCCCAACTCTATATTCACCGCACCAGCAGCAGTATTCTATCTCCTCCAAATCTTCTTTTCTCCTTTCTTATTTTTCTTTTTTATCTTTCTTTCTCTATAAATAAGTCAACAGAAGACGTTGACAAAGCTTAATCGTGATTGTTCACATAAGAGGGGATTGTGTGATTGTGTTTGTTGAAGGAAATTACCTTGAATATGAATACGATAACTCACCGAGTCATCCACTTTCTACTTTCAACTCGAACAAAAAATTGAAATTGTTATCCAAGTCAATTCGCTCTAACAAACTCAACTTGTGTCTATCCCATCGATTCCTAAACATAATTAATAGCATAAATTAAATAAAATAACAATTAATCCTTTTTGTTCCGTTGTAGCAATAAAATAAAATAAAACTTTATAATAATTCTTCCATTGTTGCTATATTGTCTGCTGTCGATGAAGAAAATTAGGATGATGACGGATTTCTTCACATCACCTACAATGGAGAAAAGAAAGAAGTCTATGGATGGATAAGCTCAAAATATCTTAAGTAGACTTTAAAGCGTAAGAATCATGCTTCGCTGCTGAAAGAAGAGCATCAAGTATTGCTGAAATCCAATCACAAATGAAGAAGTGTCTGATTATTGTTTTCAATTTCAATTATTCAGGTACGTATTCATTTAAGATTGTTTTTTCAGCAGCACTAGTTGCTCTTGTTTCAGCAATGAAGCATGGTTCAAAGCGTAAACCCTTAGAGCTCCAAGTTCAAAACATCATTTGATCAAAAGATCTCACTTTGGTTAAACATTATTAGCCTTTCCTGATCTGGAGATCAATGGCCTTTATAAACACTGGAGACAATTTTATTGAAAATCCAAGTGCTTCTTTAAAAAGCACATGTTAGTAGTTCTTGAATATGCATCTAGTTCTAGTGGGTGCTTTTTTGCGTAAAAGTTCAATGACTCATGAGTACTTACAACTTTCTACCACGCAATCATTCGTTGTTAGAAAACGGTTTTTACACTCCAACAAAACACTACCACTCCAATCTCCAAACACATAAACCTGCCCTAAAAAACCAGTCAAGGGAGTACTTGATCGTGGGAACAAAGCAGACGTTCTCGATTTCCATGGACGAATGTACCCCGAGGACTTTCTTGATTGGCCAAGTAGCGCGGAGTTCTTCGATTGGAAAGAAGTAAGCAATCGAGGTTGCAGGAGAAAGCGTTGTAATTGGACACAAATGACCGAAGAACTGATATGGTAATATATGTACAATCAATCTATTAATATGTCAAAAGATTACACAAGTTAATTACTTGGATATTGATCTCCTGCTGGACTTGGATTTCTTCATTTTGCGAGACTTGTCATCGATGCTCGTCCACGTATAACCGCTAGGAATGGCGAAAGGGTCAGAAGAGTCTTGCGCTGCAGACACTGCCGGGGGAGCACAGTGTTGGTGTTGGTTCTGCTTGCTCACGGAAGACCCCGACTGGCTGCTGCTCCGCCTCAGCCACGACGACGACGAAAAGGAGGATGGTTTTTGTGGCTTGGATTTGTGTTCCTCCTCTTGTTGGCCTCGCCCTTCATGAAGAAACTGTCTGGGGCTTGACATTGGAGTGAAGAATTGCTCAGTTGGCGGAAGCTCAACGAACTTTGTGAATGTTATCACCACTCTCACCGTGGGGACCACCGGTATTGCCACCTGTCCATCACAAAACAACACCGCAAGCTAAACTAAGCTAGTCGTACATAAAATCACAATTACCACAAGAATTTTAAATGAAATCCACATTCAACCGTCAATGACGTGGCAAAATCTAAGGTCGATGAAGCTCTATTTTTCTTGAGATAGTAACTCGAGTGTAACAAGTCGAACACACTATCTAACAGCTGATTTAGTCCGCTTCGGTAACTCGAGTGTAAGTAACTATACTTAACTGTAAACACAAGGATCCTCAAATGCCGATTTCACTTAAGTGTGAAGAGTCCACGTGATATGTGCTATAGCTCTCGCACGAAAGGCACTAGAGCAATCACAAATGAGGTGGTCGGACCGTTGCACCCAAGATTTTTCGACAGTCAACTTAGGAACGCGACAAACCTAAGCGTCCCACGTCGAATCAGGACCACGGAGGCCCCACAAAAAGCTTCTAAACGTACGATATCATCTAATGGTATGATTCGCTTGGGATCCACTAAAACGCACAGTTTCACTTGCCACAAGGGAACACCAAAGCAAATAAAACAGACAAAAAAAAAAACTCGACGACCCCGCATACCCTTGCGGGCCCACCCAATCCCAATTGGGACCCCAACTGACTGAAATATCCAAAATGCCCTTACCTTAACCGGAAAAGTCCCTGGCGGGAACTTGGTGGTGAGCAACTCCCTCATCCTCCTAACGGCCTTCACCTTGTTCGCCAGGATGTCCAGTAACGGCAGCAGCTCCTCCGTCTTCAACGGAAACTGCTCCGTCAGCCAAACGCACGGCCTCAAGCTCCTCACGAACTCTTTCTCTTTCGTCTGCACTGGTGCCGCCACAATAGTGGCCGTTTTACACCTCCTCGACGGCGGCCCGGAAATTGACGAAACGTCGACGCTTTTTCTCCCCAATGACACGAACTCCCTCTCCTCCCTCACGAAGCTACTGTGCCTCCGGCCGTCGGGAATTCCGAAACTCGGATTCTCCGCCACCAAAAACCCGTCGTCGTCCTCGTCGAGCTCAAGAGGAAGCACCTGCTCGCTCCCCGCCACGTCAGCATCGCCATTGGTGACTTTTCTCGAGCGGAAGCTGAACACAACGTTGTGAATTTCGTACACTCGAGCTTTCCACTCTCCGACGCTCTCCGTCTTCTCCTGCCTCCTCCAATTGGTCCTCCCGACCAGCTCCGCCCTGGTGACGTCCATGCCCGGGCGGTACACGCTCGTCTGGGCGCAGAACCCGGCGATGTCCGACTCGCTCATCGGCGACCCGGCGTTCTCGAACGCGTCGAAGATTTTCCGTTCGTCGCGGTTCAAGACGAGCAGCGATCCCGGGGGAACGTCGTGGCTCTGATCGCCGTCCCCGAGGAATAGGAAGCTCTGATCGGCGCGCTGGATCTTCAATCCGTCGAATCCGGCCAGCGACGTGTCTGCGCGCAAATTGCCGTCGCGCTTCCAGATCTTGTACGTGTCGGAGGGAGCGATCTTTCCGACGAAGGGAATGACGGAGCTCTCGAAGTGGAACGAGATCTCCATGTAAAAATCCCGCATTCTCCGGAGCACGGCGATTGCACGTGGCAGGCGGCGGCGCCACTTAGCCCAAGCGGAACGGTGGTGGAGCCGGAGAAGGATTAAAGCGACGTCGGAGCTCCGGCGACACAATGCTTCCTGTAAGGGATTCCAGCCTGCGGAGTTCTGGAGTGACACGTCGGCGCCGGCGGAGGCTAAAATTTTGGCGGAGACAGCGTTGTTTAGTCGGACGGCGAGGTGGAGAGGGGTTTCTCTGTAGGGAACGTCGCGGCGGTCGAGCACGGACGAGATCCGGTCCGCGGTTCGTTCCTGGGAGAGGGAGTCGGACTCCGTGTGGATCTGAGTCGGATCGGCAAGTCGGGGGAGTGTGGCGACGATTCGGGAGAGTGTGGTGTGATCTGACAAAACGACGGCGTAGTGCACGGGGCTGTGGGAGTAGTCGTCGGGCTTGAGCGGCGGGAACGATGTCGTCGAGCTCGCCGACGATTTGGCCATGGTTTACCTGCGCAGGGGGAGTTGGGCGTGTTCAGTGTGGACGTTTTAGCTGAGTAAAGGAGGAGAGAATGTTATGGGAGAACAAGAGGGAGTGATGCGAGGGTAATATCGTAAATGTGAATTAATCGGCACGACTTTGGGTGGATTTCTAAGGGTTGTGTCAGTCAAGTCGTCGGGACGTTTTCTTTCCATCCGACTACTTTTTCTTCTGTGCTTCCGTTTCTTTTGTTTGTTTTTTACTCGTCGTCCTTTGAATTTCTGTCGTTTTCCTTTTTTTTTTTCGTTTGATTTTTCCATCTAAAATAATAATAATAATAATAATCATACAAACTATTAAAATTTGTTTATTTAATTTTTACTAACATTTGCCTACACATTTTGTGTGTATAAACACATATTTTTAGAAAATGAGAAGGAGAGAGAGAGAGAGAGAACGTTTGAGAGTGGGATGTTTTTGTTTTTGGGTTTTTATTTTTTATTTTTTAATTTTTTTATAAATAACACGTAGGTGAGGTTTCAATACTAATTTGTCTTTTCATCATCTTTTGATTGATAAAGATGATTTTATTAATGAGTAGAGATAAGTTTACTCTCATATATTATATTTTAAAATTCTTCAAAAAATAGTGATAAATATGTTTAGACAAAAAAAAGAAAAACATAATTGAAAATAAAAAAGTGGAGGAATTAGAGAATGATATTAGTGAACCTAGATCCTCTCCGGATTTTCAAAAACTAAGCTTAAGGGTCAAATGATTCGGGTCGTTGAAATTTATTTCAACGGTTACAATTATTATAACTTTTAGAATGAATCTCCAATTTTTAATAATGAGATCAAATTTAAACGGTTCGAATCGTTTAATCTTTAAGCTCAGTTTTTGAAATCCAAAGAGAATTTGGGTTCAATATTGGTGGGACCTTGATTGTTTTGCTGGTGGGGGAAGACCGATTAGTCAGCGTCTAATTTGACATGTCACTGGAGATAAACAGGGAGCATGTTTGCCTTGAGCTCGACCAAATCCAATTCCAACCGGATTTCATTTCACTCTAACCAATGCAATATCCATACAATACATTCATTCCTGATAAAGTAAAAGTACCCTCCCTGATTTTGCTATGACCGATCATCTCAAACTACTTCTTTTTATTTTGGACGACCGATTTGTTGCAAGTACATTTCAATCTTTGTCTCTCGTAAACTCTCCGGCGTATGATGCTACGTCGTCTTCTTATGTACATAAATTTGAATTTATCATCAAGTAATTTAGCTTAGTTTAGCTTATAATAATACTTTGTGTAAAAGAATAATCATGAGACTGAGCGTTGTTTGGCTCATTCACTCTTTTTACTTTCAATTTAGATCCGATCACTTCATCAAAGTACTTTATTTTAAAACATAAAAGGAAAATAAATTTATACACTTGTTCCACTGTGAGTTATCTGTAAAGATAAAAATGATTTCTGACACGTAAGAAACCAACTACTTTTTTTTATTAGATTTTTGTCCAACTCATTTCATGTTAACAATTGTCAAAGAATGATCAATTGCAATCTACACATCATGTAGCATCTTTCATAATTGATTGGGGCTTCTTCTAATAAGGTTTGAACTCCTTCATGGGCTTTTTGGAAGTGAAGGAAACCATCTTAGGTTTTAGTGGGCTGCAATATGGTGATGCAATGGGCCATACAGCAGGTTATATTAGTGGATCACCAGGACCGGGTCCACTGGACATCTACAGCCCAAATTTGATAGGTTAATTATGTCTGTAATGGTAGAACGCTGGTTGTATAATTATGATACAAGTTTAACTCTCCTTGGACGGTTTAACTTTCATAGTACGTTAATTCTCATTTAGTAACTTCAATGGTAGATACTTGTATATGTGTTAAATTTTGCCAATGCGATAAAACGTCATCTGTAAATATAAAAATTTAACTGTCGAATTTCATATGTTCTCTCTTTTGGACTTCAAAATGCATTTAGTAGCATTAATTGTAAAATACCTACTCATACGTCAAATATAAACGTTTTAAGTCTTAACTCTCATAGCTCATACGTTCTCTCTTTCCGATCATTGATTCTCATTTAGTAGCTTCAAATGGTAGAACACTTCAAAAAAATGTACAATACTTCAACCTTCATTAGTATTTACGTTTCTCTTATCAAACAATAATTATCATATAGATAAAAAAAACAACAAATTACTATTGTTGTATATTTTTTGTTTTGTTAAAAGGTGATCAGTTAATGACTTCGCCATAACAATCCATATTTTTAGAGGCCGGGAAGCTCACCAGCTCCTTCTTGCACTAAAGATCTTGCCATTTCTAAAGAAACTGTAGTTACATCTCTTTTCCATTTTTATTCAAAAGTTCTTATATGTTTCCACGCACCTTCAAGACCCCAAAAATTTGACCGTAGAATTTTTTTTAACAAACGATATTATCTACACTAAGGGGTGAGAAGATGAGCTCAGCCTCACAATAAGCTAGCAATGACCTGGCTCAAATTCGTCTTTGACGATAATCAAACCTAATATCTCTCATTTACAAGTACATAATAATATCATTAAACCGTCGTATTACAGCCTTCATTTTGAATTTAAAAATTTAGGAGCAACGTCCAATTCTGGACGCAAGGCCCCATTGGTAGGTATTGACCTGTTACATGGCAGATAATGACTTCTATTAGTATTTTGTAAAGTAGTCAAATGAGAGACTAAGACAATTATATTATGGTAGAATAACTCGTGACTAGTTTAACAAAAGCGAAAGAAGTAAAGAAGAAGGGAACTTGTAAACAATGTAAGTAAAAGAGAATCTGATCAACTGGTCCTTCTAGTTGATTTGATTCGTGATTTTCAAAGTAATGGATTATGAATTGTTAAGTGAAACTCACAACCTATCCAATTTATATGTGTAATTTTCTTTGATGTGTACGACGATATAATTTACATTAAGAGGAGGGAAAATTCGGCTAAACTACATAATAGACAACCTAATTTGGTATCAAATTCGCCATCCACGATATTTGAATCTAACACTTCTCGTTTACGAGTGAAGAAGAATACCATCAGACCGTAGTACTGAGTGACAATTTATGTGTTATTAAACGCAAAGAAAGTTAAATATTAAACTCTCATATGAATGCAATGTTTAAAATTTTCACAAAGTTGTTGATATTTTTGTTGAAATATAAAATGAAAACAAAATCAAGAATCGATATGTAAATAGGTGAAATGCAAACTTCACCCTATATCAGCAAGATATAAGAAAATCAATGAATATCGATAATATTTACCAATTCAGTGCATAAAATTTGTTGGGAACTTTTGAATAATTTTTTTTAGAACATTTTCTCTAATTTCAACTAAATTTAAACGAGTTGATAATAATACACTCACTCAATTCTTAATTTTCATAATTTTTATTGAAGATAACCGATATCGATATATTCGTTGATATTTTATATATTTGCATATCTTTATTTTCACTTATATCAATATTTTAAACACTGTATAAATGTAAACGTGGAAAACTTAAAAGAATTCGATGAAGTCCACTATTCAGTCCATCAAAGCAAACACGTAAAAAATAGAAAATTGAAACAAATTTGAAAAGTATTACCCTTTCAACAGAAGAAATGTTAGGTTCTACTCGTACATCCAAACATCTATACGATTGGATACAAATCACAACAAACACAGTGAATAGTGATAGCTCTCTCTCAAAGGCAGATCATTTTCATAAATAATTGTATTTCAATACTACAATATGATGATATTTCTTTTTATTTATAAGTGAGAGATCTTATATTCGAATCTATAACAAATTCAATACCAAAATGGGATGTCCATTACATAGTTTAGCAAAACTCTCTCATTTCTATATAAAATATATCGCTGTACTAAAAAATAAAAAAAAGCATTGGATAATATATATGCTGAAAACTTTCTTAGCTTCCATTTTTTTCTTTGTTTTTGTTTTACCGGAGGCTGCGAGAGGCAGCGTGTCTAACAACATTCTTGCTCACCTACCCCTGTAAACTCCTTTCCTCTCTAATTTCGTCGCCCTGTCGGTCTCTCTCTCCTTCTCTCTCTAAAACCCTCGAAGTTCTAAATTTTTCAATCCCCAAATGATTTCTCTTTTCTTACATGTTTCTCACTCTATCACAATTTTGTGGGGTCCATCACCAGCCACCATTTTCATCGACCTTGACAATGTGCATACGGTGTTTCATCCAACAACCCCCTCACCAACCTCCTCCTCTCTCGTGAGCCCGGATTTGCCTTAAAGACTTGGTCTTTTTGCTATTGGCATTTCTGGGTTCAGTGCAAAGTTCAGCTGATTGATTCATTGATGGCTGCGAAGGCTGCATCCATCTGGGTTTGTGCTAAAACCCCTTATTCTCATCAGGGTGTCTCAGATTTGAGCTTGAACCACTCTGAGTTGGCTTTGAATTCGAATTTCCGCAAATGGGAGTGTTCTTGTTTGGCTGTTGCTTCCGCCCAGAGAGCTATCACTCCGGTGGAAGATGAGAAGCCGAGCCTTACCTGCGCCGCCGAGTCTTCAGGTGCAATGGAACGGATTGAGGACAATAAGTCCCGGGAGTTTCACAAGGATTTGAACCTTCTTCCTAGTGAGTTTGCTTCAAAAGCTCTTAATTTTGTGTTTTGCTTAATTTCTGTACTTTTAATTGTCAGTCGGGTACTTGTATGTTGGATTGGAGGATATAAATTTAGTAATTGAAGAACAACGTTATACTTTGATTAGTTGTTGGGCAATGCAGAATAGTTTAGCTCCTTTACAATGCAGAACAAAGTTAAATTTACTAGCTTTATTTTCTGTGATGGCTATTGGTACTTGGGTTTTCATCATGAAGAAGATTTTGTTTGACAGCTTTAGCATCGGTGTATTTAACTGATTCGGCCTAAACATTTAGATTAGGGTAGGATCAAATGAAATGGAGGCAAAAAATTACATCAAATTTATGACATGACAGTGAGGACTAGGTAGGAGGATTTCCATTATGGCTTGGCAGTGAGCACTAGTAAGCACCTTACTCTTTCAGATGCTCAATGTTGGTGGAAATAACGGTATTCAAATTTATGGAAATACCGTTAT